TGATGGCAGGCGTGGGACATTTGAAGACGATCCGCCAAGATGCATGTCGCGTGGCAAGCGCAGTAGAAGTAAGTAGATCGATCGACAAATCTCTGGAAAGAAAGATAGATAGACAGATAGACTCATAGATAGACACATACATAGGCACATTAGATAGATGCATGGATGGATGGATGGATAGATAGGTAGATAGATAGATAGATAGGTAGGTAGGTAGATAGATAGATAGACGGATGGGCGGAAAGACAGATAGGTAGATAGACAGATAGACCGGTAGACAGACAATTAAATAGATAGATGGATGGATGGATAGATAGGTACACGGACAGATAGGTAGATGGCCCGCCACTCCAATCACCTTTCGGTCCATCAGTGGATTCGCTCTGCCATCCGTGAGTCACAACAACCAACCTCTCCTATAGGTTTCCTATTTTTGAAACTTCCACCACCCGCCTTGTGCGGGAATGCTGGTCAAAGGAAGTTGGGAAGCAATCTTGCGAGTTACGGATGACTTTTATTCAAGTGACTTTACATCACAAAACAATACATCACATAACAGTACATCACATAGCAATACATCAACGAAGGGTGGTGTGAGACTTTACATCACATAACAATACATCCCATCACAACACATCACATAACAATACATCAACAAAGGGTGATTTGAGACTCTACATCTACATCACATAACAATACATCACATAACAATACATCATTCAACAATACATCACACAACAATACATCACACAACAATACATCACATCAGAATACATCACACAACAATACATTCACATCAGAATACATCACACAAACAAAAATCTGACGAAGGGTGTGAAGTGGTGATTGATGAAGGGTGGTGACTGGCTGTAATGGCGCATGATGTTGCATGGGGGCTTGTTTTGGGGAGGGCAGCCGGGAGCACGAAAACTTGCGTTTTTCCGTTTGTAAGTGCCTGCACCAGCGATGAAGGGTACATCGTGTGGTGTGTGTGTTTGTGTGTGTGTGCGGCGGGTGCGGCTTGCGATCGTTTCAACGTCGCATGGTTTCTCCATTGATGTGTCTGCAAAGTGTCGTGGTCTATAGGGTCTTTTGAAATCTGTTGACTTGCAGATCGCAGTGTAATGGCGCATCAAGGGGGCTTGGTTGCGCGGTGCCGCAGCTGCATGCGCAATACTATTGTCTTTTGCAGCTGGACATCGTAAATCGTATTGGAGTGACTGCATCAAGGCCGCGATGGCGATTTGTCAGCAGATTTTCTCAATTTTGGAGCCGGTGATTTTCCATGACAAAATTCCCTTTAAAGAGGGCTTCAAAATCATGGTTTTTTTTGCTTTGGCCCCGAGATATCGGTTTGGAGCGCAATTTCTCACGCGTTGACGTAGTTCTATTGTGTTTGGCAATTCAATACTTGAAACGCCATTGTAATGGTTGCGTCAAGGTTGCTCGGTGCCGCAGCTGCATGCGCAATACTTTATTGTCTTTGAGCTGGAAATCGTAAATAGTATTGAGTGACTGCATCAAGGCCGCGTGGCGATTTGTTCAGCAGATTTCAAAAATTAATAGTAATGGAACGTGCTGCGTGCAAGCTTTGTAGTACAAAAAGTAGTGAGGGAAGTACTTTGTGCAAGCTATTGCAGTACAAGTAGCAAGGGGAATTACTTTTTGCGCATGCTTTGTATACAAAGTTAGTACTGGGAAGTGCTTTGGGCAAGCTTTGTCGTACAAAGTAGTTACTGCGGAAGTTACCAAGTTAGTTACTTGGACCTACGTGTGCAAGCTTTTGTAGTACAAAGTAGTACTGGGAAGTACTTTGTGCAAGCTTTGTAGTACAAAGTAGTACTGGGAAGTGGCTTGCGCAAGCTTTGCAGTACAAAGTAGTACTGGGAATTACTTTGTGCAATCTTTGTAGTAAAAAGTAGTACTGGGAATTTCTTTGTGCAAGCTTTGCAGGACAAAGTAGTACTGGGACGTACTTTGTGCAAGCTTCGTAGCATAAAGTAGTAGTGGGAACAAGGTTTGTGGTCCTTGGACCTACCTTGCGCAAGCTTTGTAGTACAAAGTAGTATTAGGAATTGCTTTGAGAAAAGTTTGTAGTACAAAGTAGTACTGGGAAGTACTTTGTGCAAGCTTTGTAGTACAAAGTAGTACTGGGAAGTGGCTTGCGCAAGCTTTGCAGTACAAAGTAGTACTGGGAATTACTTTGTGCAATCTTTGTAGTACAAAGTAGTACAGGAAGTACTCTTTGCAAGCTTTGTAGTACAAAGTAGTACAGGGGAGAACTTTGTGCAAGCTTTGTAGTACAAAGTAGTACTTGGACGTACTTTGCGCAAGCTTTGTAGTACAAAGAAGTACTGGGACGTGCTTTGTGCAAACTTTGCAGTACAAAGTAGTACAGGAAGTACTCTTTGCAAGCTTTGTAGTACAAAGTAGTACAGGGGAGAACTTTGTGCAAGCTTTGTAGTACAAAGTAGTACTTGGACGTACTTTGTGCAAGCTTTGTAGTACAAAGTAGTACTGGGACGTGCTTTGTGCAAGCTGTGCAGTACAAAGTAGTACTGGGGAGTGTTTTGTTCAAGTCTTGTAGTTAGAAAATAGTGCTGCTCGCTCCAGCTTGTGCTGCAGCAAGTGCCATTTGACGTAAAGAATGTAAGGTGTGCTCGGATGAGATGACAGCAGCTTAGAAGAACTTAGGCGACACTTGCGAAGAAAGGAGATGAGATGACAAAAGCTGAAACGAGATCAGATTAGGTGAGAAGAGCTCAGATGAGATGAGATGAGTTGAGATGAAGTATGAAGTTGAGATGCAACGTGAAGGGTGAAGTCTAAGCTTTGGAACGCAAAGCAGTGCTTGGCGTTGCATTGCATCGGGGTCGCGCGCAGGTCGTGTTCTTGGACAACAAACACGCACGCACGGGCCTGGCTGAGGCACGGCGCATGCAAGTTCTATAGATGAGAAAGGCCTTGTAGTATAACCCTAAGGCAACTTCCGCCCCGCCTCGTGCGGGCACTACTAGTACTATTGTTATTACTAACATGATTGGCATTTTACCATCCAGAATCCAAATGTGCCGGACTAACATATTTTTATATAAACTAACATAGGTTGGCCCATGATTGGCATTTTTCTGCATAAGAGTGTGCTCATATCCTGCTTGGCCATTTTGTGCAAAAACTGTCATCATGATATTCTCCACCGCAGGTCCTCAACGGCACCGTTTCCGACGACGCGGGCGTCCCTTCAACACCGGCGCCAGCGAAGAAGGAGATCTTCGCACCGCCACCACGAGAGGAGGTGAACGGTGTAGAAACCGTGGGTGATCAACGAAGAAAATGGTGACAAATGGTCGTTTTGTGAAAAATGGGAATTTCAATATTGAGAATGTGTTTTTTCATTCTTACGTACGCAAGCTAATAAAAAGAATCCTACCCTTGATAATCCATGTGATACTGAAAAATGGTCGTTTTGCCAGGGAAAAGCGCAGGTTTTACCATGGAAAACGGAATTTAACCATGAAACAATCATGAAAAACAACTGGATTTAATCATGAAAAATGGGAAGTGTGGGCAAGAAAAGTTAGGATGCAAAGTGGTTTATGAATTGCGAGATTGGTTTTGGGATTCAACTCTTAAAATTGAAGTTTATCCAACAAGAATGGGGATTAAATCAGCTATGAGTTTGAGATAACTTGAGTGGATTGTTTCATGTTGTGTCCCATCAAGAAGGGTTGGTGCTGATGGGTTTAATTTTCTACTCAAGTGGATGTGATGATGAACCCCAAGCGGCGGTCCTTTTTTTGCCGCTTTGTGGCGGTTCAAAATTGTTACCTTGAAAATTGCTACCATAATTAATCAAATTTGACAAAACGACTGCCAAATGTGGACTCTGAAATATGGAAATTGCACAAAATGACTACCAAATATGGAAATCCCAAGGTGGTTTCCACCCCTCGGAACTGATCCAAAAAACCAAGCTGATCAAAACCTGGGGCTGCAATGTTCCTTGGGAAATCCATCTAGGGAATCTCGGTTGGGAATAATTTTGGTGGGCTTAAGCAAGTCCGAGAATAAGGTGAGTTATTGAGTGATTGAGGACTTAATGGGGCTTTACTAGGGATGTAAGCCAACAATGATCTTACAAAATAAATCGTGGATCTTGGCAATCGCATGTTTTCGTTGGATTCACCCACACCAGGTGTTTTTTTACCATGATAAACCCATACTAGTACAGGATGGGGCCCCCCAGTTATAAGTTGGTTTATAAACCATTATAACCACCATTAACTATAGTTGTATCTACCATAAACCATAGAATTCAGCCACTTATAAGGCAACTGAACGCTATCGACTGGGGGCCCCATGACTAGTAATGGGATAAGCCATGGATAACCCATGAAACATCCCTCCATTTTTTGGGTCGTCCAGGTCCAGTCCTTGGACGTCCTCTGGTTGCCGTTGGACACCTCAGAGATGGTCCGGCTGCGGCGGATACAGGTCCGAAGCGGCTGTTCGGGACAATGGTGATGTTTTCAGCACGAAAAAATGGGGATAACCATGGATAAGAACCAATGAAGCCGATTTATAGCTGATTTGTAGCTGATTTATAGCTTATTTATAGCTGATTTATAGCTGATTTTGTAAGAAAATGATGATGATAACCATGGATCACCGAAACTGAAATGGATTTATAGCTGATGAATGATCACCAATGGGATTTAGAGCTGATTTATGATAGCTAAGTTGATGCTAACTCCAGTTTCACGTTTGGATTTATGGGAGGATTAATATCAAGCTAGTCGCTAGTCGCTTCGTAAACCAACATTCACATAATTTCACAATTGGGTGGGCATCATTTTCCCGAGACATCAAAATCAATGAAAGATGGCGATTGAAAATCCTAAACCTTGTTGGTGGTTTCAAAGATTTGGATTATTGTCCATTTCATATTTATGGGATGTCATCCTTCCCATTGACGAGCTCATATTTTTCAAGATGGTTAAAACCACCAACCAGCTAAACTATAGGTGCTGAATTTAAGTAAAGTAATAAGAAAATCATCGAACTAAATGCAGGATGTTCAGGATGTTCCGTCGTTTTGTGGGGTTGCCAGAGGATGTTCATCTGCCCCGGGTTTGATTGCCAGAGTCAGTAACAAGTATCCCAGTAAACGCATATTAAAGAGCTACTTGGATATGCGGGCCTGGTTCTCTGGCTCTACTAAGTGGGATGATTTTCCACTGGGCACCACTGGGTACCACTTTATCCTCAGGTGGTGAAGGACGATTTCTTGGGCGCCATTGAAGCGCAACTGCAGTGCTCGGGCTTGGGCTTGATGGCACATCCATTGACGTGGATGGGAAACCGACCCAAAGGCCGATCGGATATGGACCCTGCCATTCAGATCAGAAGGTGAATGAAACCATTCAAAATTGGTCGGTTTTCAGGGTGGAACTGTAAATTTACCAGAGGTGTAATATATATATATCTATATATACATACATACATACATATTTATTTAATGATACATGTGTATAAATAATATATTAATATATTAATATATATATATATTATATTTATATTATATATATATATATATTATATTTATGTTATATATATATATACAAACACATATATATATATATATATACAAATATACATATATACAAATATACTTCTATACATATACAAACTTATATACATATATATATATATATATTTATATATATATTCAAAATCCACCAAAAAGACACAGAAAAGCAGAATCCCAGTAGATTGCTGCATCTCTCTTTTTTGGGGGGTACTATAATCAAGAATCCAAATGTAACTGGGGATATTCCATAAATCTGACTGGGTGGATCAAGGATGTGAGGCATGAAAGTGTGCAGTATATCCCTAGTTACAGCGCAGCTCCCCATGATGAACCATTGTTGACCACGATTTAACCATTATTAGTTATTATCCAGTACAAACTACAACCATACTTGGAGGATTATTCCACTTAGTACCTGGTTAATAACCCGAGAGCTAGTAAGTAGTCCCTAAGTGACAAGGTTAGCCTGTACATAAGTGGGCTATAAACACCACTAACCAATTGCAGTATGAGTTGTGGGATTACCCTCCAAGTAGATGTGCCATCTTCTCCCCACTATTTAACCACTATTCACCATTACCAAAAGAGAAAAGGCCATCTTCTCCGCTGGTTAAAGCGTATTCCTCCATTCTTACGCATTATCAACCACCATTCAACCATCTATCAGTATAAACCACCGCTATCTCCATGCTGGTTCGCCACAAAAACCTCCATCTCGTTGGTGGATTTCCCATTTTCCCCCGACAGGCCTAAGCCTTTACGAAGTCGTTGAGCCCTTTACGATGGCTGAAGTGAATGCCAGGGCAAGCGCCCTCGCAGGACCGCCTTGTGGATGGTGACCAGATGTAGAAAAACCGTTTGATTTGCCATAGCAACTCCAAAAAAACAACACCGGTTTTCGATGAAAATGTCCAGTATTTGAGGATTGGATCTTACAACTTCCTGCATCTTTTTGGGCAATGCTTCGAGGACATGAAATCCACGGTGAAAGTTTCCTCATGGATGCTAGCGCGCATTCCAAAGGTCCCGGACGGGTGGACGGGTGGAAATTGTGGAAATATTGTGTTCCTCTCAAATCTGGTTGGTGGTTTGGAACATGAATTTTATGACTTTCCATAATATGGGATAATAATCCCAACTGACGAACTCATATTTTTCAGAGGTGTAGAGCTCAACCACCAAGCAGAAATAGTTTTCAAATGTACGTTCATCTCGCTATAGCTGATATAAGTTATGACCCATCCCCATATCACTGCCTTGGTTTCACTAAAGAATTTGCAAACAGTTCAGCGACTTTGGGCGTTCTGTTGCCACCTGGGAATGGTTGGCAGCGGTGAGACTCGCGCCTTATACTGCCGCCCATCTCAGGTGTCAGATGTGTCAGTAATGTGGGCAACCCAATTCCATAAACCATCATAAACCTACCTGGTTGGTGGTTCGGAACATTTTTTATTTTTCCATATATTGGGAATAATAATCCCAACTGACGAACTCATATTTTTCAGAGGGGTAGAAACATACCACCAACCAGCTACCAGTTGGATCCATTTTGGGATTGGTCTGTTGCAGCCATAAGACTGCTGATGACTTGGATGGTTGATATCATCCCATGAAGAACGTCGAAAATTCGCCCAGTGAATTTTGAGCTCTAGGGATGGTGATTATCGAAGGAAGTTTAGAAGTCAAACTTCCGACAATATGGACAGATGAAAAGCAGAGCAGGGAAGAGGCAGAGAGAAGAGAAAGATTAGAAGAAAGAAGAGTAAGAAGAAAGAAGATGCAGATGCGCGAAAAGGTAGGAAAGTCGCGAAACACTGTGTTTTTCCAATCATTTGGGGCTCCGGAGGGTCGAAAAGCAGGCTCGCTAAAGCGGCGGGTGCGGAGCCAGCTGGCCAGATGAGAGATGAAAAATTGCACGCCGTTGTGGCGCGAAGCACATTTCCAAGTCAAAATCTACAAAACACACCATTCTCGGACCACTTTTGGAAGTTGAGATGTCGAAAAAGTGCACGCCGTTGTGGCGCGAAGCACATTTCCAAGTCAAAATGTACAAAGCACACCATGTTCGGACCACTTTTGGAGGCTCAGATGTCGTTTCGCTTCGCTTCGCTTCACTAGATTACACTACATGACACAACACTCCACTACACTACACTACATTACACTACACTACACTCCGCTACACTACAACTACAACTACACAACTACACCCCGCTACACTCCACTACACTAAATTACACTACGCTAAATTACACTACACTACACTAAATTACACTACACTACACTCCACTACAACTACACAACTACACTACACTCCACTACACTCCACTACACTACATTACACTACATTACACTACACTACACTACATTCCACGACACTCCACTACACCACACTACATTACACTACACTACATTACACTCAATGACACTGCACCGCAGATAGACAGATAGTTAGATAGACAGATAGACAGGTAGACAGCTAGACAGATGAAGGAGAGAGAGAGAGAGAGATAGGTAGGTAGATAGATAGATAGATAGTCAGAGAAAGAGAGAGAGAAATAGTGAGAGAGATCAATCACCTTTCGCTCCATCAGTGGCTTCGCTCTGCCATCCCTGATTCACAACAACCAACCTCTCCTATAGGTTTCCTATTTTTGAAACTTCCGCCACCGCCTTGTGCGGTACTACTGGTAGAAATCCCATAATTTTCCATGATCCCATGACTATTTATCCTCAAGTAGAATACCTCAGTGTCATCAGTTACAATATATTACATAGATGATAGGTTGGATAGAGTTCGGCGAGAATTCATTCATGATGATGGATCAAGGGTAGACTGGTAGACACAGCCGTCATTTTTGTAATGCTGTATTGAATTGCTTGAAGATGATTGCGGATGAAAGAATTGCAGTATCATACCTGCAGATAACAGGAAACTGGGTTGTGCACAGTTCAACCTGGGTTTGGCTTTGGCAAATTTGCCAAGACACAGAATCTTGCACAGCCTCAGAGAAACCTAAGCAGTGTGTGGCTTGGGAAGCGTTTGGCCAGGCCTGACCTCACCTGTTGTGGCATGCAGAGACACCCGCAGCGAAGACACTGAAGCAATGGCGTCTCTGCACACGTTTGACCGCGGTCACTCCGACGGATGTCAGCAACTTGTGTGCTGAAGTCACGGCTGCGATGGTGCCGGTTTCTCTTCCGTGCTTGAAGAAATTCCAAAAAGCGGTTGCTGGCTGATGTTTCCTTGTTCGGCTGCCAGCGTGCCAGATAGGATGCCAGATAGAATGCCAGATATTGTCAGAATATATGTCAGATAGAATGCCAATTGGTGGGGATCACTCGAAGAGAGTAATTTTGTGAAAAGCATCAATTTCTTGGATGTTCTAATTGGTCCTTGACTGTTGGCGTGGTGACCAATATTTCCCATGAAATATGCCCATGGGTGCTTGGCTTAACGCCCATTACAAATCAATGATGACCCTCTGGTTTCATCAAAGATGGCGGGAAAATCCACCCTTTGTTTCGATGAGAAATCAGCGAACTAAACCTCCATATTTCTTCATCGGGAGTTCCCATCGCCATATTCTTACTCGTGCTAAACGCAGGGAATTTTCGGGAATGATCCATAATAACTATCAATAATCATTCCAGCAACCCCAGTCCCATCCATTCCCTGCTAAGCACCAGTAAGTATTACCGTAAGGAGCCGCCCTGGTGGATTTGACGCTCATGCGCTGCTTGGCTCAGATCCTACCAGATGGCCCCACCTGTTGGACGTTTGTTGGCTTATGAATCCCGACCTAACTCAGCCGCGTTGGTATAACTGGTATAAAACGCGTTGTATAGGTCGTATACCAGTTGTTATACCGATTTGTTGGTTTTTATTTTTAAAGGGGCATCTAAAGTATAACAACTGGTATACGACTTCGAACTTGGAACTTTCATCTATCAATCAAAACGTCCAACTCCAACTTGCACTCCGCATCCGATCGGTTTTATGGTAAGTCATGCGAATCCATACGCATGTGAGTTTCGAGCTCAAGTGAGCACAGACATGGATTTTTTCGCCCCACCACTCATGATCCACGTCTCATGATATCCCGCCCATGGATATATTTCACTTTTCCTTTGCTCGTGCGAACTGGCAAGCGCACAAGTCATATTTTGCATGGCTCATGTGAGCCGTACGATTTTTGTTCTCATGTGAGCTTTCCAACACATGGCATCAATACTTTTTGCTGGTGGTTTGGGACCAGTTTTTCCCAGCCATTTCCGCCATCCCCATGGTTTGGAACTACATTATCTATCTTATCTAATCTTATCTTAATCTTATCTTACCTTACCTTATCTTACCTTACCTTATCTATCTATCTATCTACCTATCTATCTATCTATCTACCTATCTATCTACCTATCTATCTATCTATCGATCGATCTATCTATTTATCTATCTATCTATCTATCCATCGATCTATCTATTTATCTATCTATCGATCTATCTATCTATCTACCTATCTATCTACCTATCTATCTCATTCAGTGTTCCTTAGATAGTTCAGCTAGACGTGGGTCTGTCTGACAATGGAGGGATACCCCAAATAGTTCAGATAGATGATGATGAACCAATGGATTGAGGGGTACGACACACCCACGCGTATGTATGTACATATACATATGTAATATATATATATACATATATATATACATATATATATTTACATATATATAGTGTGTGTGTGTTTATATGTGTTTATCATATTATCTACATGCACATGAATGAATGTCTATATGCATAAATCACCGCATGACCATTACAATCCCCCATTGGTCTATGGTTGAATCAGTTGAAGACAACCATATCTGCAACTATTTTGTATGCATCATACATGATTTTAGATAAATCCATTGTGGATTGCATATGTATTTTTTTTGTATGTACATACAGATTAGCAAATGTCTGAATGTACCTTTCATATGGTTTAGACATCATAAGATGGGAAGAAAAGAAAAAAAACTTAGGTTCAGAACAGCCACCATATCCCCAACTACTGTTGCGTTCACCATACATTTGTTGGATTAATCCATTGTGGATAATATACATGCGCATATAGATATATTTATATGTACATATACCTATAATTACTAAACACAAAGATGTTGTGATACACATAGTCAATGTCATTAATATCCATATACTATACACATATAATCACTGTGTATAAATATATATATATATACTATTATACATATCATTGCCATTTATAGTGAATTTCCCCATTAAACATGGTGGATCTTTCCAGTTCGTTATGTAAACGTTTACCAGGCAGGGTAGTCAATGTCTATAGTTTGTTCCAGGCTATGAGCAGCTCAAGGCAGACAAAGCTGGTCATTTGCAGCTCGATGTTCGGGGCCGGCGTCCATCGGGTCCGACGGGCAACGAGAAGGTTTTTAGAAACCCAAATTAGAGGAAATGGTGGTTAAAAACATCCACTGGTTGGTGGTTTGGAACATGAATTTTATTTTTCCATCATGTATGGGATAATCCTTCCCATTGACTAATATTTTTCAAGATGATTGAAACCACCAACCAGTTGTGGTTAAAAACGTCAAGAATTTGGGGATTTGTATGGAAAAGAGTACGATTTAGCCATATTTAGTCTCTGGTGAACTGATAGTTTGCTATGAAAAATCATCATGTGTCACCATGTTTAAGTGTCAGTGAACTATGAATATGTTCACTGGCGCTGTTCAAAAAGCAATCTTTTTTTTGCGGTAAACATCTAAATTTTGGGAAAGCAAAACCAGGATCAAGTAAGTATCAGACTCAGAATCCAACCTTCGGTGAAAAAGCTGTGGCTTTAACCAGCGAAGAGAAGGTAAATCAATCCATTGGATCATGGTGTTGGCAACATGGACAAACCATCTTCAACTGGTTGGTCGTTTCAAAGATTTGGATGATTTTCCATAATATATGGGATAATCCTTGCCATTGACTAATATTTTTCAAGATGGTTGAAACCACCAACCAGTCAATGATTTTCAGGGTATATAAGAATCAAGAAAAGACAGGAGTTTGGAAGTTGGGTATAGCCCAGTATTTTCCATGATTTTTCTGCGGGTTACAAGCGAGTTACTGCTACGGTTCTCATTCACCAACTTCATTGACCACAAAGTGGTGCCCCAAGGTGAAACCCCCCATATAAAGGTGTGTTAGTTTATAAACCCATTAATGATAGTCATATCCCCCGCAAACATGAGATAACCTAGTTTTGCTTCAACTTAGCTACCGACCTCACCTTGTAGTTTATCAATATATCCCCATAAATATCCATAAATTCCCCAGTTGGCCTACTTATAAATCAACTTGGCAGACTCCCAAAAGTTGCTGGAAAGTTGGAAGCTTGAAAAAATATGGGAAAGGTCATCGAACTCCCATCCTTGAAACACTGTAGATGGCATCTTTTTGGAGGTTGCACAGATTGCCAGGGGGGTCCTACCAGTGGGATGTTTTCTCTATGCGGTATGCCGTAGCGGGATCTATGCTAAGTTGCTATGCTATTTGAGGTGCCCAAAAAGAAGGAGAATGATGATCAACTTGCGAAACCAAAGGCATGGTCATTGGTAAAATCATAAATATGTCTTTGGGAAATGGAGATATGGGGATTGACTGAGAATACACTTTGTCCAAAGCCTGTGGATCTAACCAGGAAGTCATTGTTTTCCCAAAATGAATGGCCAGGAAGGAGAAAATTCGTCGCCAGGACACTTTGGCTATGACATATGGAAAGAAAGCACCAAAAATGGCTGCATTGACATCTATTGGCAGGCCTTTAAAAATCAGGTTCTATAGAAGTCGAATCCAGGAAGGTTTTGAATTCGGCAGGTCGGTGTGCCAGAATTTAGTATCGATGAAGGAACCTAAGGAACCTCAAGCCTGTGGAGCCGATCGGAACAGGTGAAGGCACAATCTAGATTTGTAAACGATATATACCTCTACGATGAACAAGCTTTATCTGATTGGTGGTTTGGAATCATCCCAACTGACTAATATTTTTTCAGAGGGGTTCAAACCACCAACCAGTTATGTTTGTTGCCATGTTTGTCTAGAATAGATGGCATTGAACACATGAATCCCATGAAAAGTTGTAGTTTTGGTTTTGTTCATTCACATCCCAAAAAAACCGGGGTCCTTCAAACGAGCTATGCTGCAGATATCTAGCAAATATGATTAATCAAACTGTTCCACTGACGGGTGAATTGCCAAAACCACGCATTTTCAGTTTCAGCTTGTTTGCGTATATTTGCTTTTGTTTGCGGATACTCGCGTTCGGTGCTACACCTTGTTTTTCCGCAGTAAAAACCATGGAACTCAGAATCAACGACACAATTCTCTGAAACAACAATGCGGTGCGCAATCGCATGAAATTTCAATTCCAGCTGATTTGATGCCTGCTTGCAGACTTCGGGAGTGCACCGGTGGCCAGGAGGTGACTTGGCGCAATCCAGTATACCCTATTCGTATCCCTGAGCAGTGCATCATCAATGTTCGCGTCATGAGGTGCAGCTGGATCAGCTGCACCTGCACAGCCATGGCAGGAGTGCCTACAGCAGGTGCAGCACAGGAGTGCCAGCTGCAGCTCCAGCACCCATGGCAGGAGTGCCTCCCGCAGCTGGACAAGTGACGTGGTCCCCGTGCACGCCGTCACCGGCCGGCTTCTGCCTCTGCCCCCTCATGCGACATCACTCCACGGTCCACTTGAAACGAGCTGCAGCTGGTGAAGATGGGCCTGTGGGTCCATGCTGAACCCTTTCACAACTTAATTGACATATCTATGCTGGTTGGTGGTTTCAAACATTTGGATGATTTTCCATAATATGGGATGTCATCCTTCCCATTGACTAATCTTTTTCAAGATGGTTAAAACCACCAACCAGTATGGCTTTTCAGGTATAGCACACTTTCAGACAAACGCAAATGGGCGTACAATCAGTCTTTGGTTGGAGTTCCCCGTCCTCAGTAGTGTAGATATTTTGGTAACCCCCTAAAAGGCTGAAAAGTATGAAAATCATTGAACATGTACCAAAGCTAATGGTAAATTCATGTTCTATCTTGTTGGGGCTACTATATCCCCCGTTATCCCCCCATCCAAGCTTGTTGCTTTACGCACCATGTCCTCAGTCTCCGCTCAGGAACAGCCCTGTAACGGCCCTGAATCAGAATCGTGGCATGTTGCTGTGCGGCCATCCCAAGTTACCAGAGACCTACTCCGCATCGAGCCCCGTCAAACAACGGAAAATCTGGTTGGGAAGTGATTCTGGTCATGAAATCGCTGGAAAATCCCGGAAAGTACCTAAATGGAGGTTCGAACTAAATGGGAGGATGTTCAATTGCCATGTTGGCACCGGAGTGTAAATGTGATTGAGTCTGGGATCAATGAGGTTGAACCAAACCAGATCCTAAGACATGAATAGGAATCAAAAAAACTGCTCGGGCTTTTTTGAGGTTCCAAATGGATAATTACAATTACAAGCATGATTATGAACCCACATAAACCCATATAAACCCACATGTTGGGATTCAAAACCCCTAGAGTCCGATGCTGTTAAATAGCTCCACTTTGTTCACTCCTTCCCGCTGCAGACCTAGTTGAATACCCCAAGTTGGAACCCAAAATGAGTAGATCCAGTAGATCAAGGATAAAATAGATGCAAAATAAAATTAGATCCCAAAGTAAAACGAATGGATACTAGAAATCCAGTAGACGGTCGGGGGTCTAGGATGGTATTTCGCTGATGGATTTTTGTCTTCTCTGAGGACATGGGTTGGCTTGAACCCCAAGTCCTTGCTGAACGAAGTAGCCAGAAGGCGCAGCAAACATCTGAAGCCACTGGACACTGGATGGTAGGTTTTTCTTGGGGGTTGTCACTCGGACATGAAAAAATGCTACAGATCATTGAGAGTTTGGAAGCAACGAAGAATTCGTCAATGACTAAGTAAACCAACTGGCTGAGGGATTGGCCAGTTCAAGGCACCAAAGTGACCAACAGAATAAACTGGTGTGTGAAAAACCACCAGATTTCTGAGAATGAACCAGTGACACCGTGGATTTAGCTAACAGAAAAACACATTATCATGTGAATTCTTTAGCAAAACTCTTGTAATTCACCGGTAAGGTTGTAAAATCACAATTCACTGGCTATTTCACTCCCTGGGAATAATATATGGTTTCCATTGACAAAAACGGAGACTTTCAACCACCAAAAATGAACATCTTCAGCCAAATCCATGGAGGAATGTGCTACAGGAAGGGCCTCCCCAGTGCATCTAACTACAGATATAACCAGCTAAAACCCAAGTTAGTTATTTAAGGGGCCCTGCCTGTAACCGGCAATAACCGTGGTGTTGTTGTTTTTGCTACTAGCATCTGGTTTCAGCCATGATTTCTTGGTGGAGTCGGCAGTTTGAAATGATACCTCTTTGAGCGGCTTGAGCGGCTCCAAACAGGGCTGAAAGAAACATGATAGTGATAGAACTAGATAGAACCCAAACTGAGAGTGCCGAATCCAAAAGCAATCATGTTCAATTTTCCCAATGAAGAGAAGAAAAGGGGAGAAAATAGGTTTGTCTGAAAGCTAACAATTTATAGCAATTGGAAATAGGGAAAATAGAGTTTAAAACAATCAAACCTGGTACAGGATGCTGCCCCCAGTTATGTTTGTTGGTTAATAAAGCCCATGAACTAGTTCGTGATATCTACACAAACCATAGACTTCAGCCCCTTTTTTCAGGCGTTGTCCCATCATTTTCAGCGCGTCGCCAGGAGAGGATTCAACGTACATGTGGAGGCACGACGGGTCCACGGCTGACATCCATGCAATCCTGGTAGTTTATATTGGAAATATGATGTGAATATATGGGAAGAGCTAGCTATTTCAAATCTTAAGATTCATGGAAATAACTGCAGACATGATCTTGCCCTCACGTGGTGACGTAACTGGAATGTTACATTAGATATATATATATATATTGACATCACGTACATTGACATCACTAAGTTATGTTACTTACATTGACATCACTAACTTTGATGGTTAAAGCCCTATTCCTTGATGATCCCCCACCCCATGACAGCTCCATAGGGAATCCATGGGGGGTTCCATTGTTTCACCATCAGAAATGGTGATTTCACCATCAAATGTGGATTTTACCATGGGTTTTGTGCTTCAACGAAACTTGGGATTCGCCAACAAACGAATTGGGATTTCTGGAGCACAATCCTGATTTGAGAGTGGTGTTTAGCACGCCCAGGATTTATCCGATTTGGCCAGCAACAAAATTGGATTTAACCAACAACAATATCACAATATGCAACTTGTTCAACATAATATGTTGGCTAAACAAGGGTACGTTGGTTCACCTTGGAAAATGGAAGTTTAAGCAACGTTTAGCGGTTTAACAATGGAATTTCACCAAGAATGCGAATGGCAAATGCATGGAAATGAACACTCAAACATATGGGTAAATGACGGTAAATGGCGGGTTCCAGACTTGGGCAAACCATACGCACTACTTGGGGGTGGGGTTTCGCTTAATTCGAGTGGGCATTGTATATTGCACAGCCTATTCACTTTGCTGACTGAGGGGCTTGGTCCACAAGGGAAAGCTCATGACGAGCAGATGGGGAAGATCTGGAACTTGGTTGAAAGGTGCCAGCAACGTCAGCCACATCCAATCCATCCTGCAGGTCGAGTTCGTTGCTGCCTCCAAGTTCAAGAAGAAACAACCTGCTTCCAAGAAGAATATCCCAAAGTGGATCAAACTACATGCAGCTTTCAAGCTTCGCCATGAGGCCATCAAGCACTTGGGCATCGAGACCTGGTTGACAGAACTTTTCCGACCGGATGACCGGATGATTGAAAACTGGTCGGTGGTTTGGAACATGGCTGGATTATGACTTTCCATATATTGAGAATGTCATCATCCCAACTGACTTTCACTCCATCATTTTTCAGAGGGGTAGGGCGAAAAACCACCAACCAGCCATATGTTCCTATATGTTCCCATGGTTTATGGGGAAAATTTCCCATATGTCCATATGTTTCCTACAATCCCCCCATGATTTTCCACCAGAAAATTCTGATGCGACTGGTTTTTTTCGTGCCGATTTCCAGCTATGTATCACTAGGTTTAGCCGCGTGAAACCCATCTCCAAAAACTGGTTGTTGATGGTCATCCCCAGAGATTCATATGATATCTATATTGTGTATTATATGTTCTATGTATGTGTTCTATGGTGTACAGTCTATGAATATATATATATATATATTATTATTATTGTTATTATTATTATTATACATAATCTCTCTCTCTATCTGTACATATGACATACTCGTGAGTTGATAAGTGGGATCCTCCAAGCATAGGCCCTGAATCCCAATTTGTACCGCTAAATTTCGTGGCGCCAGGCCTTCGCGTATCAAAATGACGCCTATCCAGTGGAAGATGCTCGGCGCGAGCGGTGCGGCATTGCCGAGCCCTATGATGGGTGCTGGATTCTCATATGGACAAACAATGATGTATGGATGTATATCTGGTTGGTGGTTTGGAACATGGCTTTTAGTTTTCCATATATTGGGAATAATGATCCCAACTGACTTTCATATTGTTCAGAGGGGTAGGTATACCACCAACCAGATATGGATTTTTATGGATCGATGATCACCAAAAAATGGGATGGGCATGGGTTTATGATCTATTTATGATATGCAAGTTGGATCACGTTGGTTTATAAGCAGATTATCTAGATCTATGGGAAACATATCTGCAGTTGAATGGGTTTATAAACCAGCTTATTGCTGGAGAACGTCACATCGTATCATGGATTTTTTTAGGGAAACCCTGCTGAAAGCTCCCGTTGCCGGTCACCAAGGATGGCAAGACATGGTATCGGGCCAGCGCCAGTGTCAGCAACGAGCAGGATGAAAAGTGGAGCTATGGTTTCCTGGCTGCGTGTCGGCTTTCTATGGGGATCCTCAAAAGAAAGATTAAGGTGGTAAACCCTGGTTGCCATAAACAACCACCCAACCTGGGCATGGTTTGAATCCCTAAAAATGGTGTTGACTTGGGGATGGTTTGCGGCATTGGGTTTGAAGTTCACATGCATCTGCCATACAACACATGGGCCCAAACACTTTAACGTCGATGACGTTCAAAACGATTGGACCTCAGAAAAAGCAGGATATGTGTTCAGCATTTCCCAAGAGAACTATGTGTGATATCATAGTATAATTTGGTAACCCCAAATGGTAGCTGCCATCAAGACAGGGTTTCCCACATCATTATGATCCCCAACAAGCCCCTTTTAAAGAGACCCCAACGGAGTCTATGGAGGATCTAAGTATAGTTACTAGACCGACAAAAGTAGTAATTTTTCGTTATCCCCCATAATTTGATTATCCCCCATTATTTATGTCAGATAATTATATTAGTTTAATAAACAGCATATTAGTGTTAATGTTATCCCTCATATGAATTTATCTGGTTGGTGGTTTGAAACATGAATTTTATTGTCCATTTCATGTGTGGGATAATCCTTCCCGTTGATGTTCATGTGTTTCAAGATGGTTAAAACCGCCAACCAGAATCCCAAAATAGGTCACTAATGGTTTTAATAATGGTTATAATGATGGCTATAATGATTGTTATAATGGTTATCCCCATGATTATGGTTTAATAAACCAATTATATTTTCCATATTATAAACATCATATTAGTGTTAATGTTATCCCCCATATGATTTGATGATTCAAAAAAAACAATGACATTCACATTTCACGACCGGGGGCACCGCACCTCTCAGGTGAACCCTCGACTAACAAGATGGATACGCAGCAGGATGCCTCGCTGAGAGTTCTGCAACTCTTCCAAGGCGAAACGGACGCGACACGGACGGGGACATGTTGACATAGAAAACCCAGTGGCGTTCCAAAAATGATCTAGAAATGGTGGTTGTTTTCCACATACGATGCTGGTTGGTGGTTGGTGGTTGGTGGTTTGGAACATAGTGATATTAATAGTGGTTAATAGGGTATAAACCAACCACAATGGGAATATGATGGTGATCTGGTTGGTGGTTTCAAACATATCTTTGTGATTTTCCATTTCATGTATTGGGAATAATCCGAAACCCATTGACGAACTCCATCATTTTTCTAGATGGTTGAAACCACCAACCAGTATGTTAGTTTACAGAAGGGTAACGAAAAATCTTTGGGTGGTAATTGTCCAGCGCTCAAGTACTGGAGGGTATTTCTGAAACGATATTTCGGCCAACATGTCCCATCTCAATTCCATTTATGATGGATTACAAGCCTCCAATAAATGGGAAAAACATCTATAAATGAGATGATGATACGGGTCGGTTCTTTCAAAAGCCATGAGTTTTTTCAGCTGTAGGATGATAGTCCATTGACGACATGGCGGGCACCATTTTGCTCTGATGAGTGTAGTGGAACATCCCCAATTTGTCACTTAAAAGTTTAAAGATGTTCTCTTTGGTTGCTTAAGTCAACATGTTTGTCACTCAAACGTTGAGGTCACCATGTTGCACCATTTTGCTACAACGAACACTGCACTTCAGGTGAAGATGATACATCGGTTGGTCGATGGCGGCACCCGCTGGTTGAGACTTGGTTGGGCTTTGGGTCAACCTTGGACAGGGGTTGGTAACTGTCCCATTTTGGCTATATTGGACATCACCTTATAGTAGCCATTATAGACCATGTACCTAATGGTTGGGTGATGTTCAATGGGGACATTTAATGACCCATGTTGGATGGGTTGTGTTAATTTCTTGCTATCTGCAGGGCAGACTCATTCATCCGTTGGCCAGTTGCCATACCGGCAATGAAGTTGGTTTTGCCATTGCTCATTTGGAGGTTCCTTTCAACGGGTTTAGCCATGGATGTAAAATTGACTGCTTTCTGGCAAAATTTGAGAGAGCCGTGGAAAATCAGCCATGTATTGATTTACCATGGATGTCCTTATAAACATTGGCATTGAACTGGGGTTACCCTCTGGTAAACTGTCCAAAAGAACTATGGAAAGATCCACTATTTTTCATGGGTAAACCATCTATTTCCATGGGCCATGTTCCATAACTAGAACAGGTAAACTGTCCCATAACTATGGAAAGATCCACCATTTTTCATGGGAAAACTCACTATAAATGGGCCATCTATACCATGTCTATGTTGGATCACCAGAGGGTCTGGATCCCCCAGCCATGGCACCATGGCCTCGTCCAAGGAGCCGATGCTCCAATGTGTGAAGGATCGATCTGTCGGACGAGGCCGCCCTGCAACCAAGGAGATGTTGGTTTTTCCCCCAATTCCTCTGGTTTACTCATGGTTCAATAGTCATTAAAACAGGGATTTTTTTGTGATTAATAGTGATTTGTTCAAGTAGTGATTATAGTGGTTAATAGTGATCAAATAGTGATTTATAGTGATCAAATAGTGATTAATCAACATAGGATTAATACTGATTCAATAATGATGGAGGTTTAACCCTGGTATATGCCAGATTAATGGACATCTCAGCAGTTGGATTAATGGATAATGTGGTTTTTTAATAAACCATTTGCGATGCTAATATGTTGGTTGCATAGAATGTGGGATCCCAAAGGAAAACAATGGGTTTACTAAGCCATGGTCTGATGACGTGGATGATTTGGAGGTACCCCGATGACTTAGGAAACCCCTAATTCCAATGGAATAATATATTGGAATATCATGGAATATCACCATTTAGTTTCGCCTATTTTAATGGCCCAATATGGGTGATATACCCGGTACCCAGTGACCCAACCAACATCGCCCAGACCTGGCAACTCCCTTCCCTCGTGGGAGTAAAGTAACTTGGCGCCATGGAGCTATGGGTGCTGTGGATGAACGAACAACAAGGGGGTCCCAGCCCTTGTCTGAAAGAGAAACAAGATTGAGATCTTATGGAGGAGCAGGATCCCAGTCATTCTTTTCCTTGGTGCTGTTTTCATTATTTTGTTCTTGCTATGTATTTCTGTGTGTCCTTATTCTTGTCGTTATTCCTGTGTGTTGTTCTTGTTGTTCTTGTTGTTCTTCTTGCTCTAGCTCTAGCTCTTGCTCTTGCTTGCTACATCCTCATTTCCTCATTCGTGCTGGGTAGAAATACGTTATTTGTTGGCTTAGTCCCCCAGTTGTTCATTCCCACTTGCCAAAGAACCAAAAACGGCAGGTGCGAAAGCAAATGTACACAAACCGTGTAAATGTGATCTATCCGCGAGATTTGTGGCTACACTGCTACGCTTCTTCATGTTTTCACCTATGTCCGAATGTTTTGAGGTTGATTTGGGGATTATATGAAAATATGATACCCAAAAACATCATGGATTCTTGTTTAAGTAAAATAGCCATTTGAGAGTATTCACCATTTGAAGACAAACCCATATGAATCCAGCCATATTGTTGGTGAATGTAGCATGTATATTCCAGTACATCCTATAGCATTTCCAGCCATATCCTCATCATATTCACATCATTGTCGAGTACTCTTCGATACATCTATATGAAATAATGTTCATGTGTATTCCTCCACAAGATATGCCACCAATCTGGAGATACCATGATCACATCAGTGATGTGGATATACCTTTATATCCTTCTATAGTGGATACCTCAAGAACGGTCACTCAAAAACGACCATCCCAAACCATCCCAAGGTCACTTTCAGCTACCAGATCAAGCTCGGCCAGGCCGATTCCGGCTACGGTTGGTGGTGCCCCAGTTCGTTGCAAAGTTGGTGCAAAGAAGTCCAATATCTGGGGAATCTAGGTATGGTGGATATAACTAGACTTCATGGGCTTTATGAACCAACATTCACTTATAACTGGGACCCGGCACCACCTTGTGGAGAACAAGAGAAATAGATTATCATAGTATTCATGAAATATCCACGAACTTTTTGTGGAGGTTTAATCCACCAGGGAACATTTTTCTGAGCGGCAAGAACCAGTCACTCGATATACCCAATGACTCGATACACCCCCAGCAATCAAAATTTTTGTTGCTGGATATGTATATATATATGTAATACACACATAAATATTCATATCCTAATTTTGTTGCAAGACTAAGGTTATTCATGTAAAGGTTATTATCTCCCAGATCTGCATAATGTTTGGTACGGGCCCGATTCTTTCTGCTTGACTCCACGGTGTTGTTGCTTAAAGCCAGATTTTGCATAATTGTTTGTTGGTTAAAGCATGTTAAAACACTGTTTCACTTATTTAACACCATAAAAGTAATGTTTTTTCTGTTCAAACAATAATTTCAGTTACTTGAAACAAGTTGAAACCATGCTTTTCCAACGTTTCAAAACCTGTTTCAGTTGTTTGAAGCCTGAGATTTTCTTCACCTGAGCCATCGCCACAGGCCACAGGAGACGAGACCATTGAGATGCTGCGTCTCGGTGTTTCGCAAGTGGTGGCGAGAAAACAGCATGGAGCTTTAAGCAACCAAAACGGTGGTAAAAACCATAAGGTTGGGTGATTTCCAAGAATTGCCAGTTTGATTTCCGGTTTTTGTTGATCTTTTTTTTAAACCACTAGGGAAGTTCGTAGTTAGTGCCAATGGCAGCCGTAATTTGACCCACCATCTTTAGCACTTGAAATTCCAGCGTTGATGATTTTCCCCGCGAACGAAATCTCTATTTACTGAGATTTTCCAGCCACGTTTTCCGAGTTTCTCGGTGAGAGGGGTGATATTAACCATGAAAATATCCATTAATGGGATTATCATAGAGTATTCAATGGGAAAATAAGGGAAAATATCCACCAACTATATGGAGGTTTAATTGGAAAATCAAGTATTATCCAATGGATTTGCGGTTTGTCGATGATGTGTTCTTTTCCCAAGAAATCCACTAGACTTAAAGGGAATTTCATTTGGGAATATGTTTTATCTTTGGGGGTTTCCGGAAGCAAATCCAAAGAGCATGGTGAGTTCTTAAGGACCTAATGGAGACTTGTTTCTTTGATGGTGAAAAGCACAAAATGATGGGGAGTTCATCAATAAATAGTGAATATTGACCATTTCTTGTGAATAAGCCGCACCAGGGGATAAACCATGGGTCGTAATGAGATAGGGACGTCCAGCATAATTGTGCTGAGGGTGGGATTTACGAGCCGTGGCTCTAGAAGCAAACGGAGCATTTTCCATAACTGTTAGATGACCAGAACTTCAACTGTAAATCATCTGGTTGGTGGTTTCAAACATTTGGATTATTTTTCATTTCATATATGGGAATTTGTCCGAAACCCATTGACGAACTCCATCATTTTTCAAGATGGGCACATTGCACCACCAACCAGAATATAACTATAACCCCCATTCACTATAGTTTTATCTACCATAAACTATAGTTATTTTTCAGAGATGGGCACATTGCACCACCAACCAGACATGGTGGAATTCAAACCTTCCAATTGATCCGTGCCGACGATTTCATCGGTGATACAATTGAGGTTGGAACGCCAGGAGAGGCTCACTGCAGCAGTCACGGGCCGTGTGCTACATCCAGTGTTGCAGGACAGTGGCCGTCAAGCCCCAGGTTAGACTAAACCTTAGTTAGTTGAATTTTGGGAGGCAAAATAGCGGTAATTTGCGATGAAAATGGTGCCCACTTCCAAATTTTCAACAGCCCAGGGGGAACTCATCCGGGGCTGGCATACAATATCATGCTTGTGTCAAATGTTTGGTTTTTGACGAAATAGAGAGTTCAGTTCAGCAACAATGCGGATTTTCATCTGAAGAGGTGAATAAAGAAACTGGTGAAGGGTAGTGTGATGGGCTATTTTCTTGCCAGAAACTTGTTATTTCCCAACGGAGGCTTCTTTTTTGGCACCCCGGTGGCTGATTGTTCTGGAATGCTTGGCTCCTAGTCCCCACTGCAATTTGCCACTGCTCTATGTGAGATTCAACCAAAAAATGACGGTTTCACCAGGGGTTTAGCCTGCAAAAATTGGTGATATGTTTTTTCCACAAGAATCCACAATTTGGGGAATCCATGTAGAATGTACGTGTTTTTTGATATTCTGGACACATGAATTGTATAACGACACGTCGCGACGTCACATGATAAATTCCGTACCTATCCCAAAATGATACCGGGCACGGTGCACATGGAAAAAAGTCATGGAAACTTTAAACATGTCATAGTTCGGAAAACACGTGTGTGTATTTCTTTCGCAAAGTATCCAAGATTGGTTATGAAGTTGGACCAATCACGTTTTGCATGGGGAGTCTGCCATGTATTTTTATGTGTTTTCTTTGCGGAATAAAGGATACGGAAGTATAAAGGCATATGTGTATATTATATAATTATATATATATATACATATTCTTATATATACATATAAATATATATAGTATATCACAGGTGCTAACGCTTTGCTGGATGGAGTTGTTCAGCCCTAAAGATCTGGGGCCCAGACCATCAATTGACGTCATCGGCGAGTCGTTTCCGCCGAATGGTCCCAAATGTGGGTTTCCACAAATGGGGGTACCCCCAAATGGATGGTTTTCATGGTTATAATGGAAAATACCATGATTAAATGGAAGAATTGGGGCTATCCCGGTATCCCCTATTTTTTTTGACACCTCCAAATGAATTCATGAAAATGTCTCCCTAATTCAACTCATGTTTCATTGGTCACTGTTTCTGACTGAAACGGGTCTCCAGGATCTACTACAGACCTTGACCATCGGTGGCGATGCATCTTGGCGATGGGATGGCCGGGTACGACCCGGGCGCCCAGTGATGTGAGTTTGCTGGTTTATAAACCAAAAACCATAAACCAACCATAGTTATTGGTTTAACTATAGTTTATGGTTAAAATAACTATGGTTTATGGTTGGTTAATAACTATGGTTGTAAGTATAGACATATCAGCAATATACCATAGTTATTAACCAACCATAATATAACTAGTTATTGACCAAATTATAGTTATATAGTGACTAGTTCGTCATATCCTGAAAATTCACCCAAACGTGAACTTGGAGTTATGCTCACCAACTTAGCGATTTCAATCTGCACCACCGAACGTAGAGATCGGGTCAAACCTTTGAACGCCCAAAACCTGTTTCGCGCTGGCAACGGAAGCTGAAAAAAAACATTTAGTATCGAATCTACTCCATAATCCAAAATAATCCACCTATAATCCACTAATAATCAACTAGATGACCATAAATGTCCGCCTTTCCCATTGGTTGATGAAAAAAGAGGGGTTTCTTCAGGTTTACCCCTTTGACAACAGATTTGTTTGAGGATAGATGGTATACCAAACCGGCCCCTCTATTTTTTACTAAAAGGACATTATTGTTAAGAACTGTCTGTTTTCTAGATATGATAGGGATATGCGATATGGATTATTGCTTATTAATAGCGGATGATTCTGAATTATTATGGGTTATAGGTTATTGTGAATAGTGGATTATGATGGATTATAGTGGATGAGTTTGAAATATGTTGCATTATCATGGTGGTCAACTTCTGACGTATGGACTGATGCAGCAACAGGTGTGGGAAGAGTCAGAGAAGAGAGAGAGAGAGAAGGAGAGTGTAAGTAGAAAGAAGATCAACGCGCGAAGAGTAGAAAAGTCGCGACACACGGTATCTTTGCAATGTTTTGCGGTTCCAGAGGGCCGAAAAGTAGGCTCGCTAACGCGACGGATGCGGAGCTAGGGACATTCGCCTCATTGGCAACCGGTTTATGCTGGAGGTGGCATCGATGGCCTTGAGGAAGCTTTGAAGCACCTGTCCAACTTTGTCGCATGGAAGCTCCATCGCGGTGGGCCGTTGAGAGGGACATCTTGAGCTTAGCAGCGTTGAGGGACTGACCTGCTGGGCAACTGATGGGCTTCATGGACGCAGCAGAGCTTGTGGGTCATGGCAGGCACCCTTTACCCTGTCTCACAATATCGTTGTGTGCTCCCGGACCATCCACAAGACCAAGAATTTGCAGGCCAGGCAACGCGGTCGACGCGTTTTCCCAAATTCTTGTTTGCTTGCTGCGCTGTTCCTTTACCCGGCTATGCAAGGAAAGGGCGTGACGCAAATCAGCGAGCTGGTGGAACATGACCCCTGGGTCATCTGCATGCGGGAGTCCAAGAGTCCAATGTCAAGGTGGCATGGCCATCCTCTCTGCAGGCACCTTTCGCCCGACATTTGCTGTCGACATGGTCGAGGAGCGATCAATGGGCAGGGCTTACAGGGGTTGCTTTCAGCATGTTGCTATGGGAGAAGTATTGCGCTCTGCTCACAGGACACCCACAAGGCGATCAAGGTGCCTGGCAGGAGATGATAGGAACCCAAGACAAGCGTCCGAATGATGCAGCCTGCGAAACTGTTTTCATCTGACCAAGCCCAAGCATTCAAACATGATATGTGCTTATGTACTGATCTACTGTTTATACATGCAATGTAATAGACGTCATAAGTCATAACTCCATGAGTTCACGAACTTTTGGCGCAGTTTTTCCCAAGGAAACATCATCATTACTATGATATGTATCACCTTCGAACTTTGCAACATTGAACGCCTGGCTTCGCAGCGTATGTGGGATGGAGCGAGTCCCAGCTTTATGTGCTGAGTCAACTTGGTCAAGTGACCACCGCAAAGCAGTGGCAGGGATTAGATGGACCGTCTCATCAGCTTTGTTAGTCGTTTCCATTGATGATCTTCTGCAGTTGAATGTTGAAAGTTGAACTTTGGTAGTGTCACTGTCTTTTTGTGATTGAATCTGAACGGACTGTTCTGCGCAGTGTTTGAAGTGTGTTTCCGTTTTCTTTGGACCCTACAAGAACGCACGTGATTCACCAACATGTGTTTTGAAAACATGTTTGATTTGGTGTTGCTTTGACTCACCCGGCTCAGCATTTTACATTTGCTGGACAAAGATAGTTTGTTGCAAGTCCAGAACAGGACGCGCCGAAACAGGTGCATGTATATGTATTTATTTATATATATATGTGTATATGTATATATGTATTTATATATATATATATTTATGTATGTATGTATGCATGTATGTATGTATGTATCTATGTATATAAGTATTTATGTATATATGTATTTATTTATATATGTATATATGTATATATGTTGTTATGCATATATGTATATATGTACATATGTAGGTATGTATATATGTACATTTGTAAAATTGTATATTTGTACATATGTATATATGTATCCATGTATATATGTATAGATGTATATATGTATGTATGTATGTATGTATGTCTGTATGTATGTATTTATGTATGCATGTATGTATGTATGTATATTTATATGTGTATATTTATATATGTATATTTATATATGTATATTTATGTATATATTTATTTATGTAAATAGATGTTTATATATGTATATATTTATATATATATATATACATTTGTGTGTGTGTGTGTATTTATGTATATTCATGTATATCTGTATATATGTAATTATGTAATTATGTATATATGTAATTTTGTAATTATGTATATATATATATATGTATATATCTGTATATATATATATATATGTATTTATATGTGTATATGTATATTTGTATATATATATATATGTATATACAGTTATGTAGAATCATAGAAAACCATTGAAAACCATAGGAACCGCTGCTAAACAATGACTGTTTGGGTTGCTGTGGCACCTGATCCCCGAGGTATCGATGTCCCGAAGTTGCGAATACGAAGGCGTCCCCTGCGACTTGGTTCCAAAATTGTGGGTTTCCGTCATGGGGCCCAAAATGGATGGTTTCTAATGGAAAAATCCTGTAAAGAAAAATGGATGATTTAGGGGTGCCCATATTTCAGTGAACTATCCCCAAAATATTTTATGATGTTCCAATGTTGGCCAGACAAAAATCCCCGATGTATCCCCACTATGCAAAATATCATGTATATATGATGAAACAGATGGCTAACAGCTCTAAATCGCCCAACAGATGGCAGGCCAGATTCTTGAGGTTGGTGAATTTAAAAATGATTCAGAATATTGACAGCGGCGGGTTCAACCAAAAGAAAAGTGGTATTTGATCATTAATATATTACTAAAATTTGATGAAAGTTTGCAGGTAGTTTACGCCCCCTGAAATTCACATGGAACCCCAGAAATTGGGCTAGAAAATGATTTTCTCCGCACTCAGAAAAGAGGCACAAATCCAATCAATACACGTTCCAGGTTGAATACATGATTTGTTAACTGGGTTTGCCCATGGTTAAGAATGAACAAAAGGATAAAGTACCTAGGTTTACAGTATCATAGAATTCATGCATCGTATTGTTGTTGGTTACAGTCATACCATGATACTCCCAGTTGTTTTTGGTTACTGGACGGATGCCAGGAAAACCAGGCAGGTTTCTTGGCTTGGCATCGAACAACCTGTTGGATCTTCACCGACCTGGCCCGTTGGCTACTTCTGTTCTTAAAGAGTTTCACCTCGATGTCGTGTTGTTTTGGACGGCAAAAAATGGCCCCAAAAGACCACCTCAACCGAAAAGTTTTCCCCAGAGACCTCCAATGGAACCCCACATAGCCTTCCCGTGCTGTTGCTGGTGTAATGGTTGTGCTAGCCGGGTCCATTGGTTTGGCATCCTTAGCAAACATGGATTTATTATGACTATGTTGCTAAGGATGCCATGTTCCATTTTGATGTTTGTACATTTCTTGGAATTATAATGGTACCATCCTATTTTTAATGGTTTATTTATGACCATTGTTATGCTGAACATTGGATTTATATTGGTACCATTACATGTTCCACTATTTATACTTATACAGTATACATGTTCATCTTGTGGCATTTCTCACTCCAACTTTAATCATATGTATTGTATATAATCTTACTGTTCATATTGGCTGTACCATGCTCATGGAAAATAACCGTAGTGCTTCAGAGTAATCACTCTGAAATATTAGATACATAGTACATACTGATGACTAGCCTTGTTATTTCTATTTGTACATATTCATCTTACGCTAATCATATCAACCATTTTTTATAATAGAAATAGTAATAGCACAGCACTCCGAAATTTAGCGTTATATGAACTATTTCTATGAGAATTGCGATAGCAGTATTATACTTTCATAGCCATATGGAAAACCCAGTATTCCCTAGTTGTCGTGGAAATTGATATGGCAATGGATCAAAACCTATGAAATTGTCCCATGGTTTGGGGGAATAAACATCCACCAGCTATGACCTGGATGGTACCATCCAGGTACCAGCTTTTTGACCCATAACTATATGAATGCTCATGGAATATCAGCCGCTACAGCGGCTTCACTCCAAAAAGGCTTGCCCTCACCAAGGTGATTTCCTTTTCCAGCTGCATCTGCTGGACTTGCAGCATGACCTGAAAGAGCTGGCTTTCCGAAGAGTATTGATTGTGGGGATTGAGGATCTAATGAGGATTTAACTACTGGAAACCAACAAGCATGTGAATATTTACATTCAATCGTCAAAATGTTTAAGTGTGAACTTTCTTCCTTGCCACAAGTTCTTCTTGGGGGATATATTCACCGGTTCGCTAGAAGATTCAACTGATCGTTTTTGGCCGGGTATTGGGCGCGCTCGCTGGTACCTGCTGCTTAATACCTGGGGATGCTGATACATCTACCCTCTGGTTATTTAACATAGCCATGGAAAATTGCCCCTTTCTAGATGGCTTTACCCATTAAAAATGGTGATTTTCTATAGCTACGTTAAATAACCGGAGGGTAATACATACCCTCTGGTAATTAAGAAAGGTGGCTGGAGAATTCCCTGGAGGATTTTTCATATTGAGTTCGCTGCGAAAATCCTCACGATTTCTGGTGGATTTTCCACAGAGGACTCATGGGGAGATCGCCCCACAGAGGGGAACAGTCTGGTGGATATGCTTTTGTTCCAGAATGTTCAAGCCAATTCCAATGGTTGATAATGGTTTATAATCATTCCCCCAGTAAAATTGCACTACCTCTGGCACTGTCATATATGAAAAATATCCATTTATAGTTGATTTGTAAACCTCCATTTATAGTAGACTTTCACCACGTTTTCCTATCTTTTCCCCATGGCTTCCAGTTCGCAAACGGCCCCCCTGATGTTCGCTGCCTGCAGTGAGGCAACTGCCAGCAGAGCCCGAGCCCCCAAAGAAGGTGATCAAGTTTGACCCGCCGCTGTGGAAGCAACGCCGGGGCGCCTGTGGGCCTGGTTGAAACTTTTCATGGCGCGACAGCGCCGGGTACAAAATCGCTCCCCGCATATAGTGGACAGCCAGTAACGCGGAGAAGCGCAAAAACACATGTGCTATACCCATTCTTGGCAGCACAGGCCACAACTTGGGGAGGATAGTGGGTGTGGTTGCAATCAGGTTGATTCCCATGGCACATCGACCAGTTTGGACCTTTTTCTCCCTGAAAATATGGGTCAAGTGTCATCTACTCTGCAAAGGAACCAGGATCAATTCCAGTCCTTACTCTCCAATATCGTTTTCGGGAGCAATCGCAAAGCCAAATTCGAGGAGAACATCATCTGTGAATGGTGGATTGCTCATGTCCATGCCCACATATGTGTGTTTGTGTCAAGACGGAACAGGGCACTTATTGGGATTGTGAAGTCTTAAACATGGGATAAACAACAAATCGGGAAACGTCTGCAAATAGGTTTGCTCCCAAATCCCATAGTTCATCATCCCAAATAAGGGGGGAACACACCATGGCCACGGTTAAACACAAAAAAAAATCTTGTAATTGATTCATCTATATATCCCCAAGCTGGCCAACAAATAAAACATCAAACTACCCTTCACCAACTAGTCTAGTCACTATTTTCCCTTGCCTCTAAACCCCATGTATATGGCGTAAAACCTGATTTTTGCTGCTGAAACTTAGATTTTCGATCTTTAATCCAATCACCTTGAAACCTCATTTCTGTAGGATTCTATAGATTCTATAGGTTTAAGTCATGTTCAACCCTCCGTTTTTTCCACTTCTAGAGGTTTAAGTCATGTTAAACCCATGTTAAACCCCCCTTTTTTCCGCTTGGAAAAAAAACCCGGTGGTTTTTTCTCCGTGACTTTGCCCGTGCGCCGAGGTCAGAAGTTCATTGTCCAGGCCTTGCTCTGCCGCTCCGTGCGGAGCGTGTTGGACCTGGGCTGTGGCGATGGGCAGCTGCTGGAGGCGAGGTCAAGGGAAGATCAGTTGCGGAAGGTTATTAATAGTGGATATGAATATTAATGATTGATACAATGTGGGGCCCCCCAGTTATAACATGGTTTATAAACCCCATGGTCATTTTCAATAGCTATGTTAAATTACCGGAGGGTACAACAGATTATAAACGGGTTGGTGGTTCCAAACATGTTTTATTTTCAATGATATATGGGATAATCCTTCCCATTGACTTTCATATTTTTCAAGATGGTTAAAACCACCAACCGGTAATGATTGATAGTATTATTAGTATTAACAGTTATTACTGAGAACATCAACAGTTACTAATAGTTCTTGATTGATATTAAGACTACTTACTGGTGCTTAGCAGGGAATGAGGGAATGATCCATAATCACTAGTAATAATCATCCCATTCCCCCATTCCCATCCATACCCTACTAAGCACCAGTAAGATTAATAGTATCAATAGTAGTTGTCCATATCTAGTGGACATGGGGAACATTAACATGATATCGTCAATCCCATTAGTCCAGGGAAGATCATTACCCTCTGGTAAACCGTCCCATAACTATGGAAAGATCTACCATGTTTCATGGTCAAACTCACTATTTCCATGGTGATTTTCTATAGTTATGTAACAAATTACCAGAGGGTATATGTTTTTTATGTGTGGACATTTATATGATATGAAATATATGTGATTTATCTTGGCTGCGGTTCATCCCAGCACAGTCTAGACAAGTGTTTGAAGCATTCCAATATCTTGTGTAGATGATGTTAAAGGATGGGGAAAGGTTGAAGTATGGTTGGTCATAGCTGGATTTAACTAGCCCAAAATAGTGGTTTAACCATGAATAGTGTGGATATAAAGAGATTTAACATGGTTTAATAGCTATAGACGGGACCCTCAATACTTGGAAATTAACTACCAAAAGGTAACTCCAATGTTTGATGGTTAACAAATTTATTGGTTGTTACCAGCAAAAACAGGAGTTTTTCAGCGGGATGTCATTCAGTTTATGGCCACAAAAACCCCAACACAACCTTGGAAGTTGATGGAAACCTGTGGGGTTAAGCAGCATCAAGCGGAGCTTTTTTAAACCATCAAACATTAATGATAAGTTGAGCATAAAACGGTGGTTTTTTACCAGTCGACTGATTGGTATTTTCGGGTTAAATCTGGGGAATCTAAGCTGATCATCTGAATGGTCCACCGAATTAGTGAGCTATGATGGGATGTTCGAAAAGATAGGGAAAATGGTGGTTTAATGGTGGTTGAATGGACTTATGATGGCTGGTTGGTGGTGACTGGAACATGGCTGGATTATGACTTTCCATATATTGGGAATTTCATAATCCCAACTGACGAACTCATATTTTTCAGAGGGGTAGGTATACCACCAACCAGGAAAAGTCATGACGCCAGCAAAAATGTTCATGAACTCGAGACCACCAAGCTTGGTGATGGATGCAACCACCTGTGAATCTGGTGCCGAAATTGGCGTTTTGGGGGGAAGACCTGGTGTAATCCCAGGAGTTTAAAAACATAGAAAACCATCTTTGGTGGTATTCCAATATTCCCAGAGTCCTGTTTTTCTCATTGGTTTCCCTCCAAAGTTGTTGTTACCCTCTGGTACTTTAACATACCCTCTGGTTATGACTAACATAGCCATGTTATAGATGGCCCATAGAAATAGATGGTTTACCTATTAAAAATTGGTGGATCTTTCCATGGAAACTGTTAGTCATAACCAGAGGGTAACTATCAAAAATCACCATTTCAACAGATAACTCATCATAAATCGAACTCTAAAAAGACCCATGGATTCCTCTGCCACGTTCCTTTACTAAAAGGTACGATCCATGGGAATGGATCAAAACTTTAATATTTTCACAAGCTAGTTGCAACTACAATAGTACTATGGTCAACTACTATGAACTACTATTAATACTTCATATGGGTTACATCATATTAATATCCACCATGTAAAACCTATGATGCCATCGATTTACCCTCGCCAGGCCTTGTACCTGCAATCCAGCTTCGACCGACTGCTCCTGGGGCTCTGATATGGGGTGTGTCTGGAAACCAACTATGCCCCAACAATGGGTTGTTTGCACGGGAGCCACTGAAAGGGTTGGGCGCCCTAATGTTGAAGGCTGTTGGGGTGCCAGCCCCTACCTTGAGCTTGTGCCTGATGGGTGCGGCACAGTGCTGAACACATGAAGTGCAAGAGCCTGGGACCTGGCCCGCCAAGGGTCCCACTCGCGATCGAGGCGAGCCACCCCGGAGGCGTAAAATCCCTGAAGCTGATCAAAACAGATCAGCGAGCACAGCAGTCCTCCAGGCTGAGCCATCACCAAGGCCCGGGTGGTGGTGGAGCTGCCGCAGCACTGCAAGGAGCAAAGGGCTCCGCACACTCTCTCGGTTGGAAAAGCCATGGGTATACTCCTGAGGTTTTGATTTTCTACTTAGGGAAAATGATGATAAACTATAGGTTTTTGATGGATTTACCATGGGTATTCTATGTTACAAAGCCAGAATTCATCAAATCAGGATGGTTTTTCCCCCATCGGACGATCCGACGCCTTGGTAACCCCAAGGAATTTGTTGGTTAGCCCCATGTGGTTTGGCAAATCCAAGCTTATATTGGTGTCTATCCATATCTATCCATGTATTTTGTTCGTTGAATCTCACATTATTCTTTGGTTTATGATTGTGTCACCATCTCTTTTTACTTCAACCGCATCTTGGCCCGGAAAGTTCACATCTATGTTCGCTGAGATGCGTTTGTCCATCATTTATTGTTGGTTTTCGCCTCAATATTTGGATGGCCAAATCGATATAGTGTGTACATACTGTGTATGAGTATGTATATATATATATATACATATATATATATTATTTATGTGTGTTATGTATACCCAGCGCTTCCTCGACCTAGTTTAACCTGCTCTTTACCAACGGCTAGGTTTACCCTGGCTATTGGAAGATGCTCCTTTATATAGCTAATTATGTTTACAACCATTATATACTTTGCCCAGGAAGCTCACATGTCATGTTGGGAAATAATGCTCAATAGATATGTGGATAAAAAGGCCATGTGGTTCAATTCGATGCAAGTAAAATGCGCCTGGTTCAATTCGATGCAAGTAAAATGCACCTGGGAGCACGGGCCCTGCGCAAACGTCTGCATCTTAGATCATGATGTCACCAAATACAAAACAGAATATGATCTGGTAAAAGTACCTACCTGAAATTTCCCACAAAATCTGGACCGTGAAACGACCGTGAAAAAACCCGTGAACGGCCGTGAAAAAACCATGAAGAGCCACCAAAAACTTGCGCCTAATGTTTATTCATTTTTGGGGTATTTTGTAGTCTTTTCACGGGTTTTTCATTGAAATCTTTGGAACCATTGGTCATGTCAAGCAGTCTTGGCACTTATAGACTTGAAATTGGTTGATGAGCAGCTGTTGTTGCTGAGGCTGTGGAGTGTCTGTGGGGCTTGGTGGGTTTCCCCTTATATATGTCAACATATATCCCAAGATGGCCAAGATCACCATAACCATTATTTAAATTTATATAACTACCATGGGTTTTCGATGGTTTTCGATGGTCTTGAGGTAACGGCCGGCTGTTAGTGCAACTCCAAGTTTAACCTGGCCTTTGGAAGGCCCTGGGATATATACTTATATATATATATATACAGGTATACATATGTAAAATGTTTTTTCCCAGCCAGATGTCAACTTCATTTCACCAAGATCACCAAGCCGCCGCTTCACGTTAGGTGCGGCTTGGAGCTCTCAGAGATTCGTGTCAAGGCGAGACTCACTGCGCTTGTGCAAAGTGCTGGGATCTGTAGAAAATCACTCCGCCATGTTTAGGAAATTGGTGGAAAATTCATGGGGAGAAAATGGGGATAGCCTTTTTAATGGTTTTATATGGTGGTATATTTAAAATGATCAAATTTTGAATAGTTCCCCACCGGTGTTATCCATCAGGGTCCTTTTCTTCTCCTCCTTCACCTGGCTTCCAGCTCTCTGTTTTTGTTCTTTAAATGGAGGTTTCCTAAGGTTGGGGATCCACAACACCAGAGGTGTCAACACATGCATGCATGCATGGTTTGCCTAGCCTCGTCGCAACATGATTGGAGAAATTGGAGAAAACACTGCATAGACGCAGTGTTTTGGGGGTTCAGTTTTCGGAAATTGGTTTTTCACTGTTTCAGGTTTTGAGGTTTGTGGGTTGGACGTTTTGTCGTCTGACAAGGACGCACACACATTTGTAAATCGTCTTGGCAAACATTGGGGTCTTGCCCTGATATTTTCCAGACAAACATTTACAAGTATATGCAGAAGATGTCCTGACTTTCATGGATCTGGTGGGAAAATCCACAAGAAAACCCTCTATTTGGAGAAAGTAGAGATGGTTTCCTGAAAATTGTTACCCATTGAACTTCCCGGCATCTTCCCAGTAATCACCATCCGCGGATGGCAGAACACCCAGAAGCGCCTCAGCCACGTTTCGGACGCTGCGCTGGAAACCACGACGGCAGTGATGTGTGCTGACTTCGTGGCACCAGGCGGAAACCATGGGGAGCATTGGGAAATTCTCTGGGATGATTTGCAGAAAATCTTAGAAAAAGAATTCACAAATAGTGGAAGTGGGTGTTCAATGATTTTCCACATCTATGTTTGCTCTAGGGTAACAATATGGGAGAATATGATAGAATATGCTGATGATGGATATGCTACCTATAGCCTTTATGATGGATGATAATGGGCTGTGCCGGTCTTGTATTGTTGATAATGGTTTGATAAAGGGTTGATAATGGTAAGTACACCATAGCAACTAAGTGGGTTTTAAGTTTAAAGGGTTTACTGCCATCAATTGCGTTTATTATTGGTAGCACTGGCTTATTGAAGACATTCATGTGGTAAAGCGATTGAAAAAACACCATGGAATATGGGACTTTTCACCAGCAAAAATGGTGGATGATTTGAAATGGGGTGCATAACCAATCATACTGGGGATATATTGGTGGTATTGTAGGAAGAAAATTGCTAATGGTAAACATCTAACTGATATGCTGTGGTAAATAGTCATAAATCCAACTTGTGCCAGAAATGGGCCATGTTGAGGGCGGTTTTCAGGTTTACCACATGTTAGCCCAGAAATATGGAAATTTAACCATATGAGACTTTGTGCGAATGGAGATGTAACCAGCACTTGTTGAAACATTTGGTATTTCTTGGGGTTGCAATGTCAATTTTCGGAGAAGCCAAAACTTCCTTGGTTTAGAAAACAATTTCAACTATGAAAATTGGTGGTGCACTGGCCTTTTGCAGCGGAAGAATATTGGAAGCCGTGGTTCTTACCCTGCAATATAGGGAGTTGCAGTCAGTTGTACTTGAAACCGATTTCGGGAAACCAAACAGTGGGTAACCAGGGATGCACCTGGAACGTTGGGGTTGATCCAGATATTTGCCGGTCAAAGACCAGTTGATATGTTTCTTTAAGAATAAGTAGTGGTTAAGTGGCTCAGTCTTCCAAAATCGATGCCAAAAGAAAATATTAGAGACGTCATTGACGGTGTTTTGGCAGAATCATTTTATTTTGGTGCAACCAGATCTGAGCATGCCCAGAATCGACAAGAAGGCTACCCAGAACTTATTCAGCACTTGAAGGAAGGTCGAACCTGTGGCAACTCTTATTTGCAAAACTTTGCCAAACATGGCATTGAAAATTTTGACTATGCAGGATTCATCTACCGCATGGACAGTGCGAATCGTGTTCCGACCTTGCAAGAGCATTTCATCGATGCACAGGACGAAACACCTTTGCCTATTTGGCGTCCAATGATTTGTTTCAAATACCCAGAGGGTCCTTACTTGACCGAACAGCAAGAATCATCTAAGTTGGCACTGATGGCTGGTGAAATCCCCGGCCCAACCGAATTGTCAAGGTTGCGAACGGCATCAAGCACTGGAAGCGATCTACATGGTGCAGACCTCGCAATGGAGGCACTTGGGAGCTCATTGAAGACAACGTTGACAGCAAAGCAATGGTACGTTTGGACAACTCGTGGATCGATGTGATCGTGTTTCACCACCCACCAGGGGTGTTCGATGACTCCGGGAGGGGAGCATACATGAGCGTTCGTGTCAAGTTGACCCCTAACAAGCAACTACAGGCGAGGCAGGCGTCGAGGCAAGCCTCGAAGCCTCAAGGCACGAAGCCTCAGCCTCAGTGCAAGGCTCAAAAGCCTTGAGGCAGGCCTCGGTGGCAAGCCTCGGGCATGGCTTGCAGGCAGAACAAAGGCGTACAAATGAAGCACGTCACAAAAGGCCACTAGCAAACAAAAATGACAGCTGTGGGACAGGGTACCGTACAGGATGGGCCCCCCCAGTTATAAGTTGGCTTATAAACCATTATAACCACCATTAACTATAGTTATATCTACCATAAACCGTAGTTAAGCCACTTATAAGGCAACTGAACGCTATCGACTGGGGGCCCCATCCTGTATGGATTGGTTTCACGTGGATCATCGTAATCCATGGACCCCGGAGGGACTGATCTGGGTAAATTTGATCACGACCGGTCGCCCGTCGCGACCGAGCCCTGGGAATGGTGGGTAGTAGAGCTGACTATCCCCAAATGACCGCAAGTTTCAGGTTAGTGAATTATTATATATTATTATTACCAGTAGTACCGCACAAGGCGGTGGCGGAAGTTTCAAAAATAGTAAACCTATAGGAGAGCTTGGTTGTTGTGAATCAGGGATGGCAGAGCGAAGCCACTGATGGACCGAAAGGTCGTTGAGGTCTCCTCTCTTTCTCTTTCTTTCTCTGACTATCTACCTACCTACCTACCTATCTATCTATCTATCTATGTATCTATCTATCTCTCTCTCTCTCATCTAACTACCTTTCGATCTATCTATCTATCTATCTATCTATCTACCTATCTATCTATCCATCTATCTATCTATCTAACTATCCATCTATCTATCTATCTATCCATCTATCTATCTCTCTCTCTCTCTTTCATCTGTCTAGCTGTCTGTCTGTCTGTCTGTCTGTCTGTCTGTCTGTCTGTCTGTCCATCTATCTATCTGTCTGTCTGTCTATCTATCTGTCTACCTGTCTATCTGTGGTGCAGTGTCATTCAGTGTAATGTAGTGTAGTGTAATGTAGTGTTGTGTAATGTAGTGTAGTGTAGTGGAGTGTCGTGGTATGTAGTGTAGTGTAGTGTAATGTAGCGTACTGAAATTTAGTGGAGTGTAGTTGTAGGTGTAGGTGAAGTGTAGTGTAGTGGAGTGTAGTGTAATGTAGTGTAGTGTAATGTAGTGTGGTGTAGTGGAGCGTAGTGTAGTGTAATGTAGTGTAGTGTAATGTAGTGTAGTGTAATGTAGTGTAGTGTAATGTAGTGTAGTGGAGTGTAGTGTAATGTAGTGTAGTGGAAGGTAGTGTAGTGTAGTGTAATGTAGTGTAGTGTAATGTAGTGTAGTGTAATGTATTGGAGTGTAATGTAGTGTAGTGGTAGTTGTAGTTGAAAATGCTACAAGGTCCACAATCCCTTGCGCCTGCCACGCGAAACGACTTCTGAACCTCCAAAAATGGTCCGTACATGGTGTGTTTTGTACATTTTGGCTTGGAAATGTGCTTCGCGCCACAACAGCGTGCACTTTTTCGACATTCTGAACCTCCAAAAGTGGTCCGTACATGGTGTGTTTTGTACATGTTCACTTCGAAATGTGCTTCGCGCCACAACGGCGTGCACTTTTTCGACATCTGAACCTCCAAAAGTGGTCCGAGAATGGTGTGCTTTGTACATTTTGACTTGGAAATGTGCTTCGCGCCACAACGGCGTGCACTTTTTCGACATCTCAACTAGTAAAAGTGGTCCGAAGCTGGTGTGCTTTGTACATTTTGACTTGGAAATGTACTTCGCGCCACAACGGCGTGCAATTTTTCATCTCTCATCTGGCCAGCTGGCTCCGCACCCGCCGCTTTAGCGAGCCTACTTTACGACCCTCCGGAGCCACAAATCATTGGAAAAACACAGTGTTTCGCGACTTTCCTACCTTTTCGCGCATCTGCATCTTCTTTCTTCTGACTCTTTCTCTTCTACTCTTCTCTCTTCTAATCTTTCTCTTTTCTCTGACCCTTTCCATCTCTGCTTTTCATCTGTCCATATTGTCGGAAGTTTGACTTCTAAACTTCCTTCGATTATTATTTGCCCAGATTGATGATTAGCCTGGTCTTATCCCATGAAATGTTCGTCAGCCTCAAAGTGCAGGGTTGGTGAAGCGACATGCTGTTCTCTTTATGGGGATAGGATCTGCCAAAATTTCAAGTTATAGCAAGTAAAATGGTGACTAAATCAACAAGTGGTGGCTGCACGGCAAGATGGCTGTTAAGTTATGAGTGGGATGTTGTTTAGGTTTACCCTTCGGTACTCAAACATGGCAATAGAACATCCAGCATTTACTTCGATGATTTTCCCATTTTGAGACCTCCATTTCGCTCGGGGATTTCCAGATGCCATAGTTGATGAGTGGATGGTGACTTTTCTGCCTGATAATCCATGATAATCCATCCTACCCTCTGGTAAACTGTCCCATAACTATGGAAAGATCCATCATTTTTGATGGGTAAATCAACGAACTAAATGGCCATTTTCAATATATAGCTATGTTTGTTTACCACAGGGTAATTCATAAGAATCCATTTTATTCCAGACATCATTAACAATCCCAGATGCTCCATGGTGCTGGAATATTTACAAAACTGGACCATGTTTGGGGTAAATGTAGCTGTGCATATTCCAGCACCAGCATCTGGGAATAGGTCCATGAGAATTGATGGTCACCTAGGATCATCCCCCTATGGTTATCTTCCAACGAAGGCGGTCATTGCTATGTTTGATGACCAAAGGATATGTCTGATTTATGAGGCATCATGGGGTTGAGAGATGTTTGTTGGAAAATCCCCAGGTGAAATCCTCTTGGACTTGGATTTTGGCTCAAGTCCCCAGGTTTCTTAAGGAATACCCTCCAGTAAATTTTGTAGACCCTATAAAATCCTCATAAAATGTTCATACAAATCCCCATCAAATCCCCATCAGAGGGAAAAAACCTGTAAAAATCCCAGGTGTTTCTCTTCGGCCAAGGCCAAGCTGAGTGGGTGTCCTTCGCCGCGGGCATCGAGGCAATCGTCTTGTGCGAGGCGCGCAAAAGGGCGCTTTTCTTCGATTGGTCGAACGCTGCAAACGGTGTGTTGCTTGGGGAAAAATAAAGGTTTATAATGGGATAATTTATATATATATATATGTGTGTGTATGATATATAAATATATACATATGTATGTACATAGCTAACTTGGAAAATATGGGAGAAAGATCATCAAACTACCTTCCTGGAAACACATTTGATTGTATGAAGATATAATTGGCAATACGGATGCAATGGAGAGATAATGGGATATAGTGGGCTACAATAGGGGGTTCATCTAAAAAATTAAAACATTGTGCTGTTTGTGTGTGTGTACAAAAAGAAAGGTGGAACTAATCAACGAAAATGAGATGGCTTAGTTCAAAAATGGAAGTTATCGTACCCCAAGTTATGGCCCAAGGCAATAGGGAAAATTAGAGACTTTCTGCCAGGATATGTTGGGCTTGATTTGCGAACGAAGCAACAACCACAAAATGATGCTAAGCCCTTGTTTTAATGGGGATGGTTATTGTGGAACGTTTGAGATGTCTCTACTCCATGATTCGAGGATCTTCCATCACGATCCCCCATTGTCGGATGGGCAAATCTGTTTCCGTTGTTTTTTGACCAAAACAATGTAAACATATGTAAACATGAAGCCTTTATTTTGATCATCATATCCCTGTTACAGTTAAGTACCTGTATCACGTACATGCATATATATATATATGTGTGTACCATGATATCCACCATTCTTATTGATTCAATCCACCATTTTTTTGTTTGTTTCGATATGTAAATTGGTAGATAGATACATAGATAGACATCAATGGGAATTTCAGGACCTTAAAAATTGAGCTCAGACACCAGATGAGTGGGGATTGACCCTAAAATAGGAACTGACTGTACCATATTCCAAACCATATTTGGGGGATATATCCCCTGACATTGCCCTAAAAAAATAGCCTTCATACCCTCTGGGTTCAACGTTTACATAGCTCTAGAAAGTCACATTTGTTTAAATCAGGTAAATCACCTATATATAAATCTAGAAAATCACCATGTTTGATAGGTAAATCACCGAACTAAATCCACCATTTTCCATGGCTATTTTGACAGAACCAGCTCCGGCACCGCGCGGTAGGTCCTGGAGCATTTACCGGAAGCTTCCATGCCACGGCTGTTGGGATCTCGGAATCTGCGAGGCCAACCTTTTTGGATGATCCCAAAGGGAAACACACCTATAAAGCGAACTGGAAAATGGAGGTTTTAGATGGGGATATATGGGAAAATCATGGGAATATATGGGGATACCCGGCCTGGTTATGTTTAACAGTTTGCGAACTTGAAAATGGCCATAGAAATAGTGGATTTACCCATGAAAAATGGTGAATCTTTCCATAGTTATGGGACAGTTTACCAGAGGGTATCAATGAAAGATGGATCTGATCCAGTCTAATCTAGTCTACATCTATTCTGATCTGATCTAATATCTAATTATAGATCTTTAGATACGTGTATTCATTTTCACTGACACATGGTTATTTGGATGGGATATTGGGATACACATGAAGTAATTACCAGCAATTTGAGTTTGTCTGAAACTGTATGGAGGTGGATCCCCCATCATCTTTGGACATACAATTAGCTTTGGATTAGCGCAATTTATCCCTTCTAGATGCACTTTTCTTACTTTTCTGGGTGAATCGCAACATCGTTTCAATGGAGAAAAACGTGATGCTAACCAACAAAAATGTGGGAAATGGCGCTATTTTGCGGAGTAGAGCGGTGAATGGCTGGTTTCTGTTGGAATATTGTTTTCGCTGGAAACTAGTGGCTGTGGAATGTGTGTAGCGTTGCTGCACAAGCGCGAACACATTTTTCCATCTGTGCGATGATCCCAATTGCCCACTTGTTTGTCCGGAGGGTTGAAAGCACCACATGGGTTTGTTTGTCTGAAAATCGGGAATACCCCAAGATTTGCCATTGAAACCGCGAAAATGACAGTTTTTTCCAAACATTCTACAACCTTTTCTGGGTTATAACCTATTGTATTGATGAAAATCCTCCAACTTTTTGCAGCCAGTTGCTGTTCAACTTTCCTCCCTTTCCTCCACCGCGCCATGCCCAAACGCTGGAAACGCGGTGCCCGCGACGACGACGCGCCCAGCGGCACACCCTGGCCGCTGGCCGTGGAAACGCCGGCGCCACCGTCACGAAGCCGAGCGGAGCAGTTGATGCAGCGGCTGTGGAAGGGCGAGTTGGAAGGAGATGGGAAGATGAAGATTTGATATATGGCTATGGATCAATACCTATTAATGCCATTTTTAGTGGGATTAAAAATGTATCTACAGGTATGGTGTGTCTGAAAATAGTGTACCCCTAAACCCAATGGTTTTGCTGATCATTATCCCTATTAAATGGCTATAATTGGGAATATACCCTATTTTCAGACACACCCATAAATCAATTCAATAGGAGATGTGGATGAAAAATCCATTGATAGGAGATTGGGATTCAAAGACATCTGAATGGAATATATTAATGGATATAATATAGCTATTACCGGTATAGTGGGAAGATGAAGAGATTTTAGCCAGAGAAAATGGATGAAAATGGTGGTAATAAATATTACTGTAATGGACTGTAATGGGATGTTAATAGTGTATGAGTCGGATTTAATGGGATTTACCCTCTGGTTAAAATGAGCATTCAACCATTGTTGATTGGTTGGTATAGGGTCTTCTACTACCTAATATGTTGGGACGCATGGTAGGGACACCTCTTAGAGATACCTATTACCCACAGAAAATTGGGGGGGTACCCTCCGGTAATCAAACGGGGCTGGCTGGAAAATATTGGAAAATCCTCTATAGGGAAAATAGAAAGATAATGATGGATATCGAGGTTAAGAACCTTACCTGTCAAAATAGTATTTTTTTCCCGAATGCGTAGCGAAAGTTTCTGGTTTTACTTTGGGGGTCTGAACGTGCCCAGAGGAGAAACTCCCGATGGGTCACTTTCTCGCCCAGCCGCTGTGCGCAGGAAAATGGTGGTTTCGGAACATGGAGAGAACCCCCAAAAACATCATTTGTTAAATGCGAACCGGTAAGTTGATGTATTTGACGGAATAACCACCATGATTTTTAAGGGATACGGGATACCCTACTACGATAAAAACGTGGCAACTGTTCGCGGGAAAAACTCATAATTTCCGGAAACCTGCGCCGTGAGTATCGAAATTTGCGGAATGGGAATTGGGTGTGTTTCCAAAGAAGCGGGCCCATTGAACGAAGCGAGGTAAATTTGGCACCATGTTCTACCTTTATCCTGGTTGGTGGTTTGGAACATGTTTTCCATAATATATGGGATGTCATCCTTCCCATTGACTTTCAATGACTTTCATATTTTTCACAGGGGTAGGTATACCACCAACCAGTATCTGCTTGTAGATCTTTGACTTAGAACAGATCCCGGGAGGTTCATCCTATCCAGCGAAAATCCTGCCCCGCCCAAGCTTTGATTCACAGCGGGCCAGCCTACCTCAGGATGTGTTGATGCGTTGTCAACATGTCCCCAAGACAGCTTGAGAACAGACCCAAATGAAGCATCAATGTTATGTTAATGTTTGTGAATGGTAATGTGCTATACCACCGGGTTTGGGGTTGTTCTATACATAACAAGAATACCTGTGAATCAACATGTACAGTGGGGTGCGAAAGAGGTCTATTTATGGCTCAAATGAGCACGTTTCGGGAACCCGACCCGGCTTGGGGATGCAGTTGGGATTAGAAATGGGTATCAAACCCGATTATACCAACCATAAGTTGGAATATGATTATATAAAAGTATGGCCAGAAATAATCAGTAACTAGAGTTGCAGCTCCAAATGTTGAGTTCTTTACATCTTCCGAAGATGTGGACCGCATAGGATCAGCTGATGGAGCTGGTTATGAAGCATTCAATATCGGTATAAGCCATTTACTGCTGCTTAGGGGGTGCATCCCAGTTAGGAAGTCTTTATGTAATAACCAGTAATATCCAGTAATTATATTAATACTCCAGCTGTATTTGGCCTATATGTGGGTCATCCAGTTGTATAAAGCACATCCAAGTGGTTTTGTTCATCAGTTGAGGTTTTAAATGGACAATCCATTCGCACCTCGCATGCCAAGGTGATCCCCCATCCAAGTCAGGGCACGGCCAAAGGCGGGTGGATTTAGCCGCGGAAATGGCCGTGAGAATCAGGGGCGTTTTAATATAGATAGTTCTATAGTTCAGATATCGGTTAGATAATTTTATCTTCAGATAGTTCAATAGTTCGAAATCCTCATAATAGTTGGAATATCAGTTTTGGGATTAGTAGGGGATACGAACTAATATTTAGATAGTATTCGATGGTTAATCACCATTCTCCGCACTAAAACTGCACCACATTGACGGTTATGCAACCTATATTCAGACACACGCATATCCAATATTGTTGGCTGTACATGCCATTATGTCCCAATTTATTATCCAAAATATATCCATAAAAACCGCGTTTTTGGTGAAGTGCCCAATGTTTTTTGGCGTGAAATCCCTATGTGACCTGGCGAGGCTATTCTTCCCGTGGCCCCCGGAGTAGCGAAGCCTTCTTTCCCGTGATGTCTAGCGAGGCCGCTTGATTTTGCCAAACAGCCATCGGGTCTTGGTCAAATTTAAAGACCTAGGGGACCACAGATGTTAGCATAGATGTCCTTTTCCCATTGGTTGGTTGATTAATAGAGAGGTTTGGAGAAACCCCTTTAACAACAGGTACTATACCAAACCGGCCCCTCTATTTTTACCAAAAGGACATTATTGTGATGTTAGTCGATTTCTAGTCTTAGCCATCCTTCGGGGTACCCAATTTTGACTACCCAAATCGGGGTAAGAATGACAGATTTCACCTATCAAAAATTTGGGATTCCATGGGATTTAAAGGGGATTTAAAGGGGACTTAAAGGGGATAGTTGATGATTACTCTCCAGTAAGCTAACATGACTATGAAAAGAATTGCAAATGAAAATTCAATTAATCCCGACTTAATCCCATGAAACAATCGAGATTTATAATTGAATTTGGGTTTGGTAGACAAACATGACAATGAAAATTGCCCACGCTTATAGATGATTTTGCTGATTTCGCTATTTGAAAATAGAACCATCATGAACCATCTATTTCAGCTCATGACATGTTCAGAGATTGTGGCATGGGCCTTTACCACCAACCGGCACTTGAGAGCGCCCTCACTGAGCGACCCCTGGTCAGAAACGATGGTGAGTAAGGGATACAGTCCCCCAAAAGCGTAAGTTAATTCATATCCTAGTTTCTTAATCATAGTATTTTGCCCATTTTTGCCCCAAAAAAAATGATGATTTCGCCGGCAATGGGATCTAAGCCAACCAGCTGGTGGGGATTTCATCCGAAAAAACATCCTGAAAGAAGATGCTTGTGACTGTCCCAGAGAGATCAGGATGTTTGACTAGAGATTCCCCCAGCCAAAGATACTTTTGGAAGAATCCTGCACCAGCTGGTAGATGGTAAACATCCCACCTACAGTCTTTGATGGTTTATCCCATACTCCATTAGTTACCATCTTTCATACCACTTGTTTCCAACTGGTGCAGGACACATCCTGCGAGGGCTTTCAGCTTTCCAATTATCAACTCTTCGACCCATGACTTCACTTGACAGGAGCTGGCACCGCTGCTGGTTCCCCTCCACCATGGCGCTGAGAAGATCAAGGCGACCTTTCAGGACTTCGGCGTGTGCATTGCCACTGGACTGGCGAGTTTTGGGGACAACGTGGGAGACCTCGGGAGATATTGTGGCGATATAATGGCGATATATGATGGGGTATAGATTTAATTTCTAGGTCAATCTTACATGGGTACTTTAATCCTTTAGTCTTTTGGTATTAATGGGAATATCTACTAACCAGCAAAGAATTTATTTTTTTGCAGGGTATCTAAGATTGGCAATGATTTGGAATCAACATAGCAGTTGGTGCTTATACCACTTGGTATGCGATTGGGTGTCAAAAAAACATGTTATGGAGATATACTGGTATATGTAATGGGATTGATCATGGGATAATGAGAAACCAATTGGTTGGATAGTCTTATAGGTAAATGCTTGTTCTAGTGGTTTGTCCTACTGGTTTTATTGACGGGTCCAACAGGTAAATGATGCTGAAGGGTATACCAGGCTGGCCCCGCAATTTTTCCAAAAATCGGGAGATCTTGGGCAGAAGAATGGTAGATGATGTGATATGATGCGTAATGAATTTGGGCAAATGACGGATAGATGATGGTAAAATGGGATTGAAACATTGAAAAAAAAAGGACTGTTCAACCTGGGACCCCTTGTCAATGTTGGGTTTAAGCAACCATAAAGTGTTTATTTTACAAAAGAAGTATCATGAGTCAGCTATCAAAAATTGTTTCAACAAGTAAGAATGGGATGTTGAACCAGCAAACATTGCGATTTTATCGTCAAAGTTTGGGATGCGGGTGATAGGGATACATTAATCTTACATTGGACATATCACACTATGGAAGATGAATTTGTTGTCGGACTTTAGGTTGTTACATTTACATTCAAAACGGGCTGTGTGGTTGGTCGGGCAGGTTTCATGTTTTTCTTTTTGCATGGCGGTATTTTTTCCCGTGTGATGACTGACCTTGGCTGAACCTGCATATTTTTTGCACATTTTTTCATGTATAGTATGGTGTTTTTCCTACATAGCCGCGCACGTTTTGTATTTTCGCCACGCCGCAGCTTCTGAAAAACGCTGCATGAATGACCGCATAAATGGGAGTGTCCTTCCGTAGGGGTGAGGCAGAAACCTGAGGGAGCAGCACAAAGGGGGAAAAATGGAACATATGGATATGGGTCAATACCTATAGATACATTTTTAGTGGGATGAACATCCATTTACCAGCTATCCTGGGGTTCACTAGGTACCAGGGTTTTGACCAATAGCCATATGGATGTTTGGGCGAATACTTTTCTAACATGTCAAGCAAAAAATGCTACATGTCTGCTCTGATGTTCTCTGCGCCGCTGATCCTGCTGGATATTTTCGGGATGATTGTTTACAGTTGATTGATTACTTCATTGCTCTTAAGTGGGCACAAACTATTTAGCTTAATTCACTATGTTTGGACTTGATTTTTGAAATGTGTTTCATCACCTTTCAAAAATGGAAACGATCATGCCTAAATTTCTGGAACCTATGCTATGTTCCGTTTGGACTTTCTTGTTGCATCTACCCCACTTTAAGATCGCATTGTTCTTTCTAATTTGTTGCCACGAACCAATTTCAAATTTGTGTGATGTCCCTATTTTTTTGTTTTTTTAAATTGTTGTTTGTATTGATTACAAACCTATTTTTCACCATCCCACACGATTTCGTTAGCTTTTAAAAGTTTAGTAGGGATTTCCGCAATGGATTGTGGCAATCTCCAAGGTCACTGATGTGCTGAGCAACGCCGAATGTGCCGCCTTCGAAGAACTTTGGCACGACGATTTGTTGCGCTTGCTGGATGGGCACAAGGTCGAGGGCGAGGCACCTTGGGTGAGTTTCAATGGATTTCAGCAACCAAACATGGGGGGTTCAACTAAAACTAGGAGAAGCCAAGTATTTACTGGTGTTGTGTGCTGGAGATAAAAATATTGAACCATTGATTTTTGGATTTTTCTTGGCTTTCGATTGGTTTTGCAGCGGTGGTGCCATGGACCAAATACTGCGCAGAGTATCATGCATTTTTTCAGGCGTTTCCTTGTGCTCAATCGTTTTACTTGTGTGTCTGTGTTCGCGTTCAAGTGTGTTTGCAGTGTTGGAATTTGTTAGACATTGCCCCCCTCAACCTCGTGAACACGAGCATGAAACCCTACAAATAAGGTTTGAAAAAAAAAACATATTTAGCACTTCGACATTGCCATTTTTTGAAGTGCCGAGAATCAAGTTCCAAACCTTTTGTGTGTTTTCCGATTGGAAATTGCCGAGTTTGGATCCCAAAAAAGGCGTGCTATCTGTTTGCCCAGGCAGCCCGTCAAGCGCAAAATGTCCAACAGGACCTGAAAGCGTGGCCTCAACGATGGGATGCTCGGCCGAGAATTCGGAGGCCCGTTTTTTTCCTTGTGAACACCTTCCGGAAATCAAATATTGCCAATTGGAAAACGCTTAGAAAATGGAGGTTTTGAGGGAATTATTGGAATTCATCAATAATTGGGATGCATCTGGAATTTCACATGGTTTAATGGGATATAATGACATAAGGGCAAGGATTTTTCGCCTGAACATAGGCTACCTGAAAATCTGGTGGTGAATCATGGTCAATTCAGATTTTCCCCATGAAAATAGCTATTTGGAGGGGGGTTAGGGGATCAGCCCATATCCCAACCAGCCCCACTTTGACATTCCTATCTTTGTTGGCTACATCCCCACCAGACCCCTGGCATTTCACCCCAAGTTTGCGAGTCTTCCCTTACAATATCCACAAATCTCATGACCACGTTGTCTGTTTCCGAGCAGTTTCTGTCGTTCAGAAGGAAAATCCTTCTGATTTCCCTTTTCATACCCCATTTTTAGGGATGACGTTGTAGTTACCTCTTAAATCTCTGAACAATTCGCCGAGTTCTGCTTTTTTTTCGCTCTTTGTTCGCCTATCCGCAACAATGTTGGGTTGCAGGCTGCATGGGATAATCCTGGATCCGGAAACAAAAAATCCCCCGGAAATCTTCCAACCGTCTAAGGATCATGGATGACCTTCCGGTCATCGCCAGCCATGGAAAATTTTACCGAAAAGGTGTCGAGTTTGTTACTCCAATATTTTCCTCTTGTCTGGCTACGTGTGGTGTATTCGAGGTGGTGTTGTTTGTCTGCTCGGAGAGTGTCATTCCAGCTGTTCCCAATCGCAAAGGAGACAGGGTTTCTGCCCCTGCGGCAAGGAGCCGTAGCTCATTGCATTTCGTCTGAAAAGCAACTAGGTCGGTGTCTGGCGCTCTCCTGCGTAGTTTCCTATCAGGGAAGGCTCGCTCTTGCACGTGTTGCCTCAGAGTCGCTTGGTAAGTAGTGTGCGGGTCGTTGGAAGAGCACTCTGCTCGCTAACTTCCCGCGGTTGACTTCCCAATGGGTGAACATATGGCGTTGTTGTATTTGCTGCTTAAGTTGCGCAGCATACTGGTGGAAACTTTTGGTCGTGTGCCACAACCTCAGGAGGCTATGGTTGGACGGCCACTCAAGTGGACACAGAGTGGCTGTCTGCTTCGACATGGCAGGAGTAAGTCCTTTTGGGGATGGTACAATTACTTCCAGGTTAACTCTTGTGGGTCCAGTGGGTTGCAGGCCCATCATGATGTAGGGTTCTACTACACCCATTGTGTACCCTCGTATGAGTTCCGCAAAGCAATCGGCTGCTTGGAATTCCTCGTCCAACGCAAGATTCAGTCCAGGTCCATTTTTGTCAGTGAACTTAACCGCCTGCAGTACTTGGTCAACCGCCTCTCTCTGTAACCCCTCAAACACCAGAGCAAGAAAAGGACACCTCCTGTGGGGCCTGGATGGCACCTCCTTCTTCACTGAGAAAGCACGGTGCAATCTTGCTGGCCCAGCTAGCCGGAAACCACGCCAGTAAGGCTGAAACCCCGCTGACCAGGTCGACACCGGTGTGTCGCCGAGAATGGGGCTGGTTTGTGACTACAACTTTCACAGGGCCACTGGGGGCACGTGCTCGGTTCACATCTGCACTCTCTTTGGCTGCTCTAATTAGCTCAGAGAGAATTGGACGGAACCAAAACGTGGCATACAGCAGGCATTCTATCTCTGGGGTAGCCAGAGATTCTGCTCGTCGAGTGAGCGAGCAGATGTACGCAAGTGTTTCAGCCAGCCGGAGCGTAAAGCCGGGCTGCATGTGCAAATACCTCCTCAACCGTATCAATTGCATCCCTCAGCCACAGTTCAGACGCAATTGACATGAAGGCGGGCAAACTTTTCCTGCATGGACGTCAAGGAGATAGTAAGTGCAGCCATAGGTGTGGAAGGGCACCTAGGTTTTCGGGCTGGAAAAAGACGTTGGCTTGATTTTTTTGTGGTCGGCGCCCGTTGCCTTTCGGCGGGTCGCACTTGAGACTCCCGAGTGGACGAGCAAGGATTCGAACCACCACCGGCAGTCTGTCAGCGCTGGCAAGACCAACGCCATACCAACTGAGCCATCGGGTCGCCTGCAAAAAGACGTTTTCCAATGTCTGGTGCCATGCCTCATCATTCTCCCACTTGGCCATCATATCCGAATATTGGATCCCATTAAAGTAGTTGATGGTGATGCCATGTTGGTTATGTGTGTATATAAATATTAATATATATATATACCGTTATATGCACATCATTCCAATTTTCCATTGTGACCTGTACAGCCTATACCCATTAAAATAGCAATGATGTCTGGCTACGGCTGGATTCCCCACGATTTTCTGTCAGATCCAGCTATTATATCCCCAGTGTATCCCATATGCCAACCATGTTTCCCAACCGACTGGGAGTATCGCTTTAATACTTGACCAATCCTTGAAATCTTATTGAAATATCCCGGTCTAAGATAGTCTCCACAATCCATCCCATCATTTTCCGATTCCCAAAATATGTCATTAAATCTCAATGAAATGTCCTTTAAATCCCTGTCAATTCCCCACGTTCTCCCCCATTTTGGGCATTAAATCTTCCACAATATCCACATGCTTGATGGGTTTCCTACTACATCCCAAGCGTGCACTCTGTATGGCATCGCCAACTCAGAAAGGCTTTACTTGAAATGGGCTGCAGAAGCCTACTGCAGCCACAATGTATCGGTGGAATGGTCCCCAAGGCTTGCTTTTAGCATTGCGGAACTCCAACCGGAGGTGAGTTGGCAACTGGATCTCTCCCATCAAAAACCCCCATGATATTTGATATCCCACAAAGTGGTGCCCCATAGTTAGCTAAGCTGGTTTAAAATTCCAATTTCATTTGGATTTATGGTAACTTGCACGGCACCAACTTGCAGGTTGTAACATCAATGCAAACTGGTTGTAATCTGTAATGCGTTGTAATATCCCTCTTATATCCACAAATTTCATGAGTTTCCTATCATATCCTGCTACACATCCCCATAGCCACTATCATCCACTATTTGATGGGGAAGTATCATCAGTGGCTGAATTCGATGGTTTTATGGTAGATTTAACTATACTATTCATGGATTTTTCATAGATTCAACTATACCTGGTTGGTGGTTTGTAAGATTTTTTATTTCCCCACCTGCCAGGTGAGGGTTGTTAGATTTTATCTAAGTTGCCTTCTCCTCCTCCTCCTCTCCTCCTCTCCTCCTCCTCTCGTCGTCCTCCTCCTCTCGTTGTCCTCCTCCTCTCGTTGTCCTCCTCGTCTCGTTGTCCTCCTCGTCCTCCTGCTCAACTGCGACTCGCGATCCACAGTGTTCCCTGCCGGACCTCAACCACGACCATCCACGGCCAATGTTCCCTGCCGGACCTCAACCACGACCATCCTCGCCCAGTGTTCCCTGCCGGACCTCAACCACGACCATCCACGCCCAGTGTTCCCTGCCGGACCTCAACCGCGAGTATCCACGCCAAGTGTTCCCTGCCGGACCTCATGTAGGAAGATATGGGACAAAGAATGTGCAGAAGAAAGCTAGAAAGAATGTCAGAAAGAATGTCAGAAGATATGCCAGAAGATATGCCAGATAGAATGCCAAATAGAATGCCAGATAGAATGCCAGATAGAATGCCAGAAGAGATGTCAGAATATATGCCAGAAGATATGCCAGATAGAATGCCAGATAATATGCCAGAAGATATGCCAGATAGAATGCCAGAAGATTTGCCAGATAGAATGCCAGAAAATATGCCAGAAGATATGCCAGATAGATATGTCAGAAGATATGCCAGATAGATATGTCAGAAGATATGCCAGAAGATATGCCAGAAGATATGCCAGAAGATATGTCAGAATATATGCCAGAAAATATGTCAGATAGAATGCCAGAAGATATGTCAGAATATATGCCAGAAGATATGCCAGATAGAATGCCAGATTGAATGCCAGAAGATATGTCAGATAGAGTGCCAGAAGATATGCCAGATAGAATGGCAGAAGATTTGCCAGATAGAATGCCAGAAGATATGCCAGAAGATATGCCAGATCATATGCCAGAAGATATGCCAGATAGAATGCCAAATAGAATGTCAGAAGATATGTCAGATAGAATGCCAGAAGATTTGCCAGTAAGAAAATGTATAAATGTCATGGTGGGGATCACACGAAGTAAAGTAATTTTCCATTCAGTTGGGAATTTCATCATCCCAACTGACTTTCACTCCATCATTTTTCAGAGGGGTAGGCGTACCAACCACCAAGCAGATATTATTTCATATTATTCCAATATAAATGTTGATATATCCCATATTATTCCATATTATTTGCATATACCAACCAGATATTATACCTCAAGCTTGGGTTTTTTTCAAGCAACTGATCTCCTCAGCCCAGGACCAGCACCTGGGCATCAAAGGCATGGCCTCCAAACATGGCCTGCCCCACGGCAGCTTCGCTTGGGCTGCGCGGATGCACCCCAAGGCGCGATGGATTTTAATTTGGGGAAAACCCGGGGAAAAATAGGGGATTGATGGTGCCCCAGTAGGTTTATAACTCCAATAGCTATGGTTTTTGTTGGTGCTATATCTATAGTTAATGGGATAAACCAACTTGTAACTTGGGGGGCACCACCTTGTAGGTGCGTGCAAGTAACTCCAATTTCACGATGGTTTATGGTTGATATATTGACATATTGACATACTATGGTTTATAAACCAACGTTCCATCACTAGAGGGCACCACCTTGTAGGGGATAACCGAGAAATGGGTTGATTTTGCAGGGTATCGAGACACCATTGAAACTGAGGGATTGAACTGATTGAACAACCGAAAATTGCATTTGACCATCAAAATATGGAGAAACTATGGCAAACCCAGGAAAATAGATGATTTATACGTGATGCTCATGTGACTTAGGTTAGATAGTTTGATTTTCCGAAGATGTTGAGTTCTTGCAGAAAAATGATGTTCATTTCCGAGGCTATGAATTCCGATTCTGATTGGACTCCCGATGGTTGGATCAGTTCCCATCAGCTGGAACTCCGATGGCCAGTCTCCTTATACTCAAGATCCCAGTGGCTCCCCATTTCAGTGGCTTCAGTTTCTCTAATTTTTGGATGAAATCATTCCGAACAGATCTCACCAACATCAACTTTGGGTGTCCCATCCAGGGTTTTGGGTGACTAGGTGCGTCAAGTCTTTGCAGATCTCTATGAGAGCAGCCCAGAGGAGCCAGGGATGGCCCGGTTCATCAAGCCAAATTCGGGGCGAAGACGTCACCCAAAATAGTTTGTGTAAGAGTTGTTTTTCTGAAATCAACCTCAGTAACAACCCATCCATAAGATAAAGGGAGGATCAATGTGGAATCCAGTAGTCAGTAGTCATAGATTCCTGAAATACTAAGATCAGTTTAGATTCTACTGATCAGTAGTCATAGATTATTATATATATATATATTTCAGGAATCTTATGTGGAATATAGTATATTAATTATAAATCTTAACTGATCAGCGAGTAACCTGGAGGTTAAACTTGGATTACCATCCCGCTGGCCCCATCGGCCCCATTCCGCTATTCACGGACCTCCCCGGTCGTGAAAACCTCTGGCGTTACACACAGGAAAACCAAAAAATGCGGTTATTGATGGTTGATTCAGGGTTGGCTTGGGGGTTGCTTAGATTTTCTGTAGGGTTGAGTTCTTATCAAGTTTTCTTGAGGTTTTACGGTTTGTCAAGGTCTTGGTTCACGGATCGAAGCACTTGATTCATATGACAGAGATTTTTTTAAGATATAGCTGCAAAAGGTAATTTGGCACCGTTTTAGGAAAACGCAAAAATGCAATGAAGTGCAAGGAAAATCTATATTTTGTATGCTCGCTGTTTGCGAAAAACACGCGCCGAAACAACACAGCAGATTGCACTCTCGCATGGAATTCCGTAGCTTTCGGGCAAATGGCAGCCCCAAACGCGAAATCCAAATACTGACGAATCGCAAGGATGAATGTCTGGTTTGTGGTTTGGAACATTTAATTTATTTTCCCATTCAGTTGGGAATGTCATCATCCCAACTGACTTTCACTCCATCATTTTTCAGAGGGGTAGGCGTACCAACCACCAACCAGATGTCCACGCGTCAATGATGTTGCGGGGCGATACAATCCATTTCGTGGTCAACCTAATGCCAATATCCCATACAGGATGGGGCCCCCAGTCGATAGCGTTCAGTTGCCTTATAAGCGGCTTAACTATGGTTTATGGTAGATATAACTATAGTTAACGGTGGTTATAATGGTTTATAAACCAACTTATAACTGGGGGGGCCCATCCTGTAAATCTACCGTCATGATTTTCACCGGGCCATTTAAGGCAGATATTGCGGGGATGTTGTTGTTGGGTTGTTGCACATCTGCAAGAATTGCCATGGTTATCATGGTTTCTCGTTTGAGTCACTCAAACTAAGTGAGGATCCGTTGCCATTTTCCAAAGCTATTGGGATCCCAGATGATTGGATTGGATAGGTGGAATAGGAACATGGCTGGAACATCTCAGCGAATGGGAAAGCGCTTAAAATGTTGTCCTATTTTCCCCATGTAAAATGGAGGGTACCCTCCAATCAAACATGGTTTGTTCATTCACAGGTGTTCATTTGGGATTTCCTAGCGGTCTGCCATGTAGCTGATGACATTTGCCCATGATATTCCCCCAAAATTTCCATGATGTTCCTCCCATCACTATCCCTCTTTTTTTACCACGTGGTACCATCAAAGCTCCATTTCATCTCCATCATGAAATATCAATTTTAAATGTTAATTATATTTATGAAACATAGATTAGCTGATGAAGCATAGATATTCTACCATTTAGCATTTTTATCAACGGTGATTCTTCCAGGACCTGGTGGTTGGCTTAGACAACGTCTTCTGGTGCAGCGCGCAAGAGGAAGGCAGCAGCACCAACCCCGAGTGGCTGCATGTGCTTTGGCGGCCAAGGACGGTAGGCCTTTGGGATGCGTAAAAAGGTGGATTTAACCTTTGATAAACTAACATAACTATGGAAAATCACATTTTTCAATGGGAAAATCCACTATTTCTATGGCCATTTTCAATAGCTATGTTAGTTTACCAGAGGGTACATGTCTGTAATCAAAGATGGCTGGGAAATCCCCGAACGAAAATAGCCAAACTGAAGCCAGTCGTCGAACTAAACTGCGGATGTTCCATCGGTTTCAGTGCTGGAGAGCAAGCTGTGAGAACGTGGAGTGAACCAGTATGAATTATGAATTGGGATCAAGAGTGTAATTGAACCTATGGGAAGGATTTCTTTATACTATAAATTGTTATGGTTCCTTAACTCGCAACAAGGTACTCACATTCTTGGCAGTTCACCACGAGAATGGTCCACCTCCCCGGATGCGGCCAGTGATGGGATTGATGCTTTCTGTTGATGGATCAATGGATGATGATTATCTCTGGGTTCTTTGGGCTGAGTTTACACTTGTCTCCCACTTGTCTCCCACACTTGTCTCCCACTCTGGGTTCCTTGGTTCGCATGTACAATATAATTGAAAATTTCTACATCTGTTTGGGGTCAACGCTGGTATAATTAATTAACGTTTTTTTGAATGTGATTGCATTCATGGGTAATATGAATCCATGTTCACATACTTTTGTTTGTTGGTGGGATGTATCATATCATGGAAAAAAAAACGATGTTTTTCCTCCGTTGGATCATCGTTGAATCCATAATCCTTCAGTCGTGATACATGTTGCTATAATGGATTTTTTTGGGATCCACCAAATCGATTCAGTCAGATTGATACATTCAATTTGGTAGTTGTCTCAATATAGAAACCATTTCTGGATCGTCTGAAATCGCTACCACCAATTTCCCAGTGCTGTGCCAGGCCAATTAAAAACTCCGAGTTTTTGCCGAACAAAGCTGGAGCTAGGAAGGATCGCTATGTAGATTCCGTCATGGCTCTCCAGCTATCTCGTGGCCCATCCTTAGGTCCTTCCTGGAGGGACATGCTTTGGGCATGATGGCAACTTGCACTTTCTCATGGAAAAAACAGCACAGGTGCTTGGATATGTGGAACAGGGATCGGAAAACAAGTTCGCCCCCGGGCAGCATATTGGGAGCACCACAATGCCAACACCATGTGGCTGGTGCTTGGATCGTCGGCGGCTTCTCTCGCTTCCCTACTCCCTCTCGTGCATTTCCGGAGATGAAAAGTCTGGAAATTCCGGTTCCACCTTCTCAACATCCTCTTCCCCTTACTATTTGTACATGATGACTTGATGACCATCCCACTGTCCTTGGCTTAGATGGATTTCCCGCATATCCCATCGACAGTTAAATTTGAAGGCAACAAACGACCAAGTGCAGAGAATTTCTACCCAAAGAAATACAGTTTCCCTTTCCATCTGTATGGATACAAGTGGATTGTCTTCCCATGTTTATCCTGTTATACCCAGTTTGGGGAAAGGCCACCACATTTTACAAGCCATACCAATGATTCGTCAACCACCGGCCAGCAGTTCTGGAGGTTAATTCAACTAATTGGATAGTTTTTTCCCGAATGAACTTAAGTCGAAATTAAACCAATATCAACCACATCTCAAAGTTTAATCCCTACTAGTAGATGGTTTATCCCATTATAATCCCATTCTTTACCGTGTTTCATAGCCAAGTGTTACCCTGGTGGATGTCGCAACCGCCACAGTGAGGTGGACCAGAATCATCGCACGGGTATGACATGGCCCTGTGCGCCACTTGTCGCGCTCGAGGGGCGCCACTTGGGGGGGTCAATAGCTATGTGGTAAAGCCAACCATAGAAGGGGCGCATAGACATCATTTGTAGGAGCCAATGTCATGAAACTTCGAATGTGGTGATGGTGTCTAAAAAATGCTGCTTTACCACAACATCCATACATCCCGCTATCTTTTATGGTGTGAACTGAAGGAAACTAGGGTGAACTGACCCATGGCCACATATGTCGAATGTCTTTCTATTTTTTACCTGGTAATCTGCCATTTTCCCGGTACAGGGTAAACTTTTGTCGCGGTTGTCGAAGGTTGGTCATAGTTTGGTAGTGAAAAACTCTTTCGTTCCAAAGGTGAACCCAACTTTTCTGCTAACCAACATTTCAGGTCCCTTTCTTGAAAGAGCTTCGCTCAGCCGGGTTGATTTCATTCCAACTACCGGTGGCACGGATCGCATCACTCCCAAGGCAAGGTGTGCTCTACATTTGGCCCTCGGCACCTCGCTATTTTACAAGTGGGCTGTCCTCGACAGTTTCAAATGGACCCCGGAATCTCAGATTTCCCAGGAATCCAAGCGGAAAATCATCTTCCAAAGCTGAGTTCTTGGCGTCTTCCCTTTAGATCAGCAATGGATCTATCTTGGAGAGCCAGAAAAAAACGTTGCATCCCCAAAAGAATCGGATGAGATGTAGGGAAAATTCTGAGGGGGCAACCTTCACCGATGATATCCATAGCATGTTCCCTTAGCTTTCTGGGGGGGCTAAGTTGACGAAAAACTGCAGGGGTGAAACATCCTCTCATTTTGGGGAAGTTGTAACCAATCCCAAGGGAAAGCAGCTTTTTGTGGGATGCCACTTCACAGATGCGGCGCAAAGGAGGGATCCAGTTCTTCAACAACAGTGGTGTGGCCCAAAAGCCATAAGGAGGCGGCGAATTCCAAGTGGGGATGGGCAATACCACCCATTCCGTGTTTCATTTTGTCGGCTGATTCACCAGATATCAAAAGATTTACTATATTACATCTGTAAGATATCAAATATCACCAGATATCAGTGGATTTATGGATTTACTATCAAGTTGATCACCAGATATCAGAGCTTAAAGCCAGCTCTTTGAAGACTAGCTCGGCCATAGCTCGTGCAGGATGTTCTCCAGCGTCCACATCTTAGATGTGTTTTAACCATCTTTACCGTCGATGTTTTGTGCTGTACAGGATCCGCAGTGGTTCCATCCATTGGTGAAATCAACATGGTTTTACCCAAAAAAAAAACGACTGAAAGACCCAATGTATTGGAAATCACTTGGCCAAATATATGATCCTCAACATTGAATAAACATGTTTGCTGGGCTTTTCAACATCACAGTGGGATAGTGGTCCAACCCTTTGATGGGTGTACAGATGATAAACCAACGGTGAGATCCCCAACACTGATTGAACCACCCACGAATTTGGAGATAAGCCTCCATTTTGCTTGGTGATCCTGCTTTTTGGGTTGGTGTATCTAGCCCGAATAAACATCAAACCTTAATCCCCATAATTATTTATACACACATATTATGTTATATGTTTATATATATACACATATATTAGTTCTATAATATGTAATGTAATGTAGTGTAAAGTAAAGTAAAGTTATGTAATGTGTATATATATATATGTGTGTGGTTGGTGGTTTGGAACAGTTTATATTTTGCCATATATTGGCAATTTCATCATCCCAACTGACGAACTCATATTTTTCAGAGGGGTAGGCTCAACCACCAACCAGTAGATGATTTTCATTGATTTTCCCATTCAAATGCCATCCGGGATTTCCCAGCTATGTTTGATGGCATATTATATATATATATATGTGTGTACATAACTGTTAGACGAATCTGAAGCCATCCCTTGCCGCGAGGCGTACGAGAAAATGATGGACGATCCCGAGGCCATCACACGCGGCCGCTCCATGGGAGGAGCCCGGTAGCACAACAGAGGATCAACGGTCCAAAAATCATAGGTGGTTATACATGATCTCTATATATATATATATATGATCTATATATGATCTATATATGATTTAAAGGGTTATATGATCTATCTCCAAGAATATAGCTATGATTTAGATCATTTAAAGGCTGGTATATGGCTATAAACCATTTGGTTATATGATTATTTTGGATGGTTAAGGATGATGAACGGGTTATATGATCAGTTATCCAAGAAATTCTAAGAACATCACTGTGATTTCAAGGGTCGGGTGGCGAACTATCTAAAGAATTAGGTGTATATTTTAACCAACGCAAATGAGAATTTGACCATGAAATTGCAGGTTTGTACAGTTGCCAATGCTTAGGGCCGCTTGTGCCTTGAACATCCCAAGACAACATTGTCGCAACTTTGGCATGTGAAGACTTGGGGTAGTCTATGTCCATTCTCATTCTTGTTCTTATTTTTTCAACGTTTTTTCACTTATGTTTTCAACGTTTTTTCGTTGCTTAAGACTCGTTTCTTGTTGCTTCAATTCCAGTGGTTTTCAGGATATTCCAATAGGCCACCGCCATGGACGGTGATCCTCCAAGTAATTTCCGAAGAAAAAACGTCAGTGGCGATGAGTTGGGTGTTGTTTAAAGATGCATTGCTATTACTGCTGCTGTTGTTAATTGATGTTATGTCACAAGTATTCTTGTTATACTAAAACATGTTTAGTTGTTTCCCAATTATCGTTGATAGTGTCTATTAGTGCTTCAATCCACAATTATCACGATTGTCCTAATTAGTACAAACGATTGCTCCAATGTCTCTAAAGTTTACTTGTTATTATTGTTGTTGTTATGGTCTTCATATTGTTTCCTACTGTTGGAAACTTGTCATTTTCCCAAGAACTACCAACATATCCACATTCCCTGCCTTTTTTATTCTTGGGAAAATAATAGCTTAGTAATCACGGTGATAGTTGTAGGTACAATAGCTTTTTCAAGAATGTGATACCCTCTGGTAATTTAACATAGCTATTGAAAATGACCATTTATAGTGGATTTTCCCATTGAAAATGGTGATTTTCCATAGTTATGTTAGTTCACCAGAGGGTAGTTGAAATCCCTCTGCTTCTGTGTCCTCTCCAAGAGTCGCTTCTCGCGACTCTCGGTTCTCCCAGGACAATCCGTCAAGCTGAAGGAGCTCCAGCTGCCGTATCTCCGCGAGGCGACGTTAGACATTCGGCTGGGGATGGGTGGCCTATTGTTACTACCCTCTGGTAATTTAACATAACTATGGAAAATCACCATTTTCAATGGGTAAATCCACTATAAATGGTCATTTTCAATAGCTATGTTAAATTACCAGAGGGTATATGACTGGCAGAATAAACGTCCAGCCATACCAGATATTTTAAAGTAGGTTGCCGGGGCTTTGACTCAGTGCCATATGGGTATACCCCCTAATTCGTCACTTTTAGTGGGACATTACGTTTCTAATCTGTTCTATCTGTATGGGGGTTGCTTTAAACAACCTACCTACCATGTTTTGACAATAGCACACGGGTAAATCAAATGGTTGGATTGCTTTTGGATTGCTTCATAATTGGATACACCAACAGTGATTTGATTGATTTGATGTGCGGGTCAACCGGCTGGATGGGTAAACCATCAAATATGAACGAAACTTGGTCTTTGGTGAAGGCATAGGTTGATATTTGAATCTGTCACCACAAATGATATAAAATAACCAGCTACAAATTCGTTTTTGCACAGGGAAGATTGGCCATGAACGCACTACATCATTTGGCGGGTCCCATGACGAGTTTGGCTCATCATCCCAGGTAAGGCCTTGCCGTCGCCAAAAATTCCCAGTGCTAAAAACCCCCTGGCTAAACAGCGGGTTACACTATCCATTATGGAACCTATCACAATCCATGGGAAATCTCAATCACACCAGAATAAAGGGACGACATTTCGGGTTTTGAACAATGCTGACTTGTCAACAAGGTGTGTACTGTAGAATTGGCATAGAATAGGAAGTCCGACCGCCGTGCATCTTCGGTCTGTTCGATTGACTGACCATCAGCTTCGGTCATTTTTTTCTAGTCCTTGTTGGGGCCCACAATCTCAGTTTTTTGTAGCTAGCTACTATCCATCAACAGTTTGTTTTGAATAATATAGAGGAAAGAAACAAGAAACATAGAACCAAAAAAATAAAAGTAAAGCACCCATGAATTGGACAAAATCACCACAATATTCAGAAGTTCAAACCAATTCATCGCAATACGAGATCTGAAATATTGCTTGATTGGTCAGGCCGTCTTCGCCTTGCACGACGCGTTTCATGGTGTCCATCCCCATGTTTGGTCAGTGATCTCTGATAGATCAGCCTCTACATCTCCGAAATGTTGGAGTCGTCCAAGAATTCCAACATCAAAAATCACATAAAAAGATCCTGTTGAGTGTCAATGTCATTTCAATGTTTGTTGATGAAAAATCACCAGGATATCCATGTATCCATTAACATAGCTTTTGTTTGTTGGCTGAATCCAAATTTAATTGTTGAATTATTATATCTCTTTGTATATGTATATGTATATATATATATATACAGATACATATAGACTCCATTTTAGCTTTATCACATATTACAATGAAACCCTCCAGTATGTCTATCTATCCATCCATTCATCTATCTATCTGCATATATATATATATACATACCCTCTATCGTATGCCCTATATATTGATCAAATCAAATGACATCCCCATGCCGCTGCCTCCAGGAACTCTTGAGCGAAGCCTTGTTGAACAGTCGCCGGGTGCCGTGCCCTGCGGGGAGCCGCTTGGTGTAGTGATTCATGAAGGTGAAGATCAGCAAGAAGGGCAAGAAAAAATCAAGAATGATAATGATGCAAGATGGCGATCATAAAGATAATCATGATAGTCATGATCATGAGGATCATGATGAAAGTAGTACTAATGCGAATCGAAATAGCAGTAGTAATTGAAAAGCAGTAACAGCGTTAGTTGCCATAGCAGCAGCAGCAACAATAACAACAGCAACAACAATAGCAAGACCAAGCAGGCCAGGAGGGGTTTGCCAGCCTTGAATCAGATGATTTGGTAGATTAGTGCAACAAGGACCCAGGGATGCCGACGAAGCAAGGGACACCCTATTGCAGAAGGAAAACAAATCAAGCCGAGAAAAAACAATTGAGAACGGTTTGCCACTTTTCTCCGGCTTGCAAGTTTGTTTCTTTAATGAATTTGTGTAACGTTTGAGAAAATGAGCCTTCATCACAACAGAAAATATTGAGGATAAAGTGCAATACACCAGCTCTGTTGACCAACAACGCTCTCAGACGAAAAATGGTGTTTTGACCCTTTGACCCCATCCATCTAATAAGAATACCCCATGTCAAGGTAAAGATGAGTGATGAATGTTCAATATGATTAGGGGAGGATTGGCGATGCGCCATCTATATGGCGTTAATACCCATTCAGAACCATGTTTCAACCAGAACCAACCCTTAGATCATCATACTGTCGGTTAAAGGACAGTTTTTCCTGTGTCATACCCATCGTACGCATCCATCAATCTTTCTTTGGTTAATATCCCATTGAAGACCCACGAAATCGTTCTAATCATGTTATTCCTACTACTATTCGTATTATTCAATGGATACTAACCAATTATGATCTGTATTCACTCAAAATTGCCTTTGTCTCCTTAGTAAGTAAACCCAAAAATACAATTCCCAGCGCTGGTCAGATCCGGACTTTTTTGTTGGGTTTGCCACATTAGTAGCTGGTTGGTTGTTTGGAACATGGCTTTTATTTTTCCATAATATATGGGATGTCATCCTTCCCATTGACGAACTCCATCATTTTTCAGAGGGGTAGGCTCAACCACCAACCAGATATTACAATCATCAGTGTTATATTATCCAATATTATTCCAATATTATTATCCAATTATTACCACCAACCAGATAGCTTTGCCCCATCTGAAATCCGTGAGGTTTGCTCCTCTGGGATTCGCGCACGGTTCACCAGGGCTGGCGTGGAGGGCCTCGCCTGGCACAGCCCATCTGTTGGGAACCGCGGGAACGGCGATCTGAGGCGCGGCGCCTGAACAACCAAAAGTACCAGCTGCCATCTGGTTATGACTAACATAGCCATGGCAAATGGCCCATTTATAGATGGTTTACCTATTTAAAATGGTGATGTTCCATGGCAAACTGTTAAATAACCAGATGGTAAACCAATAGGAAACGAGGATGCACTTGACATGATCCAATTATCAGTTGTAAAGAGTTGTCTTCAAAGAATTACGTCTCTGTGCTTGGTTGGTCTGGTTGGTCTGTCTCTTCCATCAGGTGCGCTTAGGAGGTGGCCCTCCTTCACCTAGAAACCCACGTCCCAGGAGGCGCTGCATCGCAAGCTGTGGATGTGCGGCAGCGGCATAGCCTCCTCGCACTCCGCAGCGGAGGGCCGGGTGCATGGCATGGCCAAGGAGGTTGGTGGCTGCAGGAGGGCGCTAGGGATTTAGATGGCGATCAAACGAGCAAGAATAGGGGAAATGATGATGGATGATCTATCTATCTATCTGTTTATCTAACCATCCACCCATCCATCCATCTATCTATATATTTAGTTATGATTCTATCTATCTATTTATCGATCTATCTATCTATCTACCTATCTATCTACCTATCGGAATATATGTGGTTTCAACCAACCAAAATGTTATTTGGATGTATCTGAAACTGAGATAGACCCAGAATCCATTGCGATGTCACGTGGAAAAAAATTTTCACAACATGGGATTTCCGGGTACCTAACTTTCAACAGCAGCTGCAGCTGGTGCACCCACGAGCCCCACAGTTCACCATTTTGGGATACACCATGACTGGTTGGTGGTTTGGAACATGGTTTTTATGACTTTCCATAATATATGGGATAATATGTTTCCGATTGACGAACTCCATCATTTTTCAGAGGGGTAGGCTCAACCACCAACCAGACATGTTCAGACAAACCTAGATGGAGGATAAGGTGATTCATCGGTAAAACAAAGGAAGTAATCATGCAAGAATGGCCGCATTTCTGCTTTGGGAACCGTCCAAATTTGCCCAGATTGCTTTGACCCCGAGAAAATTCGGAAGGGTGAAGGTCAAAATGAGAATTCTATGGGATTGGTAATTGGAATCATGGAGGATGTTTAGCAGGAATGGTGTTTTCTTTTGCTTGTATGGGAGGAATCGGAGGAATTGGTGGTTATGGGGTTCCGAAAAGAACCAGCCATGGGATTCACGTCCGTGAGGCACCAAGTCCCTCCCTGGAAGAAGGCCTTCCGTTGCTGAGAGCTTGCCTGGTGCCCTACGGCATTGCCAGCGGCCAGGAGTCCGAAGGGGCTTGGAGATGGTGTGGTTCTAAGTTATCGCCACCTCAATGTAGAATGATCAGCTATGACCCTATAAGTTTTCTGGAAGGACTCTTCGGAGCTCTTCTCAACGCTCCTCGCCACCTCTTCCAAGCTTTCTCAACTTTCCCCAGCTCTTCTCAACTCTTCCTACCTCTTCTCAACTCTTCTCACCTCTTCTCAAAACCATCTTTCAGATCGCTTTCAGGCTGCTTTCAGACTCCTCCCTTCAGATTGCTTTTGCATTCCATTATGTGGCGCTTTGAGATTCCTTACACCGGTGTTCGGCATTCAAAGCACCTGCTTTGAATCTGGTTTCTTCTCTTTTTAAGGGTTGCGTTTCTTAGGGCCCGATTGATTTCAAGTGGAACATGCTGGAACATACCTGGTCCATCCTGACCCTCGCTGAGATTTTGTGCCCCTTTTCTTCCACATCCCATCGCATAACCTTACCATCGGCTTCTGGCACTGTCCCGCCAATAGGCCAATAGGACCTATTTGTTTTAGCAAGGAATGAGGACAGGAATAGGACCATCCCAAACCTACGTGGGGTTTGTTAAGACCTGATGGTTTGCTGGCGATTTAGCGCCTGATGGTATCCTTTTCATCGTTGGCCAAGGCCTTATGATCAGCTGATTACATTCACATGTTTCTTGCTGATAAAAACACAAACTACCCAGATATGACAACGATCCCTCTTTCACTCTTCCAATGCCTTCCTGGATCTGCATTTCACTTGGCAGTTGGACAAGTTGTTATAGCAACGGTTGTACAAGTCAAATCCAAAACATTCAATTTGGTGATAATGTGCTACCCCTTTCCTAGGATCAGTTTGCTAACTGTGATGGCAGGAGATCAATTGGGTGGAGCAGCATGAGGCCATTTGGCCCTCGGACAATCCCAAGCGCCAAGCCGATCCTCGGAGACGTGGTAAACCGGTAAAGTTTGGCACTGTGGCCTAGAAATGGGTGTGTGGAGCAGCAACAATGGCGGTTTCAAACCAACCAAAACACGTAAATGGCCAAGATTTGATTGTTTGTTCATTATATCATCATAAAGAAAGAGGTGTTAATTGTGACTCACGATTGCCTGAGGGTCGCAAAAGTTGAATTTTGTGATAGGCATGGTCCCAACACGCCAACTTGACTCCAAGCCTAGATGACCATTTAATTTTACTTGATTTTCCTGTCCTAGAAAATGACTTGACCCACATGTGGGTATTGATTCAGGGCTGGTTCAAGGTTTGATACCCAAAAAAAATCAATGTAGATTCTGATTACAAAGGCTTTGCATTTCAATCCACGGTCGGTTGTTGTCCTTTCAGCCAGGATGGTTTCAGGCCCTACAGGTGGCCAGCGCCATTGGTGGGTCCACCCTATTTTTGTGGGTCACTGGATTTTTGTTAGCGATGATGCATTCATGTTTGGTTCAATAATGCCCTTTTTTTGTTCAGATTGAATTTTCGTTGTGGCTTCAAATAATATACCCTCTGGTTATTTAACGTAGCTATGGAGAATCACCATTTATAGTGAATTTTCCCATGAAAAATTGTGATTTTCCATAGTTATGTTAAATTACCAGAGGGTACGTTTCCCATCTGAAAACTGTTTCTCATCCCAGGAATCCTATCACCAAATAGTCCATGATAAACCCCCCAGCGAGGATGTGAATAATCTGCGCGCACTGCTTCCTCTGCTGCGACCGGAAATGGAGGAGGTCCTTTGAGGAGCTCCGTTTGGGATATGACTGGGGAAAGGAGACCTGGGAGAAAATCAGTGGCAAACCAAAATGGTGCTTTTGCGAAGAAAAATCTGGGGGTTCAAGAATAACGATTCAGCAAGCGAAAAAATTGAGGTTTAACATGATTCAACCAGCAGAGGTTCTGATGTATCCAGCAAAACTAGGGTTTAACGACATGAAACAACACAAGTTTGGATTTCACCACGAACATGTTTAGATTTGAACAACAAAAAGTGGTTTTGACAGCTGGACGGACTGGGTTGCCATATAGATCTATTGGTTGCTCCTTTTTTCGGATGAAATGGGTGTACCATATCTCCCGCCACAGGTTCTCATTTCTGGGCGGGGAACCAACAAATCACCAAATCACGCTGCAAACATTGGAGGAGTATTTTGGCATGATTCTGCATGGTGGGCATAGAGCCGATGTAGCTGGCATCCATGAGTTCTCACAAAAAAAAGGGAGAGATTGTGTGAATGAGACCAGCATGGGGAATATTCGCAACAAACATTGGCATAGAAGTAAAATAATGACGTCATTTCTCAGCCAGAAAAGATATCACGAAAGTGAAGACATCTGGGGTATACACTCGTATTTGATGACTCGCAATGGTTGAAAGCAGGAGTCAAGCAACCATTGGTAGGGAGGTAGGGATAGAGAGAATTAGCACTGCTGCGAACTAACCAGCAAACCTTGAGGAGATGTGGCTGTTCAGCTGATAAGGCTGTCGTCCAATTCGTGTACAGTTCTAATCTACCTTTCAGATGTGGAAACTGCCATGCAAGCACCGTACACAAACGAATCCTGCATGATGTACAGAAGAGGTTTCCGCTATGTTTCTGACAACCCCTTGACATGAAAAAGGTGGCTGGCTTTGAGACCCCATCTCACCAGTTGTAGATGAATTACCCTTCAAAAATATATGGGCGAGCATGGTGATTCTCCAGGTTGCATTACCACAGGGAAAACAACCAGTTTCAGCACAAGTGGTTTCTTATCAACGTGTTTGGCCGAAAGGTAGAAGCGTTTTGAGTCAAATTCCTTGTTTTCTGAGCATTTTGAGGGAGCCTTTTAGGATACCCACCAATGCGCAAGCACTGTGTAAACCACTGACCTGCTGGTTTGGTGGAAATTCTAGACATGAAGAATAAGGAAGATATATTAAGATCAATCTTCGGAAGTGTTCAAACTTCATTCACGAAACCCACGCTGAAAAGTGACCGAGGCCCCACGCCTTGTTCGCCCTTCACCCGCAAGTGGTCATCGTCACCAGCACCTGGACTCAGTGGGTGATATTGCCAGGATCCACTGGTGCGGACCACAAAACTGCAGGGTGAAAGTTTAAATAGTGGTCCAATTCTTGGTGAATGACTTAGTCCTGCTCTATTTTTGTCCTAAAATTCTGGGAGGAAGTGTTGATATCCTAGTAAAATATGTGTTTAAATGCTAAAGTGCGATGATTCGAATCCTGCTAGGCCAGTTTCAGCCGGTTTCAGCCGGTGCTCCAGTCGCTGGAAGTCATGCAGCTACCAGGTCCCAATGCTGACTTTGGCGACAGTGATTCAGAGGAAGAGGACGAACGCTGGGGTCACATTGCTGAAAATTGGGGAAGATACCTTGAAGATACTCTGGGCCACTTGGATGTGCATCCCAGTGCAACTCAAAATGACCTCTGTGTACATGTCATAGTTTAGTCACTGTCATGGAAGCTATGCACAAGAAAGTTTTACCCCAAAGAGCCACTGAGATTCTACCCTCTACCCCTGGCACGTCTCAAGACAAGGTGTAAGGTCCCAGCTATGGCCCCTTTTGTAAATCGAAAGGGCGGACCCATCGATTGGTGGCCCAGACTGAGCCATAAAAATACCCCTGTTGATGGGTTAATAGTTACACTAACTGGTTGATTGGGATTCGTACAACCCACAATAGGGATACCCTATTTCACAATCAGTATAATGGGATGGAATAGGGTCGTCTGTATATGGAGCAAAGATTGTTCAGTGTTTGAAATTGTTCCGCGAAATTGCAGATACCTGGGTTTATTTGAAAATAGCATACACCCAAAACCTGTCAAAATTCCATGGTTCGTACAAGTTTTCCTTAGTAACAGTAATTAATTATGTACCCCTCATTTTGACAAACCCACCTTGCCCAATGTACACTTTGTTAGATCATCGGATGGACATCCAGTAGCTGGTAATAATGCCACCAGGGATCATAACCCAACACTGGACTCATTTCTGGTAGTTTTGTCGTATTTTTCCTCTTTTTTGGCTGATTGAGTCCTATGTTTTTGGTCAACTGTCCTTTTCCAATGGTTTTGGCTGATGAAATCTCTGGTCTTTGCCAGTGTTTGCTGATGAATTTCCTGTGTTTGGTGGGTGAGCAACCCATTGACGCCGCAGGAAGCGCCAGATTCCAAAGCCGTGGCGCACCGGCCGTTTCGGCATGCGGACCACGAACGAGAATGGACCAGGGCTGAGTCACTCGCTGGAAAAAATGGTGGAACTGTTGGAGGGGCACTTAAAAAACTGTGGTTTTGGCCCACCAGAATGATGACATGAAACCGCAATGAATGATTGGTGGTTTGACAAAGGTGTAAGGCCAATCATCTGTACCTGGCTGATTGTTGCGACACTTATGGGTGTAATTCACAAACAAGCGCTATAGTGCTGAAGTTTCCAACATAGTAGGTAATTGTTGCAGGTAATTCTTGCAGGAAACCGACAGCTCACATATCACACTTTTCTCCCACTATGGGTCTTTGTGCATCTCAATTTTGTCGGCATTTTGTAGCGGGGAAGTTCAGCAGGGCACCGCCGGCGCAGCTGATATTCAGCTGTTCTTCACATGGATTGCCGTCCAAGAAGGATTCCAAGCCATTCCAAGCCCGTTTGAAATGGTTTTGTCACCGGCGCAGGTTCACCTGGATTTGCGGTAACGAATATATAGTATTTCCCTGGGCTTAATGCTCGGGTTGAGGAGCGGCTGTGGCAGCTGATCCAGGAGTTGATCGCGTTGGAGTCCAGGGCCTCGAAAAAGTTCGAAATGAAAGTGGCTTACCAGCTGCACTTCGATCAGTGAAGAGAAACAGGTGTGGAAACAGCAAGACCTGATGGAGCGCCTACAATCCTTGGAAACACAACTGAGATGAGGGCGAGTCGGCAAGGCATGCGCATCAATGCACCAGTTAAAGCTTGCGGAGCTAAACGAGGGCAAGAGGTTCATCATTTTTCCTAGAGCAAGTATACCGTCAGTATATCCTATTTTCAGACACAAATGAAGGATACAACAGGATGCCAAGCATCAAAGTTTGAGGCTGAACTGTGAAGCAGACCCACAGCGGTGCTGTGTGCGTTAAATAAAGCCCGTGTCTGCCTTGTTGAATCCCCATTTTGTTTGGTTTGCATTGGCTGAATCAACATGTTTGTCTGTGAAAATTGTGGTTGTGTGCTTACAGCACCGGTCCTGGTGCTGTTTAAAGTCTAGTTTTTGGTTTGTAAAATGACCTTTTTGTTTGCAATCTGTCTCTCCCTTGCCAACGCTTGAGGTTCAAAGAATGGGCCGAAAGAGTGGCGCAAGAACATGGCTCTCTGGCCATGGGATTCCAGTGGGTCAGGGAGCAGACTTGGGCGCTCACAGAAAATCTCCTTGATTGTTTGTTGCATCGTTTTCTCTCAATCAAATGCAGCTTGAGTGTTGTTTAAGAATCCGAAAGGTCGCAGTCCAGGGTCCATAGAGTCCCTCATGTTTTTAATTTCAAGTGTCAAAAAAGCGGGAGAAATAAGGTGAGGGCCCTTCAAATTCTCATATTGGATGCAGTGCCAATAAGAGTTTTGTCCCTCTATGTGGGGATGGGTCAAAACCTATGAAATTACCATATTTTGGGGGAATGAACGTCCATTTACCACCTATTTCAATGTTCATCAGGGCACCTGGGTTTTGATTTCTAGCCATATGAGGGTCCCTCAAATTCTTACGGTAGGAATTTGACATAGCCCCCAAGATATCATTGGGATTGAAGCCAGGGCCTTCAAATTCTCAGTGCTTGCGCCGCTTTGGAAAATCCCACCCCTGGAGAAACGGCTCAGAGATCCCCAAGCTTCGGCCGACGATTGCTGTTTTTCTTTGTGGAGGACAAGCTCAGCAGAGAACAAACTGAAAAACGTCCAGTTTGTTTCTTTCCACCTACATCCGTCAGCTGTCGGTTTCATCAAAGGGCCAGGGAAGTGATTTGACCTTTAAGGCAGAGAGAGAGAGAGGGAGCGAGAGGGAGAGCGAGAGAGAGAGAGAGAGCTGAGATCCATTAATCAAGTGGAGGCATTGATGATGCAGACGTCCAGATTTAGAGAATGGCGAGAAATGATGGGAGATGCACCCACTACAATTTAATTGTGGGAAGTTTGAACAAGGGACTGAGGACGGAGCGATTGCAATCACAACATGTTAATCACCAAATGATGGACCCTACGAAAAGAGGTAGGGCCTCAGAATCCCGGTTGGCTCATAGTTACCTTCCGGGGATTGGCAGCATTTCACCATCAAGTCCCGTTGGATCGCTGAAAAATGGAATGTTTGCCCGTGAAATCCCCATGATATCCCACCTATATAGGATTCGGAGCCAGTTATCTGACCTTTTTTGTTTGATTTTGGTGCTGAAATTTCCACTTTGGTGTCTTTGGTTGGTGAAATTCCCATGCCTTCGATGCAGAGGCTATTGGATTTCAGAGCTGGGCGGTGTTGGCTATTTGCCGGAACTCGAAGCCAACGGTTCCTCTGCTCGTCTGGCATACGTGGGAACTCCGGCCCTGTTTCCTATCGAGTAAATGTCAATTTGGAAAAACACCATTTCGATGGTTTATTTACCAAAAAACAACATGAAACTTGTTATTTTGGGGTATCCCTTATTTTCTGACAAACCCATTTCAGATACCCAATTGCTAGGGAACCGTGGGTCGGTAGGTATTCGCACAAAATATTTTACACAAATATAATCATAATATACATATATATATATATACATAGTATTATATATATATATATCAGCTAAAAGATTGTCCATGATTGAAGGTACATGTCCTATGTGAGGGCTTACGAAAAAGGAAACCAAGCTGTTTTGGGGGGCCCTTCATGGTCCAGTACTTCAGTCCCAATGGCATTGCAGCATCGCCTTTCCCATCGCAGGCCCCTGCACGCAGCTCTGTATCTTCGAGCGGAAGGAAGAGGATGGGATCTCTGTGAGGTGATTCCTGATGGTTTCTGGGTTAATCGCAAGGCAAATGATGGCTTTGGGGCGGTTGTTTCGCCATGTTGAGTGATGTTTTTTGGAATCTACCGAAATGTCTAGCCATTTCGATGGATAACGTGTTGTGCCTGATGAATGAGGGAAAAATCCAACAGCATTCCAGTATGGATCATGAAAGGCCTTGGCATCAACACATTGGTTGTCTATAGCATCAACGAATCCTTTTTTACCATATCCATTTAGGTAGAACTTGGGTCCAACACTGATAATGATACTTGGCTTGTTGGGCCCGTATTGGCACATTGTTTTTTTCCTTGCCAAGCAATTCAGAAGATCATCTCGGTGTGGAAAAGCCAAGGATTGGTCGCCAGCCGGCCCAAAGCAGTGGTTGAACCATCCAAAAAGATGTCACTTAGGCATACTTAGGCGACAAGACTTGAATATGTTGATATAAGTGTCCAGCGTTCATCGAGACATGAACATGGCATATGTCTAGTACATCTTTGTCCAAGAATAGATGCGTCTGCAAATGGGGTATAGCCCCCAGTTGTGGCTGTTTGAATTAGGAAACTTATGACTGGCCAGCGCAAGAATCCATTGGTTGATCATCACTTCCCCAATGAGTTGACACCACTGGAAGGATACAATCCATTCTCAAACACACCCATGTCGCATGCCTTTTTTTGTTGGTCATGTATCTCTTTATATCCCATCATATCCCATGATACTCCCGAAAAAAATGTCAAATCTTCACATGATATTTTCATGATAGCCCTGTGGAATGAATTTCCCAGCACCAGGATGAAAATGCTGAGCTTCCAAGTGCCACCTCTACCTCAAGCAGCTCCAGTTTTGCAGAGCAGGTGGGCTGTGCTGCCGCGAATCCATCGTTCTTCTTGTGTGTGTTTTTGCGGTAAATGTAGAGAATTCACCAAAAGAGGGAGAACCTCCAAAGTAATCGGTTTGGAAGATAATGTTGATTTTGTTACTTGGGCATTTTTGGTTTTTTTTGACTCAATCTTTAGTTTCAGGGTATCGAGACTGAGAGAGTATGCTTACGTCCACACAACTTGGCGATCTTGTCGCCATCCTTGGGGCTACGATCAAGAAATTTGGGGGATACAACCAACAAGTTTGTTGCTTCTTTAAATAATCAAAAGGGATTGAATCAGATGCCTCCTTCTTCTGGAATCCAATCTCAGGGAAGTGCATCCTTCAACTTCTCCCGAAAAAGTGGGTGATTTCAGTAAAAAAGACCGACCATGCTTGGTTTGCTTGGTACCCCATTTAGGTCGGTTGCCATACACTCTATCATTGATGAAGGTCTAGATTTTTTTGGTGGATTATTTGCCGCTTTTCGTGGTGAATATCCCCGTAATTGGCTGTACAATCCGAGATATACACCTTTGTTCTGTTTTGAATGCCCAATTTCTGGATCAAAGCCACAGTTTGGTGAAAAAAACCTTTATTAATCACTATGGAAGCACCAATTTTAGCAAGACAAGTCCTTGGTTTACTTGTTAATTTCATGATTTTGTATTGCTCAAATCCAAACTTTCCCATGTTGTTGTGGTGATTTCACCTATGATAGAGAGGGTCCCCCCGTAAAATGTCCGTTGAAAAATGGTCGGTCTTCAGAAGTCCATGTTTCCCACAGGACGCCGCAGAATGGTTTGTTCGACGGTAGGTCTTCAGAAGTCATTGCCTGGGTTTATAAGGACTTGCAAACTTTGTACTGTCCTTGGAATTCCACTTCACCTTGTACTTTCTTGAAGATTTAGAGTGTCTTTGACTACATGCTTCAGAATTTCAACAGGCCGGTTCACTGCCAGCAACAAGTGCTGGATCACCATCTGCAAGTTCCAGAGCACCGCAAAGGTCGTCCTTTGGGTTGTACTTCTATTTCCTGGGATCCCACATGACTTACAGGGGCCACGGCATGCCAGGTGGACCTGCAGCAGATTGTGGCCACCGCGCTGCGCAAGGACGAACTTGGAGGCGACCTGGTGAAAAACCCAACAGACATGATGATTTCAACAGCAAAAATTTGGATTTTGCAGGATATGTTGGGAAATTTCACCCACTACTAAGATTCAACCAGAATTTGGATTTTAGCCAAATGGGGAATTACGGCAGCCAAATTGTGAGCCAACAAAACGGGACTTGGCCACCGAAAATTTGGCTCTAACCACCAAAAACGGGTGGCATTACCGAAATTCAAAATTTCCTTGGAAAACAGTGTGTTTACAACAACAAGGTGGGTTTACAACAATAGGGCGGCGTCAACCGAAATGGAGAATTCACCTGCAAGAATTTGGGAGCAACAACGACGTGGAAACCAACTCTGATGGGTTGAAGAAACGGGAGATAGTGATGTTTGAGACAAGCTTTGGGGGTAGATGGATAGATGGATTGAAATGCTAGTTCATTATGTCATTGGCTTATATCCCCTGATCAATCCTATTTTTTGACATCTCCATATATGTGTACAGAAACATCCCCCCAGAATCGCATTTAATGTTGTGAATGCTGAAAGAATTGAAGCCAAAAATCATAGATGCTTGGTACTTAGTATTCCAGTTCTTGTTTCAATGGCCATTCCAGGATCCTAAATTGGAGGTACCTACCATATATAAGGCCTATATAAGGCCTATGTAAGGGGATATCCCCCCAAAATATGGCCTTATATGGTACAGTACCTCCATTTTAGGATCCTGGAATTCCCATTGATTGTTGCAGTGAGAACACGGGTTTTATCCGATCTGCCACAATTCCCCCGTCAACTCACGGAACCGCCATCCAACGACAGGTGAAGGCTCAGGGCTCTGGAAATACGTCCAGCAGGAAGGCAGTGGTGCTGTGCCACCAGCACGTGCCCGAGCAACCTGGCGAACCTGGCGGAGCTGGTGGAGCTGCGGTATGGCTTGGGCCACCAAAAAATGGCCCATGTGAATGGGGAAAATAAGGATGATATCTAGGATATCTAGGATATCTAGGATATCTAGGATTGGGAATGATTGTCAGAATTTGGGAACCAGCTTGACAATTTAGTTGTGTAGGCTATCTGAGATTATTACTGTGGTGTTTGTACTGCACCCCAAGAATCGGAAAACTGGTTGGGCTAACTGCAGATGCAGAAAGATACAAATAGACATCCCTAAGGTGGTTGATGAATAGGCAGATATCTTTGATGTTCGAAAATGAAAAGTTGCCCAACTATGTCTCAGGCACAATTTTTCAACCACCAACCAGTAACCAGTTCTTCGCATGTCATGTTCCCAGAAAAATTGGCACCAAGGTGAATTTGCACTATGCCAGCTATTTCTCCAGTGGAGTCCGTGTAGCTTACCTGGAACGGTGGAACGGCCCGTGGCCGGGACGAGTGGGAGGGGGAAAGCCCTTAAAGAATAGCTGTTGCTATCGAAAAAACATCCGGTGATATCATAGTTATATCATATATCATATAAGTTATATCACTTTATTTCATAGTGATGTCCTCATTTTCGGCAGTTTCTCCATCTTTGGGCATTGCAAGTCCTGGATGCGACTCAGTTCACCTTGGCCAGCAACATGGATGTCATCAAAGCCTGCTTTTCCTTGGTACGTTCGCCCTCTGTTTATTTGAAACTAAGTCTCACCTTTTTCGCCTCGACGGCAATTTCGTAGGTTTAAAACTTGTCGATTTCGATTTAGTTGTTTGACTATTTTTTTGTCCTGGGTGATGATTTCCAAACCTTTCAATTGTATGACTCGACAAGTCCCAGGAATGTTTGGGATCATAGACAAAACAGTAGTTGTGGCCATGTTTTATTTGTTCATGAAAGGTATGGTTCTACTCCTCCTTTGACCTGTTCAACACAGCTTGTATTGCTACCGAGTTCCGATCATCACTTCAACAAGTGGAATCTTAGTGGACATGTTCATATTGCTAGTGGAAACATGTGTCCAAACCTGAGCCTCAAGGTGGCCTGGGCCCCTCCTTGAAAGTGCAGTTCCAGTTATATGTGGATATGTCACCATAGTTGTAGAGGTTACATATACAATCAGTATGTGTGCATATGTGTGTGTATATGCCAACTTACGGGGCTCTCTTAACCATTGTTATATCAACTTATATCCATCTTTGTTCCCACCTCAGTTGCCCGAGTAGTCGCCACTTCCCCCGCTGTCCCCGGGGGTTTACCAGGTCGAAACCAGCCGGGAGAAGAATCGCTCCACGCCATGCGCCTTTCAGTTGGGTGGGAAGCAGGCAGGGTTCTCCCAGCCTCGCCCGGTCCTGGCTTGAAAATCCCCTTATAAATCGAGGGGAATACCCCATAAATGGATGTTTGAATGGCATCAATAGAGGTTTTAATGGGATCAATGGAGGTTTGAATCGTGGGTTTGTTACATTGCCAGGTGAGTTTCCCATATGTTCCAATGGACATGGTGGTCTTCATGGCCTTCATATGGGCCCGAGCCACCGCTTCGTTGGTAGCAGATTACCAAGGTGAACTGACCCACATCTTGGGATATTGGCCACGTCAGGCCCTCACGCCATTCTTGGGAATCGACTTAGTAACGAAGAACATATATGACTTACTCATACTTCATCCCCAAACGAGGGATCACCAACTAATACTATATTTCATAGCTGACTAGTAATCTTCGGGGATACCCTCTGGTTGTGATTCACTGAGGATTAACAATTTTCACGGTTTTTTGGGATAACCAGTGGGGATACCCTCTGGTAAACGTTTACAGTTTGCGACACAGAAAATGGCCATAGAAATCGTTGATTTACCCATTGAAAAGAGTGATGTTCCATAGTTATGTAAACCTTTACCAGAGGGTGTATATATATATTATATATATTATATATATATATTATATATAATATATATATATTATATATATATTATATATATTATATATATTATATACATATGTATTATACATATATTATACATATATATTATATATATATCCCTTAACACATCCCCACCTTCATTGGTGAATTTCCCCAGGCCCTGCTCAGTTGGCAGTTGGCAGCTGCTGCCATGCGTCCTGGCGAGGCGTAAATTGACTGTGGGGATTTGATGATCCTCTGGTAAACAGACATATATAGCTATTGAAGCCATGGCCATAGAAATAGTGGATTTACCCATTATTTAGATGGTGGATCTTTCCATAGTTATGGGACTGTTTACCAGAGGGTAACCATGTTTATGTCACAACAATCTAGGGATGTTTAACCCCAGTGGAAAAATGACGAAATAGATTTTGCCACCCCTGTTTTAAGTGGATTTGTGGGATAGAAATGTGACGAAAAATGAAGGGTTGAACGGTTGAATGCTTGAACCAAGAAATGGTGATCTACCAGACTCTCAGCTGCAAAGAAATCAGCAAAAATTGACACACCAGTCTCAGGGGGCCCGAGCTTTTAGAAGTGCTCACACCACACTTGCGCTTCTAAAATCATGGCGGATTGACATTGGAAAATAGGCATCTTCATGTACTTATCATCTTGGAATTTGGACCTTGACCTGACTAGACTGCAATGCTTGGACAAATGATGGTTCATTTTGGGGTGATCCCACGATACGTCTGACTTGAGAATCTTTGTACTTTCCCTGGACGTCATGACCCTATCATGTTCTCATTCCATGGCCATGCCCAGCTCCTGCAGATTGCATGGATTTGCAGCCCATCCAAGTTCGCGTATGGCGAGCAGGGCGTCAGGGCCTCAATCTTTGACAGACCACATCCGGATGGTTGCCCAAATATGCCCAATTAATGTTCTTAGTTTCCACCCATTTTGGGCTGATCCCCAATGGATTTATGATTTTTTTCAAGGTGAACACACAACCGCCATGGAAGTCTAAGGGTGCTCAAACAAATACGGCCTCAAATACCGCTGTTATTCAGCTTCCCTTTTGGCTCATTTGGCCACCAAATGTTGGGAGTTCCGGGGGTAGCTCCAATCAGATGTCCATGAAACCAGCTTTGGAACTTACAACGTATCGAGATAGAGTGATAGTGGTTTGTTGGTTGTATCCCCGCCGCATTGTCACCAGAAACGGGGATTGGACACAGCAACATGGTGATACAACCTTCAAAAGAAACATGCAGTTTCCATCGAAATGGCATCAACATTCACCAGACTTCACCAGGCAATGCCTTCGTACTGTTGTGGGATCTTTCCACCCTTTGGCCAGTGATCCACGATCGGAAATGAGGTTTGCAAACAAAAAAATGCTGATTCAAATAGATATGTCTTAAAAACCTTCATGTTTATTTCGGTAGTTTCTAATGGTGGAAATCAAAATCGCTGAATTTGAATAGCTGCTGAATAGCTTCAGTTATGACATGTTTTGGCTGTTTCAACAGGATTACTGATTCTCCAAGTTCACCAGTTTCCGAGGTGCCCCCATCGGTGCCTCCCAACGAGACCATGTGGTTCGCCTTAGAAATGAACTTTGCCAAAGCGCCCGGCACTGTGAAGTTCTCGCATCTGGGCGACGACTGGGTGAGTTGCAGGTGTCATAAACGGTAAACCCAATAGGCTATTGGGGGTTATGAACTAAGCCATAGCAGGGAAAACTATCAACCAAGTAGCATTTCATGAGATGGGATACCACATGATAAATGGACCCAGCAATGTTGAGACCCAGCTTGGAAGCGATGTTTTTTGGGGGGGTTCGCATGAAAACTTTCGCCATGACTTGAGTAGGTATGATCGCCCTGGAAGCGGCTGTGACAATATGAAGAAATGACCATTGGACCATGTATTGTATGATGGATATGTTGAGTTGGAAGTGGAAGTATCCATCATACATATCCACTTTTTTCATAATATATCCCATATTCATGAAGTATGGCCAATTTCTGCCTGGTAGCCATGGATCCTGGGCAGCGATCACCGCTGACCCGGGGCTTGACCCGGGGACATCGGGGTCATCCGCAACGGTGGAGGACATGGACAGAAATGACAGAAATGTAAGCAAGAAAAATTGACATTGAAGCTGCAAGATGTGGATTCTTTATGAACCATGTTGAGTTAGCATGATTTCACCATTTTTTTACCATGATTTCATGGAAAACATATGGAGTTCATATGATTTCACCACAGAAAAGAAGCTCTGAGGCAACGCCTGGAGGATGCCATTGCGGAGGCAGAGAGACACATGGAGGCAACGGCGGTGGGTTTTCGAAGCCCGTAAGTTAGGATATGGGGCCACTGATTTCTCCAGAAAAAGTTCACCGGAACTGCACTGGAACTTAGTACTAAAAGATATTTAAAGTATACCAAAATTGTGGTTAAGCTAAACAAATCAGGATTGAAGTAATCAAAAAATGTTGAAGGAAGCAAAATGCAATTTTCACCCATCACCGGGGGTGTGAGTAACCAAACATGGGGGTGTGACCAACGAAAATGGGAGGGCTAGCCTGCACCAACTCAGAACGGAGATCGCATTCGCTGGTATTCGGTTGACTGGTTGGTAAAAAAATATCTTCAGCACCACAGCATATTGTTGACCCCATTATCATGGCAGTATTGGATATCTTGGATATCTTCACATCAAATTTGGCTTAGAAGTCGACATCAAATCCCATTCGAATGCAGATTTGCTCATTCTCAGGTCTCATATAGGATGTTTGGCAGATGGGAGTAGCTGGTACTGCTTGTGAAAAGGGGAAGCGTTTCAACCAGTAGATCGCCACAAGAGCTTCCAGGTCTGTTTGTTTATTGGAATATCTGGATAAATCACCATGGTCTCCCTGCAAATCCACCACAATGATGTGTACATTCCATAATTAACCAGTTGTTGGTGTACCTTTTTCCATGCATACCTGTGTCCTACATAAACTTAAACCATCTACCAAAGTCACCAAAGTCACGATACCTACACAAGATTTTGCCATATCATATTCCTATCATATTCCCATTATATTGAAAATCCCATTGCCATTATATTATTGCCATTATATTGGAAATCATATCCCTATCATATTCCCAAAGTCCCATGATATTGCCATTCATTCCTTGGAAATCCACCGTTGATTCAGCGATCGATTCCGTAGGTGGGTCGCAGCGACCTCCAGCGTGGCGCCTTCGCGCAGGGCCGTCAGGCCTTCCGCCGCAGCCGCGCCGCGCTGCCGGAGAAGCTGCTGCTGAAACGCAGCGAGGCGACCACTGGGGGTACCCGGCCTGGTTATGTCAACATAGCTATGGAAAATGGCCATAGAAATAGTGGATTTTCCCATGAAAAATGGTGATTTTCTGAAAATGGCCATAGAAATAGTGAGTTTTCCCATGAAAAATGGTGGATCTTTCCATAGTTATGGGACAATTTACCAGAGGATAATTTATGATAGTAACTACTTAACTACTTCATGTTGTGCCGTATGGCTCGCCATTTTCTGCATGCTCGTTCCATCCACTGGCACTACTTGGATGATTATTGAAGGTTTTGGGGGGCCAAAATAAACCAAAGTTGGTTTGGGTGCTTCGGAGTGGTTCTGAAGATCTCAAGTACCTGCTTAGAATAAGAAACTCAAGTCTGATTTCGTTGCAGCGAAGGTCAGCATGCCAAAAACAGAACCTGTGGGCGGGGAGAGTAGGCTTCATCCTTACTACCTTTGCAGATTTTTGACACATCTTTTTGTGTGGAACATCTCTGATTTTGCCAGCAGTTTGATCATTTCATGGATCTATAGGGGATCCCAAAAAGATAGAAATATTTTTTTTCGGGAAATCATCAACAATGTTTTATTCATCTTTTCCAGTATTCTGAAATTTTTAAGCCCCCAAAAAACTGATTGACAATACTAAAGAATGACTCATATTGTGGGTCCAGAAAGGTACCCCCGAATCTTTTCTGACACATAATCCATCGAAACCTCTGTGGTTGAATGGGCACTCTAACTAATCCAACCCCAATATCAAGCTGTAAGTGTGATTTTTAGGGTATCCAAGATTGCCCCACAAAAGATCATTATACACATTGGATACTCTCTATATACAAACTCATTGAGGAGATTAGATCTGCCAATGGTACTGTGCAAGCTAGTGATGCGAGTCGTTTGGACATGTCTCTCAGTCGAGATGGCTTCTATTTCACTGCCCTTGGTCATAAATTGCCCGGTGGCCCATGCCCATCCAGCGGCAGCTTCCAGGAGGAGATTGCTCGCTTTGCCGCCTTGGAGCGGGCCTCATTGCTGAACCAGGCAGTCCATGTCGTCATGTTTCTCCCATCTGGGTCACTTTAGAGCGTTAAAAAAGACGCATTGATTAAGGAACGAAGTTATGAGGTTTATAAATGAAATATAGCTGGCACTATAGTGGGATAATGAGATGTATCATGGGAGTATCATGTGGATTTGCTGTAAGCAACAAAGTTAGGGCGGTTTAGAATTTGGGAACCGTCATGGAGATATAATGGGGGTTTAACCGACGTTGGCAAAAAATTGGCAATGTTGATCTGTTTGTGTGGGCGGCGGTTTTTAATGAATCTAATGAAGATAGAATCGGAATATACTGGAATATAATGGAATGCTTCACCAACAATGTGGGATATGGGTATGTCTGAAAATTGGGTACACCCCAAAAATTGCCCATTTGGATGGAGAAAATAATGATTAATCAGTCAAGGGTTCCCTATTTTCATGCAACCCCAAATGGATCTTTCAGACCAAGAATTGCGTTTTCTACCACAACTAGACTTCAAAAATCAAAATGGGATTGACATCATGAAGAAAAATGTGAGGGATGTTTGGCCATTTTTGGTATCACCCATCCATTCTTCAATGCGAAACCGTGACCCATCCTGGTATTTGTGTTAGATCCTGGAAATTCTTCAGAATTGACCTCCCTTTTTTAATGCCGGTCTCCAATTGTTTCAGGATTACAGAGTCTGGTGGTTTCGAATACCTTCCAATTTTTCCTATGGAATTTCATCAGATCTCCTATGGATCCCCTATGAATCCCTATGAATCCCTATGTCTTTCGGGTTACCAGGCCCTGTGTTGCCTGAAACTCGGCGATTCCGTGGATCCCAAAGAAGGCCTCTCGATCGGATCCGTTGAGGGGGAATCCCAATCTGCATGTGAGATACCCGGCCTGGTTATGTAATGGTTCTATAATGGTTATAATATCCCCATAATTAATGGTTATTTCATGATAATAATGAGAAACTATGGTTATAATCATGGTTATAAACCAATGGTTATAAACCAATGGTTATTTCATGATTATAATATCCCCATGATTATATATAATTATGGTATACCCTCTGGTAAACTGACCAAAATAACGAACTAGAAAGATCCACCATTTTGAATAGATAAATCAACGAACTAAATGGAAAATTTTCAATAGCAAACTGTAACAAATTACCAGAGGGTATGAGGGGCTTTGATTTGTTTGGCACTTCCCACTGAGGGGGAGGAATGATTTTGAAAATTTGTGTCAAACTGCTTCACATAATCATAATGTTCCCTATTGAAATCTCTCATTGTATCCCATGATGCTTGGGAATAAACCACCATGTGTCGTTGATGAAATCCACCATTTCATAGCCCAATTTTGGTGGTGAAATCCCCGCAGAAATTGACCATCACTTAATAACTACAGCTTACTATAGTTCCTAAAAATGGAGGTTTCCTAAAATGAAGGTACCCCTAGAAAAAACATCCATTTTTCTTTTCGGATTTTCCATGAAAGAAACCATCCAGCTGGGGTCAGCTGTTGGGCTACTGCCATTGGTTAAGGCCTCCAGCACTTCCGCAGCGCCGAAGCAGCAGCGGACGAGCTGCTGCAGCGCCACGGCAACGCGCTGCTGGAAGAGCCGCTGCTGTTTTCGGCTCCGCAGAGCATCCCGGAGCTGCAGGTGGGGAGAAGTCAACCTGAAAGTAGGGATAGTGATGGATCCCAGTTAATAATACAGTGATTCATGTGATTCATAATAACTATCCATGTTATATAGTGATTTTTATATATCCATTATCACCTGATATAAATTTTAATAGTGACTTAGTGATGGATATTTAGGGATGGGAATATCAATCGATATTTATAGGGAATATCATTGATATTCATTGATGGAATGGATCTTACTGGGATATCAATGGGAATTAATGAGAAGGCAACAAACCAAAATGTGGCGAGATGAATGATGGGACTTAACATAAGCAAAAATAGTAGAATTAAGGGGGATGTATAACCAATAATAATGGTAAGCAAGATAAAGATGGGGAACCAACCAATAATAGGTAAATCAACAATGATAGGTACTCTATGGCTATTGATTATTATATTCAACCAAAATAATAAGGATAATGGGTATAGCTCGTTTCCTTGCAAAAATGCCCGTTTGACAAGGGCGAGTGCCAAATCCTGACCATGGGCCTTTTGAGCTCCAAAATGGTGACTTTTAGCCTCGAGCAATATCAATGGGAATAACGGGATTGGAATAATAATGGGTATGCATTATTCTTGGGAATATTGACGATCAACTATTGTGGTTAACAATGGGTGTATCCAAGAATGACGGGAGTAGTTTCATGGGGTTTACTTTTAGAAAAAAATGCAAAAAACCTGTGGGATTTGGGTGTGTCTGAAAATAGGATATACCTCCCAACTGGCTATTTCAATGATTTGATGATTAAGCAGTGGATTTAGAGGGAGCCATTTCGTGCTGCATTTGTGAGGTATTTCCCATGTGCTTGGAGAAAATAACTTCGTTATACACGGAATAATCCCGCGCATCCGGGGCTTCACCAGAGGCTTTCCAGTGGGTTGAAATCCCATATGTTCCCACTGGGAATATATTCAGGCGTATAAACCAGTATACCAACTCAGTAACTATATGTTACTATACGTAACTATATGTAGCTATATATAACTATATGTAACTATATATGACTATATGAAACTATATCCAACTATTTGTTACTGATATATTGTTAACCTACTTTTACATGTTACCAGTGATATTTTCCCACGTCCAAATGCCCAACGATTTCGGTCGAATGTCAGACCATGCTACGCCGCGTCTCTGGTGCTAACGAGACCTGGCAGGCGAAGGCGGCAAATTGGAAACATCAGTGGATTGATGTGACAATTGATATATATATATATATATGTATGTAGTTTGGAAAACTATATCAATAATCCAAACATATAGTAGGAATATTTTGTTTGGATGTACATATATAACATGCTTATATTTCTAGACGTATGTATTCGAAACATCGACAAGAATAGCCACTGATGATTGGTATATTTCTTCATGTGTTAATTATCAGAGTGTAGCTCAAGCAAAATGGGCAGTTTTGTAAGTAACGTTCCTTCGCTGAATGCTGCTGGGCTACATGCCTTGTTGAGATACCCTGAAGAACGCTTTCAAAAGCCATGAGCACTGGTTGCATGACGGCATCTTCCCTGAATCAAAAAAGGCCTGAGGACTGAACTAGGAGAAGTGACTGATGAAATTTTGCAGGCTAGGCCTGAGAACAGGTGGGAGATGTTTGAGAAGCTGGAAAGAATGCAAAAGTTGCGAAGATGTTCATCCGAAGTTGAGGACTTCCATATCAAACCTTCAATCGAACCACACCTGACTCGCGAAGTTTGTCCCCAGTTGGAATGCAGCCATTTTTTTAATCATGGAACATTGATGATTATTGGTATATTTATAAGATGTCTACCGGAAATATCAATCGAAACATCATGAAATTTGGAACAGAGTATTGGATTAATATGGCTACGAATATAGAAATTAGATATGGATATGATTAGGTAATTATAAATATATGTATATGTTGTTTGGATATACATTGATGTTTGATGTTTTAATACTATACAAGATATTCCTACTAAACAGTATGGTTCCAATGGAACAATATGTGTATTACATAGTTATATATATATTAATATACAACATTATATATATACAGGTGTGTATACATGTCTACATACACATTTGATTATATATATATATATATACACACATAGTAGGAATATGTTGTTTGGATTTTTTGCCTTTCAAGGCAAATGGCCCCATTATCCTTTGTTCTTTTGGTTGAATGTAATAATCAATACCGATTGTATCCCCATCGTTATTGATACACCCATTATCAAAATCCCATTAATCTTCCCTTAATATTCATCATAATAAATAAATATCCATTACAATGCTGGTAAGCATCCCATGGCTTTGTGAAATAGATATCTCCCATAAACATCCCATGAATATTCCCATAATAGCATGGATATTGATAGACATCTTCCTCAATCTATAATAATGGTGGTAAAACAACCACCCATGACTGGGAATGGTAAACATACCACCTATATAAATGGTGATTGGGGGATGGTTTATTATTGTTTTACCCACATATAGTAGGAATATGTTGATGGAATATTTGTAGATAAATGGAGCATTGATATGGATGAATTATAATGACCTCACGTCGTGACGCCACTGGAATGAAGGTTAGGATGCGGGGAATCATCCCCAAATGGCCGCAAATTTCAGGTATGTTCACGTTAACGAATTATTACAATTCAGTATTTGATCAATGGAATATTCATGGAATATGTTTATATACACATGTATTTAGGATTATATAGAGATCTAATCGGATATACAAAGCCAACTTGATATGATGGTTGGTCTTGTTTGATTATCATAAGTTTCCTTGTCTAAATGGCCGTCTGGGGCGTATACCCGAGTTTCAGACAAACCTGTGTATGATTGATGAATTTTGGTGAATAGTTGATTGATGGGTTGATACTTTATCATTCTAATGTAAGATATCATGGGTTTCCCCTAAATATCCACTTGCTTTAGGGATATTCAAGGTTGGTGACAACAAATTGTTTTTTTCACCCCACCCAATTGTCGCCTAAGGTCTTTCAGTGATTCCTTTACAAAAGGAACTAGTTCTTTGAAAATGGCGATACTTCATGCACAGGAAGAAAAATAATAACCAATTTAGGGGAATGCAAGCAACTAAAAGCGGAAATTGAAACCTCTTGTATCTATCCTTTGGGAAAAGAAGCGACAAGGAGCCTCCATTGGTAGGTTCTTCTGACTCCAGCTCAACTTTTGAACCAAGTGCAACCTTGCATGAATCGGGTATGGATGAAAATTTCAGACCCAAACCCGTCCAGGTTTGGAGCAGTTCTAGTGCCAACTAGCCGTGTTGTGGGCAGGTTTGAACCCCCCAACGCCACATATCTTTTGTGGTTGTTATCCCTTTTGATCCATCCAGATTACAACTGCCTAAGTGGAGGTTCACCCATCCTCATTTCCTGTCATATCCCAAAGTTTTGTACTTGGTAAAAGCCGTTAGCCTTTGGACTTGCCATACACATTTGTATTTGTATGGATTGTACGAAAAAGACCGTGTTTTTTCAATGGCATGGACCAGACCGTGGCCGCTTAATTCCCGGAGGGTGCCACCTTGTAGGCCGCACTATGCCAACATTATCCCCATTCAAACCATATAGAAACCATTAGAAACATGGGTATGGATCAATACCTATTAATACCATTTTTAGTGGGATGAACATCCATTTACCAGCTATTTTGATGTTCACCAGGGGTACAAGGTTTTGACACACTGCCACATGAATATATGGTTTATTGATTTCATACATCCATCCCATCAATCCGCCATGTTTATCTCCATTGTGAGCCTATGTGTTTTTCAGTGTTGTGGACCCAATATAATGTCTCTACATTATGTCCATTTAATGGAAGAAATCCACTTTATGGTTTGTACATCTTGTGCTCCCATAAAACTATTATGTTTATCTCCATACTCCCACTGATATCCCACTGTCCATGATTGTGGGTCAGAACAATCCCCAATAAACCAACTAGTATAACCCCCTGTGACAACACATCAACGATCCAATCATATCCCCGTATTGACAGTTCACCGCAACAAAACATGTATCTCCAAATCCCAATATATTTCGTGGTTACCCTCTGGTTATTTAACATAGCCATGGAAAATCACCATTTTTAATAGGTAAACCATGGTAAACCATCTATAAATGGGCCATTTTCCATGGCTATGTTAAATAACCAGATGGTATCTCCAAATCCCAATATATTTCGTGGTTAAATCCCAAGTTTTCCTAGTTGACACCCCATTTTTACTGGTGAACCTCCCACGGTTTTTAACTCACCGCGGCCTACCATTGCCAGGCCTACTTTCGCCGCGGCTCCGCTCGGGAGCGGTTGCAATATATGGCCGCTGCACTGGAGGACTATGAGGTGCCATCTTTGCTGTGGTTTATGGAGAAAATCTGGATGGCTACCCTCCCGGAAGCTAATCTAGATGTTGGAAAATCACTATTTTCTGTAGGTAAATCCTCTATAAATGGGTAATTTTCTGCAATATGCAATGCACTTGTACTTGTCATCCATACAAATGCTTTTTTTCACCTATAGAGAAGTGTTTTCGAACAAAAACAAGAGTCCAGAAATTTTCCACGTGCCAATCAATTCGAGAATTTGTCCTTCCCAAATGTGTTCGGGTTGATCGACTGCTGTTCATCCCCCCATCTGAGAGTTTGATGCGCCTTGGGGGTTACCAGGCTGCACTGCAGATCGAGCCTGGGGATAAGATCATCACCAAACAGCTCCATGCGCTGCGCAATCGGCAACGGAAGGCAGCTCCGAGCAGCTCCGGGTGTCACGAGCTGCACAATGGCCAGAGATTCAATCCCTGGTTCAATGCATTGTTGTTTCATGGTTTCCGTGGCCACGACATTTTTCTGGGTTTTTGCTTGCCCTGCGGGGTTTCCATTTTGGGGTTTAATGTTGCATCATCATCATCATCATCATCCTTATCCTTATCCTTATCCTCTTCCTCGTCATCATTTTTACTTAAGAAAGTGAATAATCCGCTGTGCAAAAGGCTCCCCAAATTAGTTTCTCAACGAATCCTGGGTTGACTCATCCAGGCAGGTGGTTCCCCAAAGTCTCGACCCACTGGCTGCAGACCGAACTGAAACCAGAGAAGATGTTCGCGGGCATTCTCCAGCGAGAGCGCATGGAAAGGGAGAAGGAGGCCAGGATCATCCACGATCATTTAACCGATTTCCGCTTCCTAAAATTTGAAATTGTTTGAAAAAAGAAGCTTCAAGATTGGTTCCACAAAGATTGAATCCCAATGTTTAAACCCTTTTTTTCCTGGTTGTCCCCAGTGTTGATTGGTAATCGCCCAGTAATCCCTACTTATCCCTACTTTATCCTATCGTTATCTTCTGACACAAAGTAGCGCCCCAGTGAAATGTTTCTTGGCTTAGTTTCAGTGAATTACTTCCATGGATCTACAGCCATAGGATTCACCTACACCACCACCAACTTTGCTATCATAAATCAGCTTAATGAACTATAGATCCCTATGTTTGCTGGTTAAATCCCCCATCAAACGTGAACCATCCATGAATTCCCTCAGGAAGCTGCCGCCGACCTCGCTGCACGCAAGCAGCGGCGTGGATCGCTTGGATCATGGGATTTCATACGTCACCGCTGGAAATTATGTGGATACCATGGTTGATTTATCAAAGATTTAGATTTAACCAGCAAATATGGGGGAATGGGTGGGAACGGAAACCGTGTATCTGACCATATTTGCTGTTGAAAAGCTAAACTTTGATCGTTCATCATCTTCCCTATCAAGATTGCCTTTTCAAGGGTAGAGGGTATACCTTTCAGAGACAACCATGGACCATATGGGTCAACCAGCTGCATGATAATTGGATTATAATGAGGTATCCAACCAACAGTGATTTGATGGGGAAAATCCTGGATGGCTCAACTAACCATCAAAAATGGATTTCAAACCAGCCGAACCATCAAAATACAAGTACAACTCGGTGCTTTGAACAAGGTAGTTTAATCCTTGAATTTTTAGCTGCAGATTGGGGAATGAAATATGGCAGCTCAGAATGACTCGTTTGCAGGGTATCCAACATTCATTCGAGGGTATGATTTGGTTGTGATCCGTTCCTGCCCTAAAAAGGTACATGTTTCTCCCACATGACCTTCACATGTTTTGGTCGGATTGAAGCCACTATTCACTGTTCAAAAAGATGAATCCATCGAGTGCCGGGCATCCAAGAAATTGCGAGCCAGGAATGTAGACGTGTTATGAGGTGTTAAACATGGTCCAAAAGTTTTCTATGATCATTTCCCCACATTTTGAAAAGGATCCGCCAATGGAAACACAGCAAAGTCAAGAGATACGCCCAGACCACAGCTGATGCTCATGGTCTGATCATCTTGTGCCAAGGAGATACCCCAAAATGGCCACTTTAATGGAGAACATTTTGTGGCAAAGCATGGCAAAGCTGTGGGAACTCCACAAGCCCAAGCTACTCACTTTAACAGAAACTGTCCAAAGTTTCCCATGAACCAATTCCGCGAACTGAGGTGAAGAGCGACTGAAAGCAGAAGCGCAGGCGTCACTGCCAAGAACACATCCAATGTAAACAGGATGTCGTAAGCATTCGTAAGCCATGAAAAATATCGGAGGATTCGAGCGTAAACGACGTCACTATCTTCTCATGAGGGCATCATTTTAGCCGTGCCGCATAGGCGACATCCAGCTGAAGCTCCAGGCGGTTGGGTAAACCCACTCGCCAATGGTTTGAATATGGGGATGGGTCAAAAGCTATGAAATTACCATATTTGGGGGAATAACCATCCATTCACCAGCTAGTCTAGTGTAGGGTATCAGGGTTTTGACCCATAAGCATGTTGTCATTGTTGGAAAAAATGATAGCTCCATCAAGTATCATCAACTACCATCAACATCAACTATCAACTACATGTATCATCAGTTGGATTTTCAGATTCTTTTAGAGTTTGTTTGTACCGAAAGGTAGCCGGACAGAGTTGTGCTTGGGCCGCGGCTCCAGTGGTGGTTTCCCACGCCCATCAGAGGCATTTCTACCCCCTAGAAACCGGGAACTGTCTACCCATAAAATGGTGTCATAAACATTCATAAACCTATTTATGAAACATGGTCGTGCGCCATCATCTTTTTCATCTGGACATGGATGCGTGAATAAGAATCCTTGAACCATAAGTAGTCAGCATGGGGCTTCAAGCCATTTGTGAACGAACCAATTTGATCCATGGTTTCCCCACTTCAAGCGTCAAATGGTGAAATCTTGAACTCAGCCCTAAAGCTGGGGTGATGGGTGCTTGATCCTCTCCCAGGATATTCTGATCTCCACCGCACGCTGTGGCCAGGTAATTCACCAGCGGACCACGCTGTGCGCGCAGCTATGTGGTGAAAAGCGGCAGTTCATGCAGGGAACGATGATCGTTGGGGATATGATGGGGATTGGGTCCTATACCTGATGAGGATATAGTTAGGATATACTGAGGATATGTGCAATCGTCAACAATGTAGGATGCCTCGGATTGCGAAGGCTCAGTTTTCCGCCCATTTTGCCCATGGAAGATATCCAGCACGGAATCAATAGGGAATTGGTGGAAGATAATTGGTGGTTTACCCCAATAGGGTCAAGAACTGATGATTTTCGAGCCACAAACTCATGGCCATTTCCAGTTTTGGGGGAGAATGAGCCAGTCCCAGGAAATATATATATATAATTATATATATATATGTATGTATGTATGTATGTATATTTATATATATATGTATATATATATGTATATATATATGTGTATATATATATGTATATATATATATATATGTATATACATATGTATATATATATATGTGTATATGTATATATATATATGTATATGTATATATATATATGTATATATGTATATATATATATGTATATATGTATATGTATATATATATATGTATATTCGCCTTCCAGTGGGATGAGACAAGGGTCTTCAAAGCTCAAGTGATGCTTTCGCGGTGAACCCACCAGATCAGCTGGTAGAAAATTCCTGCAGAAGTTCTGGCTTGGGGCCCTACTATCACTAAGTATCGACAAATTATCGTGTTTGATATCCACTTTTTTTCAGCTCCATACCTCTTGTAGACCTGTCATCATTTCAATTGTCATCACAATCAATATGTGGTTGATCCGGTCATTGGCGGGATCCTTGCTTTGATTGCTCACAACTCAAAACTGTAGCTGCTCCAATCTTTGCATTCATTTTGCTGCTTTCGAAGCCTAGTCTTGTTGCTGATCTTGAAACAAATCTTTTATAAACCAAAAAACTTCAGGAATTACAAAATTCTGGATATCCCTGCAGATATCCTGAAAAAAATATCAAAGCCAACCCGCAGGATGCGGCGGGCTACTTCTGGCGCCTGGCCCTGGAGATGGTGGCGGCGCCGCCACCGCCGGACATCGGGCCCGAGGAGGTGTCGACAGGGATGCGAAACCAAGGGTGTGTCTATGGGGTGTGTATTCATGATTTATCCATGATTTATGGTGATATGTATATATATATATGTGTATGTGTATGTGTATATATATATATATGTATATATGTATATATGCCAAGGGTGTACATATAAATCATGAATAGATTATGGATAAACCTAATGGATGAACCTAATGGTATCCATGGTGTTGCAAGAATTTCAATGCTGGAAAGATCATGAACCAAAGAAAGACCATGAATCTTTTGCCCAATGTTGAGACAACGCGTGGCTGACCTCGCCAAGTCTCCGCAGATGCGGCCGCTGCGTTGGAAAACCAACAGAACTCATGGATATTTTTTGTGTCCTTTTGCCCCAAAGTCTTCGAACGCACAGCACAGAATTCCTTCATTCTGCATTGACTTCCGTTTTCGACAATTATGTCCGATGTGCGGTAATTGTTTGTTTCAAAATATGTATTATATATATATATATATGTAACATCAAAGTAAAAATGGATAGGAAGGTTTCATTTCAAGGTTCATCCAAGTTCAATGTTGTTTTTCGCCAGGCCTTGCGGAGAAATGAGGCCCTGGTGGCCAACTTTTGGGAACTTCGCCGCAGGGCAGACATTTACTACGCCTGGAGCCCTAGCAAAAATGGAAGAGATCACCTGCAGATATTTTTTTTGAGGAAACCGAACTAAGTGGAGGTTTATAGTTGGGAAAATCAACGACAAATGGTGGATTTCCCAGCAAGCCATGTTTGATGACCGGAGGGTAGGGATAAGATTGAAAAGGGGACCAAAAATCGTTGAAAGATGGGAGGTTGTCAAAACAAGGATAGATTTCACCAACATCCGTGGCCCACATTTGACACGTGAAGAATTCTATTTACACCAGCAACATTCCCAGTCGTACCTGCCATGGGCTGGAGCTGTAGGAACGACATATGCTCCATCCAGGTCTTGGATCACAGTTTTCCAACCTGAGGCCTACTCCTACATCCATTCTTACATTCAGGCGCTCCTGTTGGGTAATCTGCAACCCACATGGTCGATGGTATATGGAGTATATGGGATATGGTCATCCTACAAGATTGATGACCTTTGGTAACCCCAGTTGGATCTCGTGGTAGCTTATTGCATCCTTCAGTGGGGCCATTCAGGTCTTTGTTGACACAGACCATACACGAGTTGATTTTGGAAATCCGAACCAGGGAGTACCCATTCTATCTTGACATTTCAAACGGGAACCAGGGTCCTCCATTTCTACAAGCCAGAAGGTTTTCCCTATTGACACCTGGGGTACGCTGAAACCATATCCCAGCCACACGTGGCTGAGTCGCAGGAGCCATTTACAACGCTCCTACCAGAGCATGTCTTCAATTGTGCTCTGTTTCTGTGGCTCGGCCAAAGTCGCAAGTCAACCCGAATCCATTTCGCAAGTCCATGAGGTCCACCTGATGAGTGTTTGTCCATTAGGGTGCAGCTACCAGACAATGCTGTTAAGTGCGGCTCAACCCGTACCAGATTTTGATGGCCTGCTACTGCAGGGGGCAAACCTTTTTGCAGATGTTCCATTGTTCTACGGTCCTTTCCCCAATAATGGACACCCAAAATTCCAGCTTAGTGGAAACATGTAGTGGTAGATGTGGATGAATAGAAGGATACTATGCAGATTGTATAGGGACAATACAGGTTGAAGAATGTTTTTGTGATAATAAGGAAACAATTTAGAGGTAATGTGGAGATAGTAGAGATTCAAATAGGTTTTTTTTCGAAAATTCATGGGTAGCAATGAACCGGAATTGAATACATGGGGATTTAAGTCACCGAAATGGAATATCACATACCACTGGGTTTTCACCAAAAGGGAAAACTGACATACCAATCCAGCTGCTGCATACAGTAGTCATTTCGCAGAATCTTTCTTGGCGTCCTAATTATTTTGTCCCTATATTACTATTATTATCATTATGATGCTGTACAAGAATGAGTATTCTGAGTAAATAGTACTATCATCATGTATTACTAATGAGGTACTGAACTTTCATGAAAATCACCATTAATGAAATGACTAGTCATTACTATTAATCATCATTAATTATCAGTAATTACCATTAATGATAATATATTATGATACCAATAATGATAACGATATTGCATGAGTAGTGATAGTCACTACGAATAATTCTCCTTATCATTGGTGTGGTTATAATCATACAGGATTATCACAATCACTACCGTGGTTAAACCATATCACTGCAAACCCCACGTTTGCCCACATCGCTAGCGTTTTTTTACTTTCCAATTCCCAAACACCCTAAAAGCCTAAAAACCTAAGCCCGAAATCCTAAAAACCTAAAGTCAAAATCGCTGCGTATAGCCAGTGTTTCCATTCCTCTGACAAGTATGTGAAACGAGTTGGGGGGCGCCCATAGATCCAGACCAAGGTGGAACGTCTTGGCCTCCAGCGGCTTCTCAGCACAGCCCGTGGCCAATCTCCTGGCGCAGGCGATATGGGAGGTTCACATGGTTTAACCATGAAGAATATGGGTTTCATATGGGCTTCATATGGGTTTCTGGGCTACAACAAACCTGAAGGTTGGGATATGTAGCCAATATAACATCAGATACATTCTTGGGACCCCAAACTGAATACCAAACTGAATAGATCCAATACGAAACCAAGGCTTTAAGGATTTTTTAAAACAGTAGGTGATATATTTTGGTCCGACGCTTCGAAAAGTTTCCCTTGGAGGCAAATTTTCGTTGGGTAGGTGAATGGGTTAACGTTCATGAAGAACAGGTGGGTTATCCCTGCTGGTCGATGATGTTTCCGTATATACGAAGAGATCATGGGAATACAAACTATGTGTTGCAACTAACAGCATGTAAAATGGAACCAAATGTGATGAACCCACTATGGCTAAAAGACTACCTTTCCAGGTTTTTCTAGGTTTTTCTTAATGAACTTTGACGAAAATGATAGATTTATTGTCGGCTTTACCACATTCCAAGGGCCGAGAGGCGAAAATCACAAACCCTCTCCAGGTGCAGGGCGGGCCAGAGGCGGAAGCAGCCTATCTGGAGAAGTCGGAGTCCTGGGGTGATGGGTCCCCAAAACAGCGGGAAAAAACGACCCCTGAAAATACTGAAAATGGTAATGTGGGAAATGATGAACCATAGGATGTTGGGGATGGTTTCAGAGTGGTTTTCTGAATTTCATCTGCAAGTTTAGAAAGCTGGCTACTGCCAAACCAAAGACAATCCAAGTCAATTTTACATTTATGAGTCACCCATATTTGAGTTTTCTCCGTTTGGGTGATTGACTCCACAATCATCTTGGAGTAGAAAGAAGATGTGCAAGTTCTGCATGTTTCCATGATTTTCTGGCCATGGTATCCCCTATCGATCAGAAGATGTTCATTTGGGTCGCCGAGGTCCCGTGCCGAGTCCAGTGCACAGGCCAAAGGACATCTCCTAAAAGAGGCCCCACCGGCATCCAGCTGCCACAAGGGTCCACAAAATCGCCATGGTGCTAGGTGAAACACAAGTTTTGGATAGTTTGGGGGGAAAATGTACAAACTCTGCTTGATGAGAACTATGACAACATGGCAAATAGACCTAGTGAATTTGGACACATCACCCCGATGCTGGATAGACGGCAGAGACTGCGGTCAAAAGCTGCAGAGCAAATAAGAAAATCAATGATGACAGAGGACATAAAAGCATGTCTCAAGTTCCGCATCTAAGGATTTTGGACTTTCATAGGTTTTTGCCTTGATCATGTGATTCAAAGCTACACCTTTTTACCACAGGATTTTTGCCAGTCGATATATGTATTTCATGTATGGGTTTGTCAGCACATATGGTATCCCAAAATTTGCTTGTGCATCATACTTTCCCGAATAAAATTGCCAGTGTGATGGTATGCCCTATTTTCAGACACACCCAAATTGCATAGTGTTATATTAATCCCAGTATATTCCGTATATTCCATGACATCCCCCTTATATCCCCATTGTGATATCGTGAGATCCAGAAGAAAAGCGCCAGGTGCCCCTGGGCATTTCCAGAGTTTACATCTTGTACGCCCTGGCCAAGCAATCCCAGAGCTTGGGAGTTCGGCACCCCTGGTGGAGTGGATTGGGTGGTTGATTGGGGTTGGAAAAATCATGACCGGGATAACTATTGACCAAGCTGACGATGTATATAGTATAACTATGTTGCGTGATGAAGATTGATGAAGGCGATCTGAGGGGTGAATGGATGAGGTGAAAACTATGTGCTAATTTTGTTTGTTGCTCAGGTGTCCATTTTTACTCGAGTCTCTGGGGGTAGCAAGAATTTTCGAAGCAGCAGACAATGTCTGAGCCCCGTGGGCAAAACCTGTTCAACACCGACCGAGAATCCCCCCTGCTGTCCGGGTGCATAGAAAGCATCAATCTGCATCTCTCAAACCCTGGTCAGCAAGAAGTGGACACTCCCAACAACAGAGGAGATGCATCATACTGTGATTTTTCTGAAAATAGATGCAGGATCATATAATTTATAAATCATGTATGATCAATAAAAAACTGTGATGGCAACACCTTCAACACCTCAGGGTCGAAACCACCATGGCTTCTCGTTGGAGGCCTTCAAATTGGCGAGAATGGCCTATGACAAATTGCAGGTGCCGTGCCGGGGTGACAGAGCAGTTCTAGGGATCTAAAGTGGTCTATATTACCCCATCTAACTGTACTAATATTAGTGACATCTAACTATTAAACTATACCACTTCGATCCAACTTCAGTTCTATCTATCAAAAAAACTAGTGAAAGAGACTATTATAGACCAATTTAGTTGACTATGAAGCACCACCTTGTCATTCAAATGGAAAGCTGGTCTCGTACAGACTGGAATGTAGGCCGTGTCCAATTCAATGCTTGCTGTTGGTTTGAGTGTTTTTTTTCAACAATTCTGTATTCAATGTCATATGCAGCAAGGTATCACTGAGTCTTGTACCCCGTGACCATATCACAGTGAGCACTGGAGGTGATCCAGAAATCCTGCCAGTTGGAATTTCTGCAGGTCATCAATTTTGCCGGGTCATTTTCACCACCACCGCTCTGTTTATCCAAGACTCATCCTCGAAGGAGAGGCATATTCTTTCAGAACATATAGCTGGATTTAATTTCACCACTGTCAGAACACATTTTTTCAGATCTGCATGTAATTAGGCATGCGTTTTTAATCATGCTTTGTTATTTCTTATCCCCATGCCCACAATATCTGCAGAGCTGTCTACTTTCAGGTGCTGAGAGTACCACCGACCTGGCAGCATCAGATCGATTTGGCGTGCTTGTCGATCCGATCCAAAGCCTATAGCGACCAGGCCGGGCGCGCGCTGTCCTTGGTAATCCCATGGAAAACCGGAAATTGTTGGAGCTGGTTTTGGAGATTGTTTAGAGTACTTTCGTTCCTCAACTGGTTTCATATCGTGATTTCTGGGTCTTCGCATTTTGCAGGTAACTTCCCCAGCACTTCCAACTCCAAGTAATAGAAAGAAGCCTGTGGGTTTCAGCGTACTGCAAAAGAGTCCCATTCAAAGAAGCAGTCGAAACGCCCATTATGATCAAACATGGTCAGATTTGCACAGGATGCAAGCTTATTCAAGAAGTGTATTGTAAATCTATGTCCATGTCCATCCATATCCACCTTTCCTTGTCATCTCCATTAACTGTTGGTCACTGTATTTTCACCTGATGACTGGCCAGGATGACTTACTTCCGGTCTGCAATTGGTGCATGACCACCAACCCCCTTCTGCGCTCCAACTTGGATTCCTGCATCAATTGCGGGTGCGGGAGCCCTGCATGACTTCCAGATCTTCCAGGATCAAAATGCTGTGGATTTGTTGGATTTTTTCACTGAGATTTGGGCAAGTAAAAGCCCTTTGGATTAGAGTTGCTTGATTGTCATCGCACTAGCACTAGCTAGTGCGGCTATGCGAATAGAACTGAATCTGTTACAGGCTCTCTAGACATACATTCATAGGGCTTGTTTAGTCCTCGATTGCACAAGCTATTTGTGTTGAGGCATGTCTTGGGGGCGAGATATCATGGGATGTTCACATAGTTCTATCTGAAAGTGCAAGGGAAAGACCTTTATCATGGCATGAAGCGAGCTTCAATTGCTTGGTCCTGACGTGATTTTCTATGCCACGTTTCGGAAAGATGTTGATAACCAGCTGGGACCTCCTTGAGTCCATTGTTACATTGCCTGTGCTTTCGCGACCACTGCCAAGATAGTGAAGTATGAATCTCGTGCTTAAATAGAAGGTGTGCATAACCAAAGGATTCATTGAAAACAGACGCAATCTTTCAAGCTTCTGTCTACTTGGAATCAATCGTAAGAACCTTCCAGCTGTTGCTACACCGCTCGATCTTGCTGAGGCATCCTTTCCTTCGGACCTTCCTGGGTTTTGACATCTTGCCGCTGGTGGAATTTCAACCAGACACTTTGATTTTGAGATTTGAAGCGTTGGGGTTTGGCGGCTGGGTTGATGGCCATGGATCAACTTTGGAGAATAATGAATAAGGCGGATAAGGTCATTATGTGCTCGGTCTTTCTGGATGGTACTTCGATGTATGTACTTGGGATAAATTAATATTACAATTTTCAATTATTACACCTCTCAGTTTCCAGATGACCCCATATAAGACATGCTTGCAACTGATGTCCACCAGAGTTGTCATCCACTATTTGTGGAATCTTCCCAGCAATCCCTTTCACGTAGTGCCAATGCCAAGGAATCCGATATCTCGTTAGAGGAGGTCAGGGAGAACAGTGGCTGCTCTGGTTTCATTGAAATCATCGGCATGCAGTCGATATGTCCCCAGCGTTCTCAACATGAGGTTCAAAGACTCCCATGCCTTCAAGCCATCCGCGATACAAGTTCCATGTGTTTTGTTCATTGGGATCAGTTGACCTTGTGCATGCCCAAGCATCAGACTGTTCCTCGGCTTGTGGCAATACAGATACCGAATACGCCATGCCCATCATCTCCCATCTCCCATCCTCTGATAGGCCAAGTGATGGAATTTCTGGCAATGGATCTGAACTCATGTCTCAGCATTGCGCCAGGCACAGAAGCTCATTGCCCAAGAGCCCAACCGAACGCAGAGCAGTGGCTGGGGGGCACAGCAACGAACAGCTGCCGATGAGCACATGTGGGCAATGCCCAATGCCCATGTCATCCTTGGTGCTTGATATTTGTAGATATCTATTATAGACATTGATATATATTTTATATCAAAATGCATGGGTTATACTATTTAGGTCCATGTGGATTAAATGGATGGCTGGGGATGAAACCTCTTCATGTCGTAAATGAAGGGTATGTAGCCGTATCTTGGTAGTTTATCAATCTTTGTGATTTCATCTGTCGATCGCGAAGATGTCCAGACCAATTTAGGGATGTCACCAACCAAAACGATGGTTTCGCCACCCAAGGGTGTTGATATCCAGTAACGGTGTGAGATATATGCATGTGGATTTTTCAATAGACCTTACACACTCGTGTGGTTTAAGCAATAAAAGACTTGAGTGGATAGGGTGAGCCAGTGAGTCCCCTGCTAAACTGCACGGATGGAACCATCGTTTAGCAGAAGCGATTCAGTTGCCATAGTAAAACGCCCACTGGGCCCATTTCTCAACAAGGCAGCTATTAAAGCCTTCTCGTGCAAGGTTCTTCTCAAATTCCTGAGAAGCAACCCCAGAAAGCATGGTGGAATGCAATGAAATGCAGTGAATCCGTCCATTCCAAATCAAATATGTGTCACTTGTTACTTGGATTACCAAGACTTGACTCCCATGTTTGACCGCCATTTTCATTTCATCAACCCCTTCAAGGGTCTTGATCCCAACTGTCCATGGGCCAGGGGATGGTTGGCACGAAACCACCCGTGCTGGTGCGGAAGTGATGTCCCTCAATGAGGCGTTGGTGGCATCCGCTGGGGAGGAAGCTGAGGGGTTGTCCTCCAAGCCAGCATAAAACTGGAAGATCTACCAGAAATGTGGATAGTTTTCCGGGGGAAACCAATGATTTTCCATAGTTATTTGAGTTGATCGGGATACTTCTTGCACTTCAACGCCTATTTTCACCGGTTTGCTGTCAAAACAGATTATTCGATTTGTGACAGCCTCTTGGTGGCTTTCATTCTTGCGGAATGATCCCTGCAAGTCTCGAGTCCCATGGCACTGTGGGATTGTACTTTGACTCTGATAAGTGAACTATCCATCTGGATTAGGAATATTAATGTCCCAAATATCCGTGAAATCCATCAAATATTCACAATATTCACATCAAATACTCACAAATATTCACATCAAATATTCTATCGTGGGGTTATGCAAGTCTTTTTGCCTCTTCCAACTTTCGTATGTGGCATTGGTCAAACATCTTGAAACGCCTCAGCGCCAGGGACCTAGTGGTGACAATGGTGGTACGGACCTCTTTGTTCAGAAGATGCGCGGAGACTAAAAGTTTTCTCATCAGGGGAGGAGTCATCCAGTGCTGTTCCTTCAGATCCAGCAGATTGAGGAGCGCCCTGTTAAAATTCTGATTTTTACACAGAGAATCCTCAAGAGCAATGTTAAACACTGTGCTGATTCACTGGGAAACCAGATGGTTTTACTTCAGCCTGAACCATCGGGAACACGGGTTGAATCCTGGTCGGCAGTTCCACTGAGGTTGGATGCCGCCAGCTACTTCGTTCCTGGGGAACCGTGCGCAGTTTTCAGATGGTTCTGATATGTTCTGATGTTTGGACCATGGTCAAAACATGGTCGGGGTATGGTCATCCCATCATGAATGGGATTCCCCAATTAATGGGTATACGGTACCCGGTATACCGGTATACCAAGCATTACAAAGCCCTATTAATAGCTTCATGACCATCCCCTCCTGAAGGTATATAATCCAACTTTTCACCATGGCTCAATGTATTTGCAAAGAATGAGCAAGTTATTGCTTCAACAAGAGGTGAGGCCTTGTTTTTACCGTAATTTCATGGATTATTTCACGGTTTCACCATGGCCACAGGTACCAGCCTGTGAAGATCGACCGAGAAACCTTGGCGGATTTGAGGCAAGGGCCAGGTGTGCTTGGTACATGATGAAACCGAGTGGTTATGGAGCTGTGAGATACCCAAATATTTGCAGACCGGAATGAAGATATGCACTGCACCAACATCAATTGGGATATGACTTTGGTGGATTCAAATGCCTATGATTTTCCGTCACCAGGGATACCAATGACCAACCAGACATGGTTTTCAATGATATCCCTCATGTGGATGATTTTGCATTCTCTGATATGTTGTGGCGGAGTGTCCTGCCAATGCAAGACCATAGCAAATAAACATGGCAAAGGTTTTGAAGAACAAGGATCTTCCAAGGAAAACATGTTGGAAAAGATTGAAGAATCCCGGAAAACCTCCCTGAAAATTGCTGGAAGGCCACAGGAAGTCTATACCGCAGCTTGGAGATTTATATGGGGGGAGTGGTGTCCAGCTGGTTCCAGGGGGCTTTTCAAACAGCGTGGTGATGCTGTATGGATGGTCAGGGATTGTGAATCATTAAGTCCTCGTTGGAGGATCCACCATGTTGAAAGATGATCATGGACTACCCCATACCATCCCACCCTTTATATGTGTCCATCCACGAAAGCACTGCTTTCACATCAGGAGCCGTCCCAGTGTAGTACTCTTTTGTACTTGTAAATTTTGCAGTTTTCCAACCCTTCATAAACCATTTCCCAACCCTTTCCATGCTGCAACATGCTTCGAAACCTCCCTGGCCCCTGGCCCCTGGCGATCCCCCCAAACCCTTTGCCCAATGAGGCAGACTTCCGACGCTTCTCGCCACTGCTGCCGGTGAGATTCTTCCGGTCCATGATCCCCGAGGTGCCAATTGGATCACAGCTGGGCTGGTCATTAGCCAACTGGGGTTATAGCTTGGCAAAGGTGTGGGGATGATCCCCCCATGAAGACGTAACTTGGGGGTGATATGAAGAAGCTGGATAAGTGGGGTGGGACAAACGCGCAGGATAGTCGCAGACGCAAATTTGATCAAAACCACAGGGTACAAATTTAGGACCCCCAAACCCACTATCCAAGTTTATTTATCTAATTACGTTCTCATGTTTTGAAGATGTTTGACATGCCAATGACTCGCCATCCAGGTGGCGATCGCAGTGTGTGGTGCCTGCGGAAACTTCTTCCACCAGGACACAGTTGTGATCGATTTTGGGGATCGGGTGGCATTCTGCACATTCCTCATCCATTGTCACAATATGTCACAGTCATGATCATTGCCGTGCCGTGCGAGGAGACCTGGGAATTGGAATTCCTGCAGAACAGATGTTGCCCTTACTGTGGCTCCAAGGACCCAGCTGAGAGTGCGGTCTCCGCGGTGTCTAAGACTAAGACTCCTATAATCGTTGGATTTCTAGAGACTGCCGAAATTGAGGGAGGGAAAAAACGACGAAACCTGATCACCTGCACAAAGGCACGGATTTCAAGGGGACCGTTTGCCAGAGAGATGTAATCAAATGATGTTGTGGCAAGACTCGAACCCTGAAAAACATCTTCCACTGGAATGGCTGCATAAGGACCCTTTACCTGATTCCTGTACTGGTTTCTCTACATCCGATAAAATCCAATGGCCCTTTCGCTTGGGAGAATACAAGAGCTTTGAATGTTTTTCGAACACTTTCGTAGTGGTAGTTTCCCCGTTTCCCCTGCAACTCGCATCGGCAGCAGACTCTGAAACTCAAATAACTGTTCGTACAATTTCTTTGCCATGCCCAGGACATCGATGGAAAATCCGAGAAAAAGTCCAAATCTTCGTTGCCATTTGGATGGCAGGGGCATGGCTCTGTTGGAAATCCGGGTTTGTCCCACAATCACGGGAATTAACCAATTACTCTGCTCAGATGTATGCCTTATGAACTTCATAAGGTTGACCCCCAATTCGATTTGACAAGTTGTTTCACGTTTTTGTTGGCTAATCTGAGGACATGCTATTCACAAAAGACATGCAGGTCCCACCTCACCATATGAACCCTTTGCTCTGCCATCTCTTCCCTTTAGATGTGGTTTCAAGATAACCCAATCTTCCGCCCCTTTAACTGTCCTCCAAGGTGATGTGAGTCGAAATTCATGATGCATGCATGAGCAGATGTCAGACACGCGATCTTCCCCCAACCAGCCACATTCACATGAATATCCGCCATTTGTGAAGCATTCACATGAACATGAACCCACCTGTAGAGTCTTTTCACAAGGAAAACCATTACGATGCACACACGTGAAAGAATTCTAGGCTTGCCATCTGTCTTGTCTGGTATATCTATTTGATCATTTGATGATAATTGATGATAATTGCTTTTGTTGAATAGGGGTGCAGGCGACCACAACCTCATGCTTCCATCTCATTTGAAATGTCTTTGAAATCTGCTAATTGGGAAGCAGCAAGGACGTATTGCATGCCAACTTTGAAAGTTCTTTTTTTTGCCTGCTGGATGTGGGAAAAGTGGCAGTGTCTCTTAAAAGGATTCATGATGCATGCGGCCGAATGTCTTGCACTTCATGTGGCGATTGAAAAAACATCAGGACTAAACGTTAAATGGATTTAAATGGTAGTTTGGCAGAGAGTTTGGCGTTCAAGGTACGCTATGTGTGCGGAGTTTTGATCTTCGCATTGCGATTGAATCTATCAGGAAGTTGGACATGTCTTTTGGGTGGGGTAATATAACCAACAGAGCTGTGCATTTGGGAGGAATATTGAAGATCCCCCTCCAACATCAGGTGTGCAAAAATAGTTGCCAGACTGTCCAAACAATTCAGCATGATTCATGTGGTGAAACCTCCTCGCAAATACTCGGTGTGCAGAAGAAACAACAACCTACATCAGATGGAAAGAGTGCAAGACACGGCAGACAGAGGCCCAACAAAAAGATGCAGTGGCTGTGGCTGCTTCAAGTTTCAGTACTGCAAGAGATGCGCGGAACTGCGGCATCAAACTGGTTGTTCTCACAAATTGTGTGATTCAAAAAGGCGACTTGCTTCCATTGCCCTTGAATTTGTCACTATATGTGGTTTGCAGCAATATTTCAACAGGTGCCTTAGCCAACAAAAGCCTGAGGGCTGCTGCACCAAGTCAGGGTCGTCTGTAGCCCAAGCGGCTCAGCGTAAAATTCGCAGGGCGCCGGTCGTAGGTTTGGGCAGCGTCGAAGGAAAGATGTGGCCTGGGGCAAGCTTCCCTCGATATGCACAAGAGTCACCCTCCCTTCATGGATCTAGCAGATTTCTTGTATCTAACAGATTCAAAATCATGAGCAGCTTTGATAATCCAAACTCTGAATCTCCTCACCCAAATCTGCCATTGCTCGCTAATAGAACAACATTGAGCTAGAGAACCAAGATTTACCCTCAAAGTGGTCCTGGAGATTTGGGATTGAATGATTTTAGGCGTAAAGATTTGCGTGGATGCTGCAAGTCTGGGTCTGGCCAACAACCCATTGGCGAATTCACTTGATCAAAGGGGTTTCCAAGCAGCACAGACCTTGAAGTGATCGATGTTTGGCACTTTTTTGCGGCCACGCCTCTCTAAACGGCGCCGGACTCGTTTCCGTCTCACAGCGTGTCACCGAGTCATCACAGGACCAATGCAGCGAGTCGATCAACAGATGCTCAGAAGTTGTGTGATTTTGGAAGAGATGCACCCGATCCAAAACCATCCATGGACAGAAACGGAAATGAAATTTGAAAGAACAGCGTGCACCGCACCAGGTACGGGGAAGGCCTGCACAGTCTTCAAGTTGCTGGTCGTTTGATGACCACTGGTGGTGCAGATGGCTGGACCCTCAGTTTTCCGAGCTCATCTTATTCAAAGAAAGTTAGAAACTGCATACCGACATGTTTCCGGGTTTAAGCCAAGGCAACATAAATATTTTAGACCGAATTCTTTGAAAAAAAAAACACACCATTTAAAAAATACGATACAAGATTTATCTATAAAATCATTGATACTTATACAAAATTATTGATAGAATATCCTCACATATACATATATATATATATTTGATTATCAAAGGAAGTTTCATTCAGGAAACTCCGAGTTACGGGCTTTCACATTCTCACTGCCCAAAGATCATTGCGTGCAGTTGGCATGTGCGCTGAGAGCTCATGCAGTAACTTTCTCATTAGCCCAAAGATCATTGCGTCTAATTGGCATGTTCCTAAAATAGAGAAGTAGCTCAAGAGATTGTTGAGTCCAGTTGGTATGTTCCTGAAGTAGAGGAGGAGTTTAAGAGATCCTCCGGTAAGTCTAGAGGTAGAGGTAGAGTAGAGGTAGAGAAGAGTATGTAGAGTAGAGCAACGTGAAGTCTAGAAGAATGGTGGGGGTTACGAGGGAGGGAAGCACGGAGGTAGCGGATGATGAGACGATTGTGTATCCTTCCCTTATTTGGTCCACGCTTGTCGATTACTTACTTCTTCAGCCGCCTTATCCCTTTGTCGTCATTCTTACCCTTCCCTTATTAAGTAGAGGAGCAGAGGTATAGACGGAGGTAGAATAGAGATAGAGTAGGGTTAGAGAAAAAAATAAATTAAAATCGAAAAAAAAAAATACTTAGATTTTTACTAGTAGTACCGCACAAGGCGGTGGCGGAAATTTCAAAAATAGGAAACCTACAGGAGAGGTTGATTGTTGTGAATTACGAATGGGAGCGAATCCACTGATGGACCGAAAGGTGGTTGAAATTGTAACTGCAATGGTTGCAGTGGTCACCTTACCACAACTGCTGGATGTAGTGTGGTGTAGTGTAGTTGTGGGTGTGGTTGCAGTTGTAGTTGTAGTGTAGTGGAGTTGTAGTTTGAAGTGATAGTTGTGACGTGGTGTAATTAGTGTAATGCAGTTGTAATTATAATTGTGGTATGGTGTAATTAGTGTAGTGTATTGTAGTGCATTGTAGTGTTGTATATTGTAGTGTGGTATGGTGTAGTATAGTTTGGTGTATTATAATTTAAAGTAGTGTAGTTGTAGTTTAATGTAATGTAATTAGTGTATATGATATAGTTATAATAAAATTTGTAGTTGTAATTGTATTGTAGTTTAATTAGTGTAGTGTAATTAGATCTAATTTATTAATATAATATAGTATATTTAATGATATAATATAA